TTTTTTTTTTTTTTTTTTTTCCTTCCTTTCAGGCCCCCCTGCCTGCCATACCCATTCCCCTGCTCATTGTCCAAGTACACCAAGCCCAACGGTACTTCCAGCACAAGAACAGGACCTGGTTTCTTGCTCCCTGTAGAAAAAGCGTTGCGGGCTGCGATTGTAGCTTAGCCTGCTTAGGCCATTGTCGATCGCCGGCAAAGAAACGCGATGCAACGACAAACGGCTGCAGAGTTGGAGAGATCACCGTCTTGGGCATTATCGCAGCAGATGAACCTGGTCAAACAGATCGTAACTTCTTTGGCGAATGCGAGGCGCTTGGCAGCCCAACTACAATCTCATACGCCAAGTCTCCTCTATGATCGTCGATATCACGTCCTGCTCATATACTTCTGTGGTTCTCTTTAATCGAAAAGTGGAAACTGAAGAAAGGCTGGCATGTTGATGTTGGATAGCCGACCATGACAAGTCATTCTCGAAAAATAAAGAGTATTCCCTCCACATTTATTGTGTTCTGGATGCAACGCAAGCCACTCGTTCTCGTTAACAACGGCGGCAGCTTTAATAACGGCGGATTGTCTACTCCGAGGAAGACATTGTTTCTAACATAGCATTGTGGCTGAGCTGATTCAAGGTCCAGACGACGCCAGATCCTTAAAACTGAAAGATGGTGGATGGCTTGAGTCTCCTGGTAAAGCCAGAGTAAATCATTCAGCAACACTAAAGCTTCTGACATGCATACATAGTCAGATAGTCTAGAGCCTGACGTGTTGCAGTACGTCTTCAACTCATAGTTCAGTCTGTCGGGTCCCAAGCCCAAGCCTTGAGGAAAAAGCAAGCAAACGTCAAAGCGGGTGATAAAGTGCATGGAGCTAGTAGCTGCACATCACATCAACATATCCGGCACAGTATCGCTAGGCAGCTCGAGCCGGGGAGTTGGAACCAACGTTGAAGACCCAGCCAACTTCTGTATCATCCAATGGTAGTTGTGGCTAGGTCCGCCTGTTCCAGCACTCCTTGCGTGTAACGTAATTATAGCTTGTTCGCCGACTCCACGGCCAACGGCGAAATGTCCCGCGTTTAGACCTGTCATTTCTGACCTCAGCTCATCCTCATTTATGTTGCTGATGGGTCTCAGGCACGAACTACGGAGCAGACTGTCAGGATGAAGAAGCCGCTTCCCCACGTGCTTGTCACCAAGGTCAGTGATATCTCGACCTTGTACTTGTACTCACTTATATATACACCACAACAGTAGTAAGCTGACTGGCTTCAGGTCGTAAGCTCTCTCTTATTAGCCTATAGGAGAATTGTGCCTGGTGGACAATACAGGCACGCCGATGGTACTATCTTACACGTCAACTTTACTAGCTGGAAGAAATGAAACATACCGCCGACGACCGGGTTTTCCGAATACGCGAGGAGGGAGTCACTTGATCTTCTTATGTATGTTCTTGACGTACGTGATCGAAGTCATAAAGCACAGATGATGTGATTCTTCCACTAATTCCCCATCCGGGGCTCCGTATGTCAGTCGTTTAAATCCTTGGTCAATTCTGAAACGAAGACCACTTTGCCAACGGGACGAGCCTAGTTTGTCCCCATCGGCTACAAAAATACATGCATACAGTCGAGTGGGATTCATGTTACCTTTTATGCAACAACCCATACCCAGGCTCGGTTGATTCCGGTATCAGATTGCTAAACCCTCTACATCGGCTTTGCCGGCTGTCTCGAGACCTGCTCATCATCTTATGCCCTGTCTTATCCTTGTGTCTGACAAGGGCAAAAAGTCAATGCTAAATGATCATATATATCTGCAAAAATAGTACCTTGTGGGAATCAAACTCACCCGTTAAACCTTTTGAAACAGAAGCGGCCACATTGGTCCAGCTTGCAAGTGATGGCAAGGATGGATGGCATAAGGGGTCTGTTACATGACTGTACCCTTTTCCAGATTAACAAAGCCAATATATTAAGTGATCAATAACAAGTCACGCAAGGCACCAAGCTGGCAAGTTCTCATTGTAAGGTATTCTTCTGCAACATGCAATGTCTCTCGTGTGGCATATGTAACGGTTCGCTATTTCTGACTCGAATGTCGTCTATACCTGGCTATATGCGTCTATATCATACTACTCGCGATGCCCAAACCTGGCCATGGGGGGCTCATTTTTTGGGCTCGTAGTTTAGTATGGTAGAGATCCCGCAATAAACCATGTCCTGAACTTCAGTCTCCTCCCTCCCACGTTCCTGGAACACTCCCCTATCGTCGATGTACCAATCGTCAGGCTCCTCCTCTATCAGCATGCGATGTGTTCCTAGCACCTGAATGACAGCCGTCACCCATCCGATCGAGTCTGAAGGGGGCAAGTCATGGTCGTCATATTTGCGTTGAACCAAGGTACCACGGTTCCTGTCTTCTGGCGAAGGCACCAGACGTAGAATGTAGTCGAAATAGATATTGTAGTCTCTTTTATAGAGTATCCCGACTGCACACTCGGAGTCGAAATTCTTGTGAAGAACCAGGTTATCCTATTTCTGGCGTACAATCTCATATCGACCTGACTCTGGATTCTGACGGGGGATGAAGAGGTCGCCATGCATCCTAGTCTTGTGAGTCCGGATGAAGATACCGCTTTCTATATCCTGACTGTCTCTTGCACAGTCACTCTCGACTTTAAAGTCGACGGTATGAACCACATGAGCATGTTGAAGCCAGGTGGGTAGTGTGTATGTGAGTGGCAGGCTTGACGGTGACGGTTTTTTATTTTCTCTATGTATGATAGAGCCCTTTTGCTGGTATTGGCTGTTTGTATCACTTGCAGAATGCTTGCGGCTCGATACTGAGTATTCGCCATGGTCGAAAGATTCCATGATATTGTTCTCCGCGGTCTAGACAGTGTACGATGATAGTAACATCTATATCGTTTACTGCTGCTCATGGTTAATTAATAGTTACACATGCGTATTCAAGATTATAGCTTACAGTAGAGGTAGTAAGGACGACTATATACCATGCAACTGAAGATTCCTTGATTGTATTTTGCGATGCTAGTTGGCGTGGGAGAATGCGATGTGCTTGAGGAAGGAGGTTCCCGAAATAATCATGCCAATGCTCCACATGCGGTTACTTATTATTCAGTCTCTCTTAAAGGTGGACGTCTTGCCCGGGCAGGTAAGCATTGAATAGAGCACCTGCTTATTTACTACCACATCCACTGAAGCAAGGCAAACACTCCATCGTTTGTTGTCTGTTGTAAATAGCATTCATTCCCACTGGTTTAATTTCAATTGTGTTACAAATTTCACTACAGATCTAAGGCACGAAGTCCTAAAGCCCAGAATATATGGATAGATATAAAGCAAAAATTGAGGTTCTGGTCGAATTCAGAATCCGGTACAATTTTACAGGTTTCGGGAGTATTGCTTACTTGTCGAGAAAAGGGCTGCATTCGCTCACAATACGTCAGCTACTGCCCATTTCTTCTTTGCATCTCTCATATTCCATAATCTTTTGCATCATTCACATACCTACAGGTATGCAAAATGCAATATTTGGTGAGGAACTCAATCCTCTACCAAAGCTCCGAGCTTGTGACAGGGCGGTGGAGCACGTCGTGCGTGATGTCATTCCGTAGAAAGCTGAGGTCCCCTGCCTGGAGCTTCGAAGCTCCACCAACAAAACCTACGAACCTCAACAACAATTGCCGTGCAGAACCTTTTTGAACGAAACCAAAATCCCTCTAAATCGCCTCACCCATCATCGATCATGTCTTTCCGAGCTCCTCTCCGACGCATTGCCTTCGCCAGGCCCTCCGCCCCCATCTCCGTGGCTGCTCGCAGCTTCCACTCTACCCCTCGAGCTTCGGTCCGTGTCGGCCAAGAAATCCCGGACCTTGATGTTCTCCTCGAAGATTCCCCCGGAAACAAAGTCAATCTCGCCGAGGAGTTTAAGACGTCCAATGGATACATCGTTGGCGTCCCTGCGGCTTTCTCTGGTACATGCTCCAGCAAGCACGTCCCCTCATACATCAACCATCCCAAGCTCAAGCAGGCTGGACAAGTCTTTGTCGTCTCCGTCAATGACCCTTTTGTGTAGGTTCATGGTCAATGTTTTATTTCACATGATGTTAACTCCCGTCACAGCATGAAGGCATGGAGCGAGCAGCTCGACCCCGCCAAGCAGACCGGAGTAAGTCCACCTCGATATTCACGACTCGCCCCAGTGGCTTAATCTGAGCTTGTCTAACCCAATCAATTTCAAGATCCGGTTCCTTGGTGACCCAACCGGCGAGTTTACCAAGGCCCTGGACCTCGGTTTTGAGGCTTACGCTGTTTTCGGCGGTATGCGCGGTAAGCGATATGCTCTCAAGGTGGAGGATGGCAAGGTCACCAAGACATACGTTGAGCCTGACAACACTGGTAGCGCTGGTAAGTAACAACTGTACAAGCGGGTTTATGAACGTGAATACTAATCTGGTCTTCCAGTCTCCATGGCCGAGCAGGTTCTCGAATAAGCGCCATGGATATATCATGCCGAAGTATACTGAGACACTGCGTTACTCCGGTGTTGAGCAGTATACTAGAAAATCCTTAGAATAATAACAAATGAGAAATAACTAAAGAACACTCCAAGAGCAGTCCCTGGACCACTTAGTCGATCATCAAATTCGAACCAGTCCCTTGCTCGCTATGCCTTGCGCTTCCTAGCGGTCAATTATACAGTATCCTTCAAAGAACGGTCTTTCTTGATGTTACTCGAGACACCAGGCCTTTTGCGGCTCCTCGTTCTTTAGCCATCCGTCCGGATCATGGCTTTCCTTCCGCTCTTGATTAGGGTAAGCAAAGCATGCCATTGACATTGACAATGACACCACAAACGATCGGTCTTGCACATGTCATACAGCCCTCTCCTATGTTTTTCGGCCGTATGCCAGGGTCATGCTCAAATTCTGTCTTGCGCTTGTGATGTCCTGTGCAAAGTTCATGGCGCATGGAAATCACTTATCCTCGCCACTATCGTACGCCTGACACGGCCCTCTTCTGACTCAACTTTCTATTACCTTCTCAGAAGGCCGTATGAACCTGAACTTTTCGTCAAATTTCTTTGTGTTGCATGTACACCTGAGAACGCTGACGCCAAGGACATGATGCTGCCATACTCACGATTTTATATTCACGCTCGGAACTATTAGCGGTACAAACTCTGTCAAATTCATGGGCCACCGCCACTTAGTATTGAAGAAACTGACTGCTATCTCAATAATAATGCTTGGGTCATATGCTTGGGTCGTGTAAGTCACAGCTGTCTGTGTGCATTACCCTCGGGTTAGATCGTAGGTTTGATACCACAGTCAAACCTAGAAGTATGGCCCCAAACAAGACCAGAGCCTCGTAAATATAGTTCCATTCTTGCATTTCTATTCGTCAAATGTAATGTCTTTTTGCACATTGATTAACTTTCAACTTCCATCTACATGCATGTTGTGCTGAGGCTACCCTATAGCACAATGACCATATATGCTTTCAAGTTCCAGATGCAGCTGTTCTATCAACCAATACACGCGAGCATTTTGTGTCTCAACCAACGGAAAGCTTGCTCATAGGATTTGTTGTCTACAGATATCAGACGGTACATACAGAGAAACGCAGGGGACAATTGTTCATCCCGATAGCCGAATGGGTCCATCAGAACAATCGGAGATTACGCATCGCGATGGAAAGGAAGCAATGTCTTGCCGAACAAAGACGCAATCGCCGTGGCCCGAGATGACGATCGTCGGCTCGCGCCGCCCAAGGGCCCCTAAGCACAGGAGAGGAGCCCATTGAGGAGCTCAACGGCGACAACGAATGAGAGGTGATCGCAAGGGCTTTGGCTTGTCACGCCAAATGAGCTGAAGCTAGCAGGGACGAAACGGAGGCTAACAACGGGCTTAGGTCAGGGGCTGGGACGCGTCTGGAACGTGATGTCGTGAACAACTTTATATGAGTGGGTGAATTAAGCGCGCAGCCAGGGTATTGGATGAAATTTAAAGATGTTTAATGGCGAATCAGAACCGTACGACAAGCTGGTGATGTCCCAATTTGTGACGGTCGCGTACGACCCGGGCCTAGTTTCGGGAGAATAACTCTAGAACAGTCATATTGTAAGTTGAGGTAAATTGCAAAGGCATGAATCATGTTACTGTGATAGTGACGGCTTGATTAACACTCACATGACCAGCATTAAAGCCTGATAAGCTGAGAAAATTGCGGCTGAGGTGATGATCGGACATTACAGTTGTGACAGGACGGCTTCATCTCCGCCCAAGACGAGGCGGTCGTAGGCTACAGGATACCGCAAGCCGATCGGGCTTCATGATGAAGTGATGGCGTACGCATTGCCAGGCCGATGTTGTACGTACTGTAGATGGGCCGATGTTGGGAAGGTATGGACGTCAAGCATTGGAGTTATGTTCTCACGAGCACCTGGCATTAAGGAGACAACATCTGGCTGACCCGAGCCCGAGACAAACTGGCTGAATAGGCAGCACATTAGGCTTTCCATGTCGGTACGATGTGTGCCGTTGCCAAGTAGGTCATCGTCTCAGAAGTATTGCGGCGACATGGCTGTCGAGATTGGGCTGGTATACCTGCAGTCCTAGATCATAGGTAGGGCGGCTGCATGCATTGATGTTGTGAGATGCGATGATTGGGGTGCGATCCAAGATGGCACAGGTATCCCGTCATCCGCTACCTCGATCACTTATTGCAGGAAGGTAAACACTACACCATGGTCCGAGGTGCTGTTGATTTCCATCTTGAATACGGATACACAATGTATGAATAGGTAGCTACTAACTATGGGTCGAGGCCAATCGGAATATTATCGATCCCTGGTACAAGCTGGTAACCAATCGATCCATGTCGTATCCTCAGTTCTATCAAGGGAAGCCCCATAGTCAATCAAGCTTACAGCACCCTTCTTTTCTGTATCAATAACGGACTGAGAACGAAAGAGAGAAGTAAGATGACGGGTCTCTACCCAACCACACCATCAAAATCTTATCCCAAGCCACAAGCCAATTTGTGACAACTGGCCAACCATGCGCATGCATCCAGTCATCCACAAACACCATCATTGCCAGCAGCTGCGCAGCAAGACACAGGGACACACACCACCTAACTAGACCCCCACAATTTGAGACGAGGTGCGATACACGAAGAAACAAGCAGGCAATGTATCTATAATTGAGAGGCGATATGGCCCTGCGGCCTGGCACTCATGGACATGACAGTGCATGAGAGGCGATGTATGAGATCAAGCACATCCGACAACACTTCGTTGTACTACCCCCGTTGAATAGCACATGGATTGCTCTCTGACTTGATCTTGCTTTTGTCAGTATCATTCTGCAACCTGGCGTTTGAAGAGGGTAATGACATAGCATCAGTCTGAACAACCTACGGTCCTGAGTATACGGAGTAACAAGACGTCAATTGAAGGTACGCGCCGCGTCCGCGTGCAACTGGACAGAGCTCCTCGTCCACATGCTGACCCTTCGGCAGGCCGTCCCGCATATTCCTATTGAGGTGCGACGGCCGTGCTACTTGATGGCGATCCACAAAGCCAAGGATCCACGGCCACTCACCGACTCCATAGGTCTTACGTACGAACGATCGAGCTACTGCGGCCGGTATGAGCAGCTTCCAGGATTGAACACATTGACGACGACAGGGCTTTACGACAGTAACGTGAGAAGAGAAAACGATACGTTTGCCTCTGTTTCGCGAACATTTTGGAAGAATCCAGTACCCTCGTACTCGATATGTGTGCGCCCATTCGATGCAAGCGAAGTTTGCTTTGCTGCTCGTGTAGTAGGTACAGGCACTGTACTGTAGATACAGTAGTACTACAGTACGTCCAAGGGATTATGCACGTGGATCATGGCGCTGTGGAGCTACGTTTTCAACGTGCAAACATGCAAATTGATGCAGAATCAAAGCCAAGCCAAGTCGATTGTGAGCATTGAGGCTGGAAATGTCTCTGATCTCCAACATGCGACCAGTGACAAAGAGGTCCAGATCGCCGGATTTATCTGTGAGGGAGTGTCAATGATAACACACCGACATTTGCCAATCGTTTTTCATGGTGGTCCTTCTCGCAGCCTGCTTGACAAAATAGAGGTATTCCCACCATCATGTGTCAATGACTTCGCGAGATCGCAGAGCTTCCTTTGAAGAAAGAGAGGAACATCACGGAGCAGCCTGGCCAAGAACAGATCCATACCAAGTGGCTTGATTGGAGCCTTGCCCGCTCAAGCCCCTTTCCACGGACATTAGGTATGTATTGTCGAAGTTGACATGTAAGTGAACGGGTAAATCTGCACCTGTCCGTAGCCAGTCACCGCTCTTCGTGCAGCAAATCGAGCTACCTTTTTTTGACTTTGGACCTGAAAGCTCTAGCTTAAAAAAGCTTCAGCTTAGCAAGCTTAGAGCTCAAACAAGATCTCGCGTCCTATTTTGTCGACGTCAAAGGTAAAAAACACGGGCTAATTTTAGCCCTGCCGGATTGCCAGCTCATCCATACACCATCGTCTTTCCAGCCCAGACAATGATCGGCCGACGAGAGAGGGGTGAGAAAGCCTGGGTAAGCAGGTGAATTTCGGTCGTGACATCTGTCGTCACTCGGTGGCATTTACAGCAGCCAGCCCGCCGAAAGCTCAAATCTGCCTAGAAATCAGTAACGTTAAATGTACGTGAAGACCGAGAAAATCTGCTTGAGGTGAAACCAAAGATAAAGGACGTACTGAGTAGGTACCTAATCAGTGTGAATCAGATACGAGACAGGGAGGATTCGGCTCCCACCACTTCGCGGGGTCCAAAGCTCCATGAATACTCGGAGCATCGGGACGCGGTTGTGAATGCCGATGAGTAGAGGAAACAAAATGTTGGTAGTCGACTCGACTTATCAATGCAGTAATTGAGCTACGGTAGTAGAATAATCATAGACAATTATTCCCAAGTATAAGTGCTGTATGCTCGTGTACAAGATGCTGTGAGAAATATTGAAGCCTAAAGTGTATGAGACTGAGGCTTCAATTCTTGACTATGGACGCCCCCATCAAGTCCGACGACAGTCGCTGTCTCACCCCCCACACCCGGGGCCTTCTGCAAAAAGAGTCGCGTTTCAATACAGAAGGCGCACTGGACGTGAGGCCTTGCGTCATGCCCTGACCTCCCCAATCAGAAACCTGGCGAGGTCTGGGGCCCACCTTGATGACTGTTGGCCAGTCAAAAATTGTAGAAGTAGTCTGGATCCCGCCCCTCAAATCATCTTCTCGCATTTCCTCGTCCTCCTCGCGGGCTTTCTTCCTTCACGGCCAATCAATCCTTCTGCTCCCATCCACTCAACGCAGATTATTTGTCCCAGGCCTCTTGTCGAAACATTAATTTGATTTGATCAGGCCGTCTCGCTATTCCTCTAGCCATTCACAATTCGCAAACAATCTCTGGTCTGGTCTTAATTGGATCGCACCCGCGCGCAAGCCAGCAACCGCGTAAACGCTTTGTTCGCGCTGCTCGCCTTGGTTGGCCAAACGCACGACAAGCTTGCTCTGAGTCTTGCGATTCGCTCAACACCTGTCAAATCACCTTAACAGGCAACACACAGCGCAACACTGGAGCTATCCGTTCATAGCTTCAGCCTTAACAGATTATACCGACTAACTGAACCGCCTGAATATTCAATATTTCGGTTCAGCGTCGTTATTAGCAACGATCGAGCTTTCGTTCAGCTCAATTGGCAATCACTTTCTATCACAGTTCGGCTTGTCACTTTCCCACCCCTGCTGCTCCCAGCCCAGCCCTCAGCTCAAGCTGTTCTAATACCTCAAAACCCCCCCATTGCGCGACAGCCCAAACCTTCGCGCTATTTCATCCAACCAACCTCCAACTTGATTCATCACCATTCTACCTGTTATCTTATTTCCGCCGTCAAATTATTATTTTTTGCCGCTTCCCAACCCCTTATACGAGCGCCACCTTTTGCTCTTTCCATTTTGAGTTCATAACACAGGAAGGCAACTCTTTTCCTCACCGAATTTGCACTTGGTTGGTTGGTTGTAACTGCCTTTTCTGAAGCTTCCTGTCGTTTATTTAGACAGAAGCTACCAGCACTTGCCGCGCGACAAGGCCAGCCGTCACTCATCCGAGACAATCCACCCACCCCAGTTCGGACCAAACCCACCCTGCTCTCACAGCAAATCAGCACTCTTCCGGACTTCGCTTCGCCTTTTCAACTCACAACTCTGAAGCCTATCATCGTTGACAGTATCGTCTTGTTCATATCCATTGGCCGCATTGTCTATCACCTGACGATTCTTGCCTGCGGATCCCGACTATACCCCAGATTCGAGCTGTCTTAATTGACGTTCAAAAAAGGGACGTTGTACGATCAAGCTCAAGAAGCTCAAGACTACCCGCGTTCGCGTATCAGCGTCTTGCATCACAAAAGGTACGTAGAGATGCGACTTTCTTTGCTCTATTCGGATTTGTATATTTGAATTTCATCGATTCTGGACTGCTCTCATCAAAACCGCTGCGAATTTTACACTTCCTTTCTTATCGCTTGTGGTTTCGCTTGACTGAACACTAAACGCGTCGTGTCGCGATGATTGTCAGATACTGTCAGCATCTCTGAATTGATACCACATCATTGACAAGACGCGTCTTTTGTTCAAAAACCACGCCCAGCGCATGCGTCGTATATCGTCATCAATAGTTGTGGTACATCAAGTATCCTGCTCTTTTGTTGCTATCCAGACTTTCACTCATAATCGTCATTGCGTGCACATACGTTGATATAGACTGACAACATCAATAGTCGTCCAAGCGATATTTTTGGTGCTCGGGTACAATCCTCCAAGATGTATGTATCACGTGTTTCTTTTGTATCGCTCATGCCCATGCCCATGCCCATGCTTTTCAATTTCCATTTCCCTTAATCTTGCTTTACACGTCTTGGTGTGTGCAGCTGTACTATACTGCAAGTCTCTTCCTTTGGGGAGCCAATACCCCGCTTCCGGACCCTGTTGCAAGGCGCAGGACCGCAGTTATCCAGAGTCCCGGAAGAGAGCAAGCTATGACAGCCAATCAGCTCCATCTTCGCCTGCCCTGGCTTCATCAAAGCTCATCGGTGCATGCCCAGACGCGGCCGCTCAAAAGCAGTCGTTGAACTGAGTACTGCAGAGGGTGGACGGCTCGCCGATTTTGCTACGTCGTTGCAGGCAAGGCAGATCAATGACACCAGCCTTGATGCCAGAAGTCTAGGCAAAGCGGCATCCTATGTTACAGCCTCAAGTCTGCCCAACGAAGACAATATCCTAGTTTGAGGCCCCGAGAATCAATTCCTACAGTCCCTGTAACTCTGAGCCGATAGCTTGTGAGCTGGCTGGCTGGAAGGTGTGGGCCCGTCTTCTGCATATTCCGTCATGCATGAGACTCTGGGTTGCCAACGCATCAAGAGTGGCTTTCCAGACGCGCATCTGCACCTCAACCGTTCCCGACCCCGTTTTTACGCCGCTCCTCTTACCCTAGCCCAATATATATACACTTGAGCTAACGTCTATGGTTGGACAGATCTCTTAAGACAAGCAACTGACCAGCCAGCGCTGTCCTGTCGTCGCTTTTGTCTTGTGCTTGTTGATATTCTTTCAACTCGGCACTTTGTTTACTAGTGTGGCTGTGTAAATCGCTGCACCCACTATCATCAGGGCAGTCAAGCCACAATATCTGCTCGTTTCGACCTGTCAGCTCACGCACGCGTGCCCAATATCTTTATTGTGGCCCCTACCGGATATCCTTCGATTCGTTGAAATACGTCTTCAGCTCAATAAGCTTGAAGAATATCCCAAACGAAACATTGAGATCGAGTATTGTACAGAAATCGATCAATTGTCGTGATCGAAGCTATTCTACCGAAACTCTCATAACGAGGGCCTTTCATCACGCGTCAAGCATCAAGATAAGCCTGCATCTATACAGCGCCTGGTCAACGGATAGTAACGCGACGAGGACGTATTTCCTCGGCACATATCGATTGATTTGTCTCTCAGTGGATGATGGACTACGGGCAATATCAACAAGGACAAACTACAAACTCCGGCTACGCGAACTCTGGTGCTGCTAATAACATCACATCACCAACAAACAGCATCTCTCAGCACCCAGTGCAGTCGTCACCCATTATTTCCCAACAACAGCAAGGTCAGAATCAAGGTCACAACATGTATCAACCACAATACGGAGTGCCACAGCAGGGTATGCAGCAAGTCCATTATGGCATGCCTGGTATCCAGGCAGCTGCAATGGCCGCAACCGCCGCCGCCTCTGGTTCAAACTATGCTTATATGCCCTCTGATCCCAACATGCCTCAAAGTTCACCCCGCATGGGCGCCAACGCTAAGAAGGATGGACGCCAATCTCCTCGTATGAACAGCATGTCCCAAATACCTGGCCGTCGAATGAGTCAGGTTACGAGCCCCGGTGTTCCCACTGCGCCGATGATGAACCACGGCGGCGCACGACCGGGTGTCGCCCCGCCGCAAATGCCGGCTGCACAGGCGCAACATCCGCTATCCCCCGACATGCCCGCTGCTAGCGGCGCAGAAGAATCGCCACTGTACGTCAATGCGAAACAATTTCACCGGATTCTCAAGCGTCGCGTTGCGCGCCAGAAGCTCGAAGAACAACTTCGTCTTACTTCGAAAGGACGCAAACCGTATCTCCACGAGTCACGACACAACCATGCTATGCGTAGACCTCGTGGTCCGGGCGGTCGCTTCCTTACCGCAGAAGAAGTCGCGGCCATGGAACGTGATGGTGAGAAGCCCACGGATGGGAAGGACAACTCTACTGGGGAGAATTCTGGAAGTGCCGGAACAAAGCGCAAGTCTGAAGCCGGCTCGACAACATCGAATAAGAAAGCTAAGACGGACACAGCGAGCCCAGGGGATGAAGAAGATGAGGACGAGAGTTGATATGGTGCAGTGAAAGCGTCTGCGCCATGAACCCCCCTCCCTCAAACCCTTGAGCGGTTTACGACGTCACGAAAGCACGATTGTTACTTCCTTCTGTCGCTACTCTACTCCCAAAGTGATCGCAAAGGACCTGCCCGAAGCGAGTGGTTTCTTGTTGAACGTGTGTCGATCATGCGCTCGATATATTCTCGTCACGGTCTTCACGGGGCGTCTCTTTTGACAGTTTCATTTAATACAGCACTCATCTGGCAACAGTAGGCTATGCCTGTTATCAGACAGGCATGGCTATAGGGATATCGGATGGGCAGAATGCATGAACGATTCGGCACGATCGATACCCCCACCTCGTCTTTTCCCCATTCGTTCAACCTTTTCTTCCAAAGTCCTTATGACTTTGTTTTCATCTATTTTATTTGGGCTACATGTCAACGTTAGATTGTTCGCAACGTCTGCCGACCGTTTCTATGCGCACCTCAATTTTGCAATTGTCTTCTGGTAGAGAGGTCGGTTAAACATTTTATGTACATTGTGAATGGGAAAGAGCAAGCCGGTAACACGGAAATGCTAAGGAAAAAAGAAAAAAGAAAGAGAATATCAAATGAGTAGATGAAGGAGAATGAATCAAGCTGACTAGTTCAGTGCTGTATGTCACTACTGGCTTGGGGCTTTCTCTCAGATGTGTATATATGTTAAAGTCAAGGGCGTTGGATTGACTCACGGGGAGTCGTGTCTATGAATCAAAGTTTATACATGTTTGTTTGTTGTTTTGAACAATTGTCTCATATGGATGAGCCTACGTTGCGACTATATCCCATCATAAATTGTTGCCAGATTATATCACTGATATGACATGTAAGAAGTTTTGTAAGATCACTACTAAAAAAACTATCTGACGGGCTTCAAACTCCTCTTCCCTGCGGGAGTTCTAGGAAATCTAAAACCTGGCTACCAGAAGCATAAGAGACTAAACCAAGCAGATATTCCATGCCATTCCAGACTGCCTAGCAAATAGTTACAATTTGAAGTTTAGATGTCAACCACACCAAGTCACCCTCTCCTTTCGTGCCATTCATGAAATGGAAGTCATAAGTCATAAGCCCCAACAACAATGGGGACATGAAACAAAATAAATCATCGCTAAGTGAGGATATGAAAGTGTTGAGATACGAGACCAGCGTATAACCTCGAAAAGAAGTTGTAAGAATTGCTAATGCTCAGCTTCCTTCAGCTTTACCCTCTTCCAAGTCTCCTTCTCTTTCTCCTCGGAGGGATGTCAAGTTCCTCAGTAGCATTGTGACACTGCTACGACACGACGTAGCAGCAGTGGTAGGGCGGTTGTCAGGAGTTTCAGCAGTGTCTCGTGGACGACGTCGGACTCGATTGAAAAGGCGCGCGATTGCGTTACCTGTAGCGCCAAGTTTGCGTAACAAGACACCGAAGGAGCGGGTTTGGAGGAAAGTAATAAGAAGCATGAAGGGAACACAAACTAGGACCATTACAAGAGCAAATCGCCAGTCTGTTGCTGGAATTGTGAAGACTGTCATGCCGAAGACGGACTACATGGTGTCAGTGAGGATTGTTCCATATGTATGCTACCAGAAACATCAGAAAACGTACCGTTACAAAAGTCAGGGGCAGGAATATCATGCTGATCATGGTGAGTATCCTGATATTGTCACCCTGCTCAATCGCTCTTCGGCTCTCCTTGATCGAGCTTCCACTGAACAGCTGATCTCTCAAATTTTCGATCTCCTTACGTGTGCGCTCGTTGCGCTTGAGCACTTCGGTGAGTTCCTGGATAACCTTGTCAAATTCGCGACGTACGGTGGCCATATGCTGACGATAAACCACGCCGTCGGGCGATTCAGGTTCCCCATGTGGCCACAAGATCGGATGCGATCCAGCCCAGAAACTCTCCGTGAAGGTGTCGTAATACGCACCAATCATTGACTTGATGCCTGTGTTGATGACAGCTAGGGTGTTGTATGACCAAAAGTATCTGCGGATAAATGTGAAGTGTCTGTCTTCAAAGAGCAGCTTGTCGCGGAGCTTGGGGTCAAACATGAACTCGGGCTTGAGAAGATTAGTAACTTAGAGTGTAGTGCTAAGGTACTAGGGACTTACAGGAGGAGTGATCAGCTTGGTAATTCGTTCATGGAGAACCAGATTCCGTTTTGTAGCATCGCGGTATTCCGAAATGAGCAAGTCCAGAAACGCATCTGGGCCATTGATGTACTTCTTTTCGTTTTTGAACTCGTTCCCTCGAACCGTGTGAGAGTTGTCAGGGAAACTTTGAATAGCAAGCAACTGCCACGGCCCAAAGGTCTCGAATAGGATGCCTTCCTGGGCGCGCTCTCTTCTTACTATCTTGAGAGGAGCTTCCCTCGGCTTCCCTCCAAGAGATAGCGCCAAGATAGAACCACACTCTGCAACATCAATATGGTCTCCAAAGCGACTCTCCGAAGGTCGCTTATCAAAACGCTGCCAGGAAGCCGGCTCGAGAGGGGGACTGACTACAGTGTAATACTTGAAGACGAAGAAGAAGGACTTTTGGCGGACGTTGGGCTGGGAGGTCAACATCCCGATGGGGGAATGGACTGGTAAAGACTGGGGAGTAATTGTAGAGTTGGAGTTTGGCAGGGAAGGTGACCGTTCATAAGCTCGGTTCATAAAGGCATGAGTACGCCCGCGGTTAGGCTCGTCGGAGAGGAAATGTGTGAGAAGTTCAGACATGTCGAAGTGTTGAGACATTGTCAGATGTAGAGCTGCGAGAATTAGGGGGGTGGGTTCTTGGACTATACTAAGCAATGTTAGTTGACGGCGGTTAGGGGAGTTGCCACAAGACGGAATACATACGTGATTCTGCCTACTGCACAATCGTTGGAGTTGACACGACTGATAGTTTTCCAGACTGTAGGCGCATCCACAGAGTCGGCCGAATTCCCCAATTGCCCATCGCTAGTATAACCAGCATCTGGTAGAGGCTCATCTCCGCCACCGTCTCCATCAGCGCTGAGCTTAACAGGCCTACAGTCATCTCCGATCTCGTATACCTCAAACGTGGACTGACTGTACTGCTCCTTCTCGTACGCCGCAAGATCATGGAAACTCTCATCTTGGTTCTCGAATGTCTCGGGGCGACGTTTCACCTTGTCGTCGAGAAGAACAGTCAATTCTGGAGGAAAATCAGCGTCACGAACGTGGTCGAGGAGGTTGCTATCAGACCACTCTTTCCGGTCAAGTCGGCCTCGGACTTTGTTACACTGGTAGTCCTCGACATTCTTCTTGATAGGAGTTGCTGCGCGGTCAACTAGGCGTAGGTAACGGACATTCTCTCCATCTCGGGACGTGATACCATGATGGCTGCCACTTGGCGAGCCTGTCACGGGTCGAGGCTCAGTAGAAGTCGATAGCCTCCTATTGGCACTCTCAAAGGAAGCTCGACTTCCTCCGTAGGAAGGACAGTGCTCCATAGCCCTTGTTGGGCAACTGTGAGCTCTCAACGGCCGTGTAAAGGTATCCTGGGGCTCACTGGATACGTTGTTGCAAGTAGATTTCTCCACTGTGTTTCTTGAATGGGAGGCGATATGGGCAGCCAGGCTCGTTGGAGCCTGTTGATATTGTTGGCGGGCGAGCTCAGCTGCCTTGACAGGATTGTCTACAGCCCTTGAAGAAGAGCCCGTAGTCATTGGGGTGTCTCTAGGTAGGTAAGATGAATGTTTGAATATGATATTGGAAGAAAGCTCAGGGTTAAACTAGAATGAAGAAGGCATATAGACTATAAGGGCATATACTAGAGGGAATGTGATGGGGAAGATGGCAACCTATTTCTACTCTTCGTCCTCAAAGCTGGCACCTGATCTATCGGCGGCCCCCGATGCATATTGCGGCTGAGTTCTACTCGGTCAACATCCATGGTAAAGGGCAGTCAATGTTCGAAGAGGTAGGGTAAGCAAAGATCTGCGAAGTAGATAAGCAGTGTATCTAGCGTGCCAAGGAACGTGGGCATTGAGTTGTGACTTCGAGACCAACTGTTACTCGTCTGTATGTCACACATTCCCATTCACGGATGTTTGAGGCAAAGCCTTGTTTTCAAGTTAAAAGATCCCAAAGCAATGCAGTTACCCTGGTGCCTCAGCCACAATCTCTCACGTTACTCGACAACTGTTTGCCATTGAGCCTGTATTCTTCCTAGCATTATAAACAACAAGTTGGAGTACAAACCCTGACTCTAACTGTTCACGTGGAGGAAAACGTCATTTCATGACGAAGCTGTCGAGTCGCAAGCCTCGTTCAGCAAATAGAATCCTGCTGAATCTCAATGGTAGCTTGAAACAGAGTAAACTCTTGATCAGAAGAGTGACAAACAGCATCCTAGGACTTTGATAGTGAGGCTGTAAACCGAAAAAGGCGTCTGGTCGATCATCAACTCAACTCGCTTTAAAGCGCTTCTGAACGGCTGCAACCGGATATCACGAGGGCGATATTGCGGAATGGACTTTGAAGCAACTGCCCTCCATCAACCACTACATAACTCAACCTCTACTCCTCCAACTCTGTACGTCATGCAACCCTTTTCTTCTCATAGACCGGGCGCTGGACGTGGATGGACCCGAGAAGGATGCACTCATATCGCGGGGTGAAGCTAGATTACATCCCACGTGCTGAAGGGTGAAGGTCAAACCTTGGATTATCGCAGACGAATCCTAGGCTGATTGAGTAAGTTCAATTACGTTTGGCATGCCAATGTCAACCAATCTCACTTCCTTCCCCTTTTCGACACAAGCGACCAGGTCAGGTAGGTGTCAGATTAGAAGAATTGTTCTCTAAGGCTTAGGCTACAGATATAAAGTAGCCTAAATGTTAGTCGAAGCCAGCAGAATACGACCAAATTATTTCGTCTCTTATGCTTGCGGCAGCCAATTCTTCTGATACACGGTGACTCAGATTCTCGAAAAGATGAATGTTCTGGTATCATAGATAGCAACAAGGTATATTTTTTCGTACACGTCCACGTACAATACGTGCCCAATCCTACCGACCGACCACCTTAGCCTATCCCGAACCTTCCGTCCACCTGATATCATTCCCTTTCATGTCCTCATAACTCTATGTAAACAAAACAAACCCTGCTCAGAATATTAAAAGCTCCTAATAGCAATGTCCAACATCTCGTACAAAAGCCAACGTAGTTACCTGCACCATATATATATGTGTTTAGGACGCGACGCTGACGGGCTTGGCTGTTGACGCTGCGGGCTTCTCAGTGCTGTCGACCTCCATAGCATCACCATCGGCCTCAGCCTCGCCTTCACCCTCCTCCTCCTCAAGCTCATCCTCACTTTCGCCCTCAATGTCGACACTGCCGTCGTCCGACAGCTCGTCCTCATCGGCGGCGTTCTCTTCCTCGTTCTCAATACCAGCCATCTCTGAATCTTCTCCATTGGTGGCCTTGGCCTTGGACTTGGCTTCCTCCTCAGCAGCTTCTTCAGCGGCCTCCTCCTCGGCCTCCTCAGCACCGTATTCATCACCATCGGCGACCAGGTCAGCCTCGGGCTGCTCAGGAGGGTATTCTGCGGGGGCAGAAGCCTCAGAGTCCCTAGAGTCAAATTAGATTTAAGATCTGTTACAAGCTAGTGGTTGGTTTACTTACCACTTAATGGCGAATCGAGTCACTCGGGGCTTCTCAGCCAGGACGTTTCGCTTCACGCGCTCAATGATAGGTTTGGCGGGGGGCTCAGCGTTCAGCTCTTCGGAGTCATATTCGTTGTTGACATAGTAGCCGACGCGAATGAATTCACGTCCATCGTAGGCGCAGGTCAGAAGAATGACGGTGACGCCGAGGATTTCAGCGTCGGGAATGCGAGAGGTATTAGGAGCGTCGGCCTCAAAGACGAATTTGTTGACGCCGACAGGGATAGGGCCGACGAGAAGGGAGTCGAGTTCTTGGTCGTACTGATCGCTGGGAAGTGTTAGAAGAAGCGGTGTGAGAGATCGCGGTCAAGCTGTTGCGTACCTAGTAGCGGATCCAACATAGGTGAGCTTCCACTCAAGATCTATTTTGCATTAGCGCTGTGGTTTTTGCAATCTGGACAAAGTGGCACAAACCCTTCTCAAGCTGCTCGAGGCATTCGAATGTGATCTCAAACTCGTACTTGTCGGTGAATTTGGCAGGGTTGTTCAAAACATTAACACCCAAGAGCGAGACGACAGACATTTTGATATAGGTGGAAGGGTATTATTGGGAAAAGTCGTGATAAAGAGCACGTAGTGCAGATAGTGACGGCAAAAAGACAGTGTAGAATGGGAAGGATACGTAGAATAGTATCTTAAGTCTTTTGTACGAGACAAAGTTGATGTGGAAAGAAGTGCGGTTGCAAGATGTGAGATGCAAGAGGAGAGAGAAGGGGACAGAGGAGTGGATGGTGGATGGAGTATTTTAGTTTCGATGGATTAGGTAGCTTAGCAGCACCTGGACTGGACTGCCTTATGCGAGGGGACAGGAGGGACCAGGACCAGGAGCATGGGTAAAAGAAAACAAGAGCGGATCGATTCGTGGTTGCGATGGGAGATGACTTGCCCTGGGCGTCCAAAATGTGAGGAGCTACCTATCGATAGTGGGACGCGTTAGGCGGTCACACACCCGCGTAGAGAGGTTGCGTTGAACATACGCGACTCAAGCGTCATGTGATACCTCTATATGATTGGTTCGTTGCCTGCAGAGGAGCCGGGGAGACAAAAATAGCTAGATACATACATGGAGACTCTTCTATACAAGGCAGCCCAACAAGTGAATACTATCACTGCTGAACGCATCAGAGATAAAGCAGGTGGGTCATGCTGTAGTGTTCATCATGGGCCGATTCTTAAACATTGACTTTGTGCATCTTAGAGACCAAAGGCGTAGTTGTTTGATATTCTTGAAGAAAGGTCTAGGGTGGTTAACGGTTTAGAGTATTGCATTGCTCTTTCCTCTTAGTCATCAGGACATCATTGAAAGATCATCATTCAATAGAAAGACAAAAAAATACTCGAGATAGATACTCGAAAATAAATGCTGGTCATTGTCATACATCAAAGACTTAAACTTCTTCAGTGTGTCCTATCACGATTTTTGCCTTCATACCTAGATGACCCACCAAAGTGCGGCTCTTAAACGGGTACAACAGGCTCCCTACTGGCACTTCACCGCCTTTGGGGTCACTAAGCTCATTCGGGGGGGGTTCTGCCGTAGCTGCTTTGTTCAAAGCATATTCTTTGTTGGAGCTATCAATCAGACTTTGATGCGCTCGTAAAAAAAACACCCGCGCGCAGCTCAACACGACGCTTCGATCCCCTTCGACACGAGTTATCTTTCATGCTTAGTTGTTTCGCCATTTTCGACCTTTGATTTCGAGCGCTGCAATAATTCGGTCCCAATTGCTCCAGAGCCAGTCGGCGCAGCTCTTTGACTGAGCTTGGCGTGTTCGCGACAGATCTCACCAGATCGTCATCCGTATCGTCAAGGACTGCACTCCCTTGATCGGGCATATCGCACTCTTTCGACCGAAACATCCGCGATTACTTCGAGTAGCTACCGCTGGTTTTGTTGCATTCGCAAGCTGTCACTGACTCAGACTTGATCGTTCTTGGTCCCGCGGCCTTCGCCGACGCGCCCATCGAAATCGCTAGAATCGCGACCGAGAAATTTGCAGGATGGCTTCCGAAGGTACTTCATGGGGCGCGGAGGATATTGGGGCGCAGGGTGATCAAGTTCAGCATAGCGAGGAACAAGTTGATAACTATGCTCAAGACTCTCTTGCCTCTGGTGATGCCGATGCAGCGGATGATGGTTCAGAAGATGAGGGGGGAGAATACGATCCCGAGTCGGTCACAATTGGCACACCTGCACCAGTTGCCGAACCAGCTTCTTCTGGTACTCCTCAACGCCAGGCTTCTAAGCCCAAGATGTCGGGTGGCTTCATAGTTGAGGCTTCTGATGACGAGGATGAAGATGAAGATGAGCAACCTGCCAATGCCGCTCCTCAAACGGATGCAGTCCCTACCCAAAACCACCCTGGCCCTTCCACTGCGTCTGATGAACACATTTCTGCAGCTCCAACTCATGCTCCTGTCCCTCCTGCTGTCCCTTCCAATGTGACACCGGCCTTAGCTGGTCTCGATCCTGTTGCTCTTCTAGAAGCCCGTGTCAAAGAGGATCCCCGTGGGGATATGGATGCCTGGCTCAACTTGATAGCCGACCATAGGCGTTCCAGCCGATTGGACCAGGCTAGAAGTACTTATAACCGCTTCCTCGAGATCTTCCCTCAAGCTGTGAGTAAGCCTGTCCCTTGCCTGTGATATATGTACTAACGGCCGTTGCAGGCTGATATTTGGGTCGATTATATTGAGATGGAGCTTGGACTTGATAACTTTGTCGATGCTGAGCAGCTTTTCGGAAGATGTCTCATGACTGTTCCCAATGTGAAGCTGTGGACAGTCTACCTAAACTACATCCGTCGTCGCAACGACTTGAACAATGATCCATCTGGCCAGGCTCGCCGGACGATCACTCAGTCTTACGAATTTGTAATTGACAACATCGGCGTGGACCGAGATTCCGGCAACATCTGGCAGGACTATGTACAGTTTGTCAAGAATGGACCAGGCCAAATCGGCGGAACAGGATGGCAAGATCAGCAGAAGATGGACCAGCTGCGCAAGATATATCAGCGTGCTATCGCTGTCCCCATGTTGACCGTCAACAATCTCTGGAAAGAATATGATCAATTTGAAATGGGACTGAACAAAATGACTGTAAGTTTCATCGTTCCGCTACCTAAGAAATAAGCTAATGATCAGGGCCGCAAATTCATCCAAGAACGCTCGCCAGGCTACATGTCAGCCAAGAGTGCCAATATCGCATTGGACAACATCACTCGGCACCTCAAGCGCACTAACCTCCCAAGGCTCCCACCTGCTCCTGGCTTTAACGGAGACCAGGAGTTCAAGGACCAAGTTGAAATGTGGAAGAAATGGATTACCTGGGAAAAGGAAGACCCGCTTGTGTTGAAGGCCGACGAGCCGAAGACATACAACCAGCGAGTCCTCTATGTCTACAAGCAAGCCTTGATGGCACTGCGATTTTGGCCTGAGATTTGGGTTGATGCAGCCGAGTGGTGTTTCCAAAACGACATTCGTGAGAACGACAAAGAGATGGGCACAGAATTGCTACTAGAGGGTATCCGAGCAAACCGCGAGAGTGTATTGCTTGCGTTGAAGCACGCTGATCACATTGAAGTGAACTACCCAGGCAAGGAAGTTGACAAGGCCGAGTTTGCGCAAGCTGTCCGCAAGCCCTACGATGATGTGCTCGAAACATTGTACGAGATGGGCGACAAGGTCAAAGAGCGGGAGAAGTTGGAAGTCTCAACACTGAAGCAAGCGGCGGCACAAGATCCGGTCCAAGCATCTATCGAGCAAAACGATGGCGACGACGAAGATGACAAGCCCAAGCGATCGCCTATGGAGGAGCGCATTGTTGCCATCCAAAAGGGCTATGCCGCTGAGACGCAACTTTTGTCACGGACGATTTCCCACGTCTGGATTTCTCTGGCAAGGGCTATGCGTCGCATCCAAGGCAAAGGCAATCAGTCAGAGGGTGGTTTGCGCAAAGTATTCACCGATGCCCGCCAAAAGGGACGACTCACAAGTGATGTGTACGTCGCTGTGGCTTTGCTCGAATCGGTTGTTTACAAGGATCCAGTAGGCGCCAAGATCTTTGAAAGGGGTGCACGTCTATTTCCCAACGATGAGGTATTCATGATAGAATACTTGAAGTATCTCCATTCCAAGGATGACACGACCAGTAAGTTGAACACGTTCCCTAGATAAAATGAAGCTAACGATATACAGATGCGCGCGTGGTTTTCGAAACCTGTGTGAACCGCCTAATTTCTAAGCCAGAAACTCTATCAAAAGCCAAGCCACTCTATGCCTACTTCCACAAATACGAATCGCAATTTGGCGAGTTGTCACAAATCGCCAAGCTGGAAGAGCGCATGGCAGAGCTCTTCCCAGAGGACCCCAAGCTCAAGTCCTTTGTCGCCAGATTCTCAACTGAGAAGTTTGACCCAATTGCTGCCCCAATCATCATCTCCAAGGCAGTGCAAATGCGACCAAAGCAAATTGTCCCTGTCGTTGAACAGCCTGTTTCTCTACGAAACAGCCCGATGCCAGCGCGGCAGGAACAAAGCCCCCGTCCTCAGTATGTCCGGGCCACTGCTTCACCAAAACGTCCTCTCGCTCTTGACGATGAAGAGCTCAACCCCCCGAAGCGACTTGCTAGAGGCGCCTCGCCGCTCAAGGGTGCTGCAGGCCGCCGTCTTGACCAGCAAAGACGAAACCAAGCATCGGCGTTGCACAGGGACATCACTTTCCTGCTTGGAATCCTTCCACCATCTCAAAGCTTCGATGCCCCGCGGGTTAACCCTGCGTCCTTGGTGTCTCTCCTCCGGGATACTCAGCTTCCTGACTATGCTACACTGAAGGCTGCTGGTGGTGGTCAGCCGCGCTTTGGCAACCCTACGCATGCAAGACAAGTATCTGGCGAGTTTGCCAATCGACCATTGAGCCCATACGGAAGAATGTCGTCTGCAGCCGGGGGGTACAGGAACTCGCCATTGCGGCCAGAGAGTGGAAATGCCTATCCAACAAACCCCTATCCTCCTCCTGACGCAAGCGGACAGCCGTCTGGATGGCCGCAGGTACCCGGTGGCTACAATGCGCCGGCGCCTGGACAGTTTGGAGGATACCGATTCTGAGATTAAGTCTCTGACAAGGATTATTAATAGAATGGACAGCGATGAAAGACTTTGGGCCAAGAACAGTACCGTCTAATAAACTGAAAAGGGACTTTTTGGATGATGCTGGTATTTGAGCTGGGGTTTTCCTTGCCTCGCAATTCATGCATGGTATGGCGTTTGGGGGAATCGGCGACAGAAGCAAGTGGTGATTGCTATGGATATCTTGTGCTGAGAGGATGGATACGGCGATGAGATCCCTCGCCTCCTCATTTTTACAATCCGTAGCTTTAGCAAGCTGATATAATCGATAAACCGAGTCGTTTGAATAGTTTTGTGTTTCCCCTTTTCTGCTCGTGACTGTTGGGACTTGTTCAGGTTGTAGTTGCTTGCAGAGGTACCTAGCCTACATCTGGATGTCCATGTCAGTACTCGATGGATGGTAGCAATACACAAAGTTTACCATATTTGTCTACAAAGACACTCATGCTGGATGTAGGAAATCGTCGGTGTGCTTTCCATGCTTGTCAGTCACGTCATAGTGGTTGCGGCTAGTTTCCAGGCAGTGTTACAATCTGAGTAGTGGCCCTGCAGACAAACCGAAATACAGTACCGTAACTCGGCGTTTATGACCACATCAACACATTTATAAATGATTGTTCTCCTGTAATATGCTCTAAAATGATCTAGCAATACTATTAGATACTAATTCAGATTGCTAGGCTCTTCATTGTTGCCAATTTGTATGTTGCAGCTGGTGCCCGGTCTCGGCATCGAACCTGCCTGCGCCCGTCTCCTTCCTCAAATCTCAATATCAAATCTCCCACTGCCTGCAGCTATCCGATATCGCTCCATCCTCACTGGTAATTGTACTGCAAGCTGATTGCTAGGAGAGTTTGTTTTTCTTTCCTAGTGTGCTCCCCTAAACCTCCTACCTTTCACTCCCTGTGCACCTCACTCCCTCACAACAACCTTCACAGGAGGAGCAGCACATCTCCTCTGCATCTCCTCCACGCAGAAAACTGAGCCTAAAGCTTAGGCTTCTCCTCTTTCTTTAGGCCTTGGGGATATCCTACAGTGAGTCACGGCCCCTTCTGAGGTTCTCAAATCCCAGCTATAAAATCCCCTCTTCCTCTCTTCTTACTCTCCTCTTCCTTCTTCCCTCAACATCATCCACCACATCTCTTCCACCTTGAACAAGCACTTCAAACACCTCCAAGCTTGTCCAAACACATCATCCTCTATTATCTTATTCAAACACACGCCCCTATCGCCTCGAGCAAACACTCACATCCACTAGATTCCAGCATCTGTTTTCTCCCACAAGTGCCAACACAAACAGTTTACCTGCGACCGGTAAGTCTATCCCTTTCGTCTCTCAAGGCACAGGCATCGCTTCTCTGCGGGCTATAAATACCCCTTCTTTCTCCTCCTCCAAAAATCTTTCTTCACACACTTTCATCACATCTCTACTGCTCACCGCACACATTCCTCAACATTCTCCAACCTCATTTGAAATCCTTTTCGTACTCAATCACTAACTCTTCAGACAAATCTGTCACCATGTCTGACCGAGGTCGCTCGTCCTCCCCGGCTGGGTCTGGTGGCCCTTCGGGATCTGGAAGACGACCTTCCCAGTCCCCTGCGGCTTCTGCTGGCGGATACGCCAAGCCACTTGGCTACGATCCCGCAAAGCCTCTGAAGCAACAGGATCAGGGCAACACTCGCATGGAGTTGCCTCCTGATGCCTACATCTCTGAGACTAAGAAGGACATGTTCACTCTTCGAAAGGGTCGCTTCAACACTGAAGGCAAGCCCGAGCAGATTGAGGTCAACCAGTATCGAATGACCAAGTTTGACTTCAGCAAGAAGATCTACCAGTATGACGTGAGTATCCCTCAACTAGACACTTTTCTTTGATACTAACATCACATTCAGGTTGTCATCTCGCCCAACCCAGACAAGATTGTACCTGTCATGAAGAAAATCTGGGCTCACCCTACGACCCAGAAGACCATGAAGCCATACAAGTTCGAAATGTGGCTCTTTGACGGCAAGAAGCTGGCATGGAGCCCAGCTCTTGTTGACCGCGGTGAACTTCGTTTCAGCGTTGACTTGGACGAAGGTCAACGTCCTGCTGGTGCTAAGCCTCGAGACGGCGGCAAGTTCTTCGTCACCATTCGAAAGACCACTGAAATCCAAGTCGCTGCTTTGCAGGGCTATCTGAACCACAAGATTTCGTTCAACAACAGTGTTCAAGAGGCACTGAACTTTATTGATCATCTTGTTCGACAATTCCCCTCCAAGAACCTTCTTGCCATCAAGCGCAACTTCTACAGAACTGGACAGCCTGGAGCTCCTCTAAACGATGGAGCCATCGTCGAAGTTCACAAGGGAACTTATGCTTCCATTCGAATGAGCGACAACTTGAAGCAAGGTGGTGTTGGCCTTGGCTACAACATCGATGTGGCCAACACTTGCTTTTGGATTGGCAACCAGCCACTTGACAAGATGGCGTGCAATTTCCTTGCCACATCTGATTCCAACAAGTTCGGCGGCATTCACCCTGGTAACCTGAACGAGCATCTCAAGCCTGTCAGAGGCAAGACCGGATGGGAATCATCCGATGCCTTTAAGCAACTTCGCAAGTTACGTCGCCTCAGGTTCAAGGTGAAGCACAAGGGTCGTCCAAATGAGGACAAGCTCTACACTATCCAGGACTTCACGTTTGATGCCAAGTTTGGTGAAGCTGGTTTCAATTCTCGAACCCACACCTTTGAGAAGGATGGTAAACAAACCTCAGTGTTTGAGTATTACAAGAATACGTACAATGTCACTCTGCGACTTTCCCATCTTCCCCTGATCAACGCTGGCAAGGGAGGTTACATTCCTATGGAACTTGCCTTCATTGACAACATGCAGCGTTATCCATTCAAGCTGAACCCCGACCAGACAGCCGCGATGATCAAGATCGCTGTCACCCGCCCTGCTGTACGCAAATCAGACATTCAAAAGGGAGCTGCCGCTCTTCAGATCGGCCAAGATCCTTATCTGAAGGAGTATGGTGTCAATTTCGAAGCCCAATTTGCGAAGACCGAGGCTCGTATCTTGCCTCCCCCAGTTGTCAAATTTGGTCAGGGTCAAGCGGATCCCAAGTTCGCTGGTCGCTGGGACTTGCGAGGCAAGAAGTTCTTCAAGCCGAACACTGCGCCTCTCCAGAACTGGGGCTTTGTTGCCTGTGAGGTACAAGTTCCACTTCCCGTTATGCAGGCTTTTGCCGCATCTTTCAAGACCACATTTACGGGCCATGGTGGAAAGGTGACGAGCGACCCTCAGCTGCTGAATGCACCCGGCAACCTCCGGTATGAACCCGCCAAGATTGTTGAATGGGCTCATAACCAGATCACTACTCGGACCAAGGGGTACACTCAGCTTTTGTTCATAATTGTGTCCAAGAAGAACAGCGGTACCTACGAGCGCCTCAAGAAGTCTGCAGACTGCAGATACGGTATTCTCACCCAGGTCGTGCTCGCTAGCCATGTTCAAAAGAATAATGGTCAGTACCACTCCAACGTTTGCATGAAGGTGAACGCCAAGCTTGGTGGTGCAACTGCATGCACTCCTCCCTTGTGGAAGACCCAAACATTCTTTCCCGACGCTCGCCCGACCATGATTGTAGGCTGCGATGTCTCTCACGCTGCTCCCGGTGGTGTCACTGCTTCAGTGGCTTCCATGACCATGTCTGTGGACAACAATGCCACGAGATACGCCGCAGTTGCTGAGACCAACGGCTATCGGGTTGAGATGCTCACACCTACCAACGTTCGGTCGATGTTTGGACAACTTGTTCCCCTCTGGAGGGGGGGCCACCCTGGCAAGGTCCCTAACCACTTGATCTATTTCCGAGATGGCGTTGGTGAAGGCCAGTTTGCCCATGTCCTGGAACAGGAAGTTTCCGAGATCAAGAAGTTCTTCGCTGGAAGCCTTCGTCCCGAGCAGATGCCCAAGATGACGGTGATTATCGCTACCAAGCGCCACCACGTCCGTTTCTTCCCTCAGAGAGGTGACAAGAATGGAAACCCTCTGCCAGGTACCCTGGTCGAAAAGGAAGTTACCCATCCATTCATGTTTGACTTCTATCTCAACTCTCATGTTGCTATTCAGGGCACTGCACGACCAGTCCATTACTCAGTGATCCTCGACGAGATGGGCATGCCTGTCAATGATCTGCAGAAGATGATCTACCAACAATGTTACTCTTATGCACGATCCACCACTCCGGTCTCTCTTCACCCGGCCGTTTACTACGCGCATCTCGCTAGCAACCGAGCTCGCGCTCATGAGAACATGGCCTCAAGTGATGGTTTCCGAACTGGCGCGAAGGGACACGAGATTGCTCGAGAGAAGCAAGCTCATGGTGTTGGCTCGTCGGCTCCTAACAGGACTCTCGACGCACCTCCCTTGATTCGCCTTGGAGGACCTCTCACCCAGCCTCCTGCAGAGGGTGAGGAACGTCAGCGAAACTTTTTCCGCTCGACCATGTGGTACATCTAAACAACCAGGTGATGAATGCATGTCATGGACTAGGAGACATTGGTATGCAACGGTGAGGAATGGTGATGGGTAATGAATGAAGAGAGATGATCGCTAGGGAGGAGGGAAGGGCATGGACAATGCAAGCGATCTTGTTCTGAGGCTGATGCAGAGGCATAGAAGCACACAAACTAAAAGGGGCGACCGGTTTGGCGGGAAGTGGCGGCGGAGGTTGATTTTATTTGTTGTACCTAAACTAGCTCTAGATCAATTTCATCGTGATGATCTGGAAAAGTCTGTTCCTTCTTCCTATTGAGAGGTGTCCCATGTTGAATGCTAAGTTGAGTAGTTGTTGGCTGAGACCAAATGAAGCTCCAACATTGCAGTGGCATAGTCACCGTCATGCTCCTATACCTAAAAATAAATACACCACGAGCTCAAGCGGAAGCCAGTGGCAGGAAAAGGGTTAGATTACCCACTCGCGATCTTATATTGGTTTGCTGATTGAGGGCCTTGACATAAATTCAGGATCCGGAAGCAAAATGATCGGCTTGTGCGAGATGCTTGCGTTGGTGGCGAATGTCTCGGTCACAATGGATGGGCTGTTTCGTACCTAACTCACGTCCTTTCCCCCGAGCAGTACCCGTGAATCATTCAGAGGTTTAATATTTATCAATTTATTGGCATAGCGTCTGGCGATAGTGTGTTTATGACTTTTAGAAAAGAGGATCAACGAGGAGATAGTTTCATGTTATACAGTTGACGACTTTTGCTGAGCGATTATGAAAAGTCATCCTAAGAAGGCCATATAAACCACCAATATTTGGTTGTTATCCATCATACTGAAAATATTAAACCGCGTTATCATCCCACTCGCAACTTCCCATTTCAGGGTAGGTTCATGTGATGTTCTCTTTAACGTGTGGCTGAAGATCACTTTGCTGATCTAGGAAGTGAAACACGCCCATTCCTAACATCAAAGACGTGACGCAGAAGAGAGCTTCGGTGTGGCCCGTTTACGATAAGTGGATGTCTCAGATCCTTTAGAGACCTGAAAACGGCTGCCCGGTTCGTCGAAAATCCAAAAACAACATCTGGAACTGGGTTGTGGTGACCTCTCGAGATGGATGGTTCCGGACTTTGGTCTCGGGAGAGACACTTGGCATCAGACAGGATTTCTGCTCCCAGATATCTATGTGATCATACCGAGAAGAAAAAATAGAGCAAAGAGTTTCAAGAAGAAGATAAATACCACTCTGGTTCTACACCTTCTATTGTCGAATCATCTCTTTCATTCACCCAGTCACTCACTCATTCTTTGTGCGCATTTCAAGTCATTTTTTACTTTTCTTTCTAGTACTACACAATCAGAATGGCCCGATCATTTTTCCTTGCTAGTCTTCTGGTCGCTGGTGCCTACGCCCAGTCGACCCCCGACCCTGCTCTCTCAGGTTACCAACACCTTGGCTGTGTCGCTATCCGACCTAGAACGTTCCCCCGACAGTACAACCTGGGCCTGACAGGATGCACTTCGACTTGCTCCTCAAATGGCGACATCATTGGGTTCCATGGCAACAGCTGTGTCTGTGACCGTCTTGACCTGTCAGCCGAACCTATTACCTACGGCGTCGTCAAGGTAGACAATGCTCTCTGCAATGTACCATGTGACGGAACCGATAGGTCCAATGGCACATGCGGGGGTGCCACTGTGCAGGGCTGGCCCATCTACGATCTATACAAGAGGAACAACGCCCGGATCGTCTACGAAAACTTTCCAAGCGCTACCCCAACTCCTGTTTCCAGCGTCTACCCTGACTCGACCAGCGGACCCAAGCCTGGCGATGTATGGCACGAGTGCCCACCACACGTTGTCGACTGCCCTTACCGCAACAAGTGCCCTAGTGGGAAGTGTCACCAAGCCCCGAAGCCTGTTGTGAAGCCTTGCCATGGATGCGCTTACAACGGCACTGGTAACTGGACTGCTCCTACTTGCCCCCCTGGTGGTTGCAACCATGGTAGTAAGCCTGCTCCTGTGCCTGTTCCTGTCCCTCCTCCTTGCAATGGCAGCTGCAACGGCGGAAATGGTGGTAACGGAGGCAACGGAGGCAACGGAGGCAACGGCGGTAATGGCGGTAACGGAGGGAACGGCGGCAATGGTGGAAACGGAGGATCAGGAGGAAACGGAGGTAACGGGGACAATGGCTCAGGGGGCAATGGAGGAAATGGAGGCAACGGCGGTAACGGAGGAAATGGCGGCAGTGGTGGAAATGGAGGCAATGGGGGAAACGGTGGTAACGGAGGAAACGGAGGTTCAGGTGGCAATGGCAGCTCTGGCAACGGCTCTGACGGTCAAAATGGCTCTGACGGAAACGACAATGGAGGAGATGCGTCTCCTGTCATTGTGAACTTGGCCGCCAAGGTCCAGAGCACAAGCTTTGTATCATTCTTTCTAGCACTCTCCTTCGCCTTCACTCTTTTATAGGCTTTGGAGAAGACACGCCCATTCATAGGGAGTTAGAGGTGGCGCATTTGTTTCTTCCTTAACGCTTTCAGCATAGAAAAGGGGTAATGAGGTGGTTTGCATAAAGTTTCAGCTTAATATAATATCATATCAGCCATGGACAGCATCATTGAAGTAGTTAGGTGTCATTATGCTTTTATTCCTTTCTTTCATTTTACTTTACTTTTATGTTGTGGTACATGGAACTCCTCAAATGGCTAAAAGCTGAACATAGCCTCTTATGGCGTGCCTCCCCGCCGTCTTTTTAAGTCGCTTAAGCAATAATCTTCTCCTTGCACTCAATGCTGTGACTTGTCAGTGTATGTAAGACAGATCGGATCGACAACACTCACCCGTATTCAGACTTGAGCTGGTTCATCAATGTCCTAGCAAGGCTGGGGTAGACAGGGGCGACAACACCCTTGTCTGTGATGGTACCGTCGAGGACCATCTTGGTAGCTGTTTACATGTCAGCATGTCTCGCTGTTGATTGTGAAAGAAAAGGGGTAACGTACCAACACCGCAAGGAACACCGACCAGCCTGGACATGGCGGAGTAACCACCGGAGCCCTCAGGGGCACCGTACTCAACGAGGGTGGAAGTCCAGGTGTTCTGGCTGCCGTCCTTGTTGATGACCTCGAAGGTGTGTTGGAGGAACTTGTCTGATGTTAGATTGACTTTAATCGCATATGGTATTTAGTGAATACTTACGACAATGTCACGCTCGCCCTTCTCGTAAGCCATCTTCTGCTCGAGAGAAGCGCAAAGGGTGTCGAGAGCGGTTCCACGGGGGGTGATGTTGACATCGGAGAAGACACCAACTGTAGAACAATGTCAGCACGTGCTCATATAGCCAGAAAGTAGAGGGACCCACTCCACTTGAGTCCAGCCAGCACTTGGTTCTTAACGGACTCGTCCTTGAAAGAGGTCTTGGAGAGAACAGCCTTGGTCAGATCCTCCTCGCTTGATGAGTTGGCGCCAATGAACTTCTGCAGAGCATCCTTCCAGGGAATAGCCTGCTTGAAGAAGTCCTGCTCATCGGTGCTGAGGAAGCCGATGTCGACGAGGGCCTTGACGAACTGGGGGAAGCCGTTGTAACGCATGGTTCCTCGGACAACAGTCTCGGCATCGGGAATTCGGTAGCTATCATAATTAGTCGTTGCTGTTAAGGGTAGTTTCTATTAAACTTACCGCTCGCGGTAACCGGTGCTGTCTCGGTTGCCGTAGGCGACGAAGTTGAATCCCAAGTAACCACTGTGGTAGGGCTGAGCAGTGCTCATCAGATCGACACCGGAGATGTCAACCAGCTTGTTGTCCTCGTAGTACTTGGCGTTGTTCTTGAGGGCCAAAAGGACACCGCGGCTGCTCCAGCTGAACTTGTATCCTACACATGGTTAGAGAGATGCCGAAGGTGGCGATTCAGTTCGAATTACCTAGAGGGTTGTTGGAGTCTAGAATGTGATTAGCTTGGAGCTATAGTAAGCCATTGGGATGAGCTACATACTCTCAGGGGCGGGGAGACCACCGCAGTAGCTCTTGAAGGACTTGATCTTTCCTCCCTCCTGTTGAATGCGGTCGATGAAGTCGACAGCGTAGAGATGGTCGACACTGCAGATAGTTAGTAAACGGATAGCATCGCCAATGGCTGTTGGAAGACATACCCAGGGTCAACCTATAATAGTCAGCAAGCTGCAATTGAAGCATTGGGGGATGGACTTACACCAATCTCGTTGAGGACGGTAATACCAGCGGCCTTGGCCTCCTCGTGGAGCTCCTCCATAGCAGGAGAGACGTAAGAGGTAGTGACGACATTCTTCTTAGCCTTGATAGCGGCCTTGATGACGGCAGTGTGAAATGTGTAAGGGATCAGAGAGATTGTGACATCGTGCTCAGAGACGGCCTGCTCGAGAGCAGCGGAATCGTTAACGTCGAGGCTGACGGCCTTGGTGTTGTCGAAAGTACCGGCGAGGTTCTTGGCGGAAGCGAGAGTACGGCAAGCAACGGTGACGTGAACACCAGCCTTGGAGAGGACCTCAACAGCAGGGGTGGCAACGAAGCCGGAACCGAGGAGAAGAGCGGATTGAGGCATTGTTGACTTGATGATGAAGGATAGTCAGTATAGTTGGTAATGGAAAGATTCTCTTTGGAAATAACAACAAAGCTAATAATAAAGCAGGCAAGCAAAAGAATTTCAAGCACCTCTTTCCCTTCTTGTCGAGCTTGACGTTCGTTGGTTGGCCCCGCATATCGAGGGGCAGTCCGTAGTCGGAGGTCCGGGGGTCATCCCACCCGATGTCGGGAGAATAACCCGTAACAAAGCGTCTTTTGATACGCCAAAGCCTGGGGCTGACCAGTGAAATCATCAGTTTGTGACGAAAGACGCGGGTAACAGTGGGCACACATCTAAACTCTGTGAGTCTGTCTCCTGCTAATGAGTAGGAGAAAGGATGACGAAAATAAGTGCTCTGGGAGCTGGCACATATTCGCATCAATTGTATAAATTATTTTGTTCTATACTGATAAGGCTCAAATCTTTTGATACCCTGATGTAGACTAAAAAGGAATGCGATGCCGAAGTAGAAATTTGAAACAGAGGTCAATTGACTGTCAAGACTCATTACTATTATGGAATACCCAAGAGGCACAAAGACCGATTACAAGGTCCTAAGATCCAAATAATTATGACTCGCTATTCCGGTAGTATGGTCGCTGTTGTTGGGTTCCATGCAATGTCATTCCCAATGCTCACTCAGGTTAGTCTAATAGATTGCAGAATTAAGGTGGACGGCATCGGCCCATTCCAAAGACCATTTTCGGTAGAAAGAAGATGTTCTATCTATGGAAATAACTGGCACAATGGAATGGCGCGGCAATGTTGCTCTTATTAGAATCTCGACCTAGATCAATACAAATGAAGATCTCTGGACACTTGGAGACAACAGATTTCGCAGCGATATAATAGCTTTGTCTATAGAAACAATTAATAGCGAAATGGTGTTTCTGTTCATGGAATTTATTGTAATAGAGCTAAGTACCAAAACACCGGCCCTTAAACCTGATTGTACAGCGTTGAAGCTAACATCTGTCAACTAAACTCAATTGCGACTTTAAGTCAACGGCCATTTCGCTCCTGGTGAACTGCGCAAAATCGATACTGGCCTTTTGAATTATATATAGTTAGATTCATTCTATTTGGAATTGTTTTATGAACACCAGAAGCTTCGCAGTAGGCTGTGCGGTAGTTCCAAGGCAGCGAGTTTCATCAGGCGCCCGACAAGTCTCTCGTGATTTGACTGATCTGGTCGGATGGGGGTTGCATTCCAGCGCGACCCAGATAAAAAGTGTATTAACTTCCAAAAACAGTTTGTTGGACCAAACGAAAGGCCGGTGAGTGGTCGCTAGCACAGCCTTGGGGAATAGGCAGATGCCAACAAAGAGGCAACCGCCCACGGACCATATTCTGGCTTTGATCTTGAGATCTTCTCCCGAAACGTACAATCTCTTATCCACCGCAATCAAAGAGATAATAAAAACTTTATAGGCAGGGAGGCTATACCGGCCGTTGAGTGACACTAACGGTCAATAGATCCGGATGCCTCGAGAGTTCCCCCTGGAGACATATCCAGGGCCCGAGCCGTTGCCAGGTCGAGCTTAATTACCACGATACAATACTCCGTACCTTTTTGTGATTATTTGGAGGATTCACTATGATATCCCTTTTACGTGCCGGAAATGGAAGCTGTGTCGCAAATGGTAAGGCGGACTGGGAAGTGAGACTTGATTCAAGCCAACTCCGACCACCCGGTTGACCAAGACGGATATGGGGCGTGGAAACAAAATCACAGGCAGTACGTTCAGAATTTCACACAGATCAGAATCGGAACACACCAACTGGTGCCGCGAGAGGAGCTTCTAGAGTCGGCGTTGTAACAAGTCAACATTTCTCGAGTCAGTGACCAGGCGGCAGTGGCTGGACAACACTAGCCAAAAGTATAACAAACAGACTGATGCAGATTGTGATGGTTGTCAAGCTGTTGGTTGATGGTAATTTCACCTGCAAGTTGGCTGTGATGGTGGGAGTGAACAGAGGGTAGTGTCTCGAGCACCCCCTATCTTGGCTGACGGGTCAACAGATACTTTCATCGCAAGTTGGAAACACAACAGCCTCACTTTGGAAACCTAGAACTTCATCAGTTTCTGTCTTCCTGCATGACAAGATCGCGCTGATTGCCCAATGATGCTTATGTTCCTATGCCAACTTAGCCATACACCTGGCGGTGAGGTAATGCCTGTCCGATGAAGTTGGAAGATGACAGGCGGGTTTGCAAAGGAAGGCGCCACTGAAGGAAGCTCCCGCTTTCCGTTCCTTGTCTGGGAATCTCGTACTCGTTGTTTCATTCTTGGCTTATGTCCATTCAGTCATAGGAAGTAGGTACCTCCTTAGCCTAACCCCTACGTACCTGCCTGCATCCTCCGCTCCGGCTATCATTTCATTTCATCTCATCTCATCTTGTCTCTTGTCTCACTTGCTTCTTCCATCCCCTTCCTTCTGTGAGGAAATTGATGGCTAACGTCTTTGACTTCTGCGACATGACACCAGAAACGACAACACCAGGTTTCACCCTGTCTCAGTCCATATCAGCTCATCGAACTACTGCAGCCATACCGAAAGTCTTCAATACCATTACCGAGTACCCCTTTATCATGCGTCAACATGATCTTTGACAGCTCTTATCGCCCGAAATCCTCCACAATCGCTTTCGATATAATTATGTTCGTGATGGCGTCTGGGAGTAGGCGCGTCTACGTCTGCTTGGACACCTAAAAGTCTGTCCTGCAACACCTCGACCGTGGACACTACGCGAAAACAACCAGGACGAATTCGCCGACTACAAGAAGCCATTTTGTCAGCACCCGAAGAAGTTTACATACAGGTCTTCGTGACGCGTGTAAATGATGGAGACAGACGCTGGCCATATCATGGATAAAGATACATACTCTTCGTCAGTCTCTCTCACTCTTTCTTGTCGTTCAGTGTCACCCCCAATATGATGGCGAGAATTTCCTGAGATACCTATCCCTCTCATTTGCTAATTAGTATGCGCTCAAACAGCTGTGCCAGTTTCGCAGGTCAAAGCTCCCTTGTGTCTCGAAGCGACTCGGGTTCCTTTGTCAACAAGGAGTATCATTTCCGACTTGCTGCTTTCCTTGACCGTTTTCTCAAAGAAGATACCCCATCTCCATGGTCTACCTACCACACTCGTTCTCAACCATCCTCTTCCTTCGAGCATACTTTCGAGTTGTGGCTATGCCACATATTTCCCGACTTGCAACACCTGCATCACAACACGCCCCCTTCCCAACCTTTTGGGGCACATAGCAGAGACGATCAGGTTGAACTGATTGGTATTGGGGCTCAGTTCGGTCGCTCTTGATTCTGTACAACCATTCATTTTTGGGTCTCTTTGCTGAAGCCTACATGCACACCGACGTGGCCAGCAAGTAGAACGCTATCCACAACGCTGTCACGCCGTGATGGTGAGTTACTTTTTCGACAGAGCTTCGACGAGCTTCAGTTGGACGGGGCTATTGTGCAGGTGATCATATTTCGATGTCGGTGGTTTATAACGAAACCTTGGTTGATGGACCGGCATATACTATCGGCAACTTCTGCATTTTGCGTCAAGAGATCTAAAAGTCACCAATGGCTTGGTATTTCGACCTGATATTGGCCAGTCCCGAAGACTTGGTCACAATCTGTTTCTGTTTTCTTTTTGGCTTTTATCATTCTTCTCTCACTTCGGGGTCTATGCTCCCACGTCGTTCTATTCACATGCCTTAATGTACACTGTATCGACACAATTGTTTTAATGTTTATACATGGCGCTTGAGCCAAGCCCAGCCCTGCCCAACTACCGAGATGTCGTCAAATTTCCCCTTGGTTTCTTTTTTCGAGTCTCACTCATTGATCTACCTTTATTAATTCTCTAGCCTGTCCGTTTCTACCATTTCTTCTCTTCGGCTATACTTTCCTATCCTGTAAAACAAGGGTTAGCCTCTGCTCCGGGTGGACTCTCATCTTACATTCAGACATCCATTATATAGATTAGTACAAATATCAAGACTCTCTTTCCCCTCCCCCCATGGTTTACCGACCCCCAATCTCCAGTCTCAGTGACGCCATGACCTGCATCTTCAACTTCGTAGCGCAGAGCTTACCCCCAGACCTTCCCCACAACTTCCCCTCACTTTCCGGCAATAAATGGGATTAAGACAATCTAGCGAAAGCTTTACAATCCTTTGTGGAGAAGATGGGAAGAAGAACAATTTTGACTCGAGGAAACTCGAACTCGAGAACCCACCAATGAGACGAGATCATTGTTTCGGGAGAAACTGACTCAAGTTTCTTGACCTGAGGAGCCTTCGGCGAACCGCAATAGGTAGGTGACAGAAGAATTATCCTCTAAGACTTAAGCTGTCAAAATAAAGTAGTCTAGCTGCCAGTTGAGGCTAGCATAAGACAACTTAATCATTTTGTCTTCTACACTTTCAGCGGCCAATCCTTCTTACACCCTAAATGCGCAAGCCTTCGGAAACAAGAACAAGTGCCGGTAATTCGGAGATCTAGTGCGGGACTGGTCATCTTTGGGGGCAATTATACATGATGATCGTCTCATCACAGTCCAAGAGAAGCAATAGAGCAATGTTTGGGTTGCAGCGAGATCGGCGTTCAACGCTTTATAGGTCCGAACTTAATAGATGTGTATATATGAGCTGGTTCCCAACCGCAATTTGGAGAGGAGTTGTCATGCTGTACGACTCACCGTCAATCGTTACATACTATCATTGACACTTTATACCTCGGTCTTCAAGAAATTGGCGATAGCGGGAGATTCTACGGATCAATTGCAGAGTTCTCTACTCTGTAACGAAAATACCGCGAGTCTTCAACACTCGGCCATAGGCGCTTATTAAACGACGATATTGGCAGACTACCGCGCCCCTTACAGCACTTCAAGGAGAAGCACACCAGACAGTTTCGAAATGGCTGATTACAAAACTGCCAGCTCAGAGCTCGAACAGGCTCGCGCAGATGAAATGGAACAAACAGGTGATAGAATCACCAAGATTGACAGCATTCGTTCCGAGCATGCGAGCAAGCCACATGAAGATGGCATCTATGCTGAGGCTCTTGCACAATATCCAACCGACGACTCCATTGACCCGATACTGGAAAAGAGGGTCAGGAGAAAACTTGACAGGCTTATTATTCCCGTGCTGGGAGTTTGCTACTTCTTCTACTACGTCGACAAGACTACACTGTATGTTTTATCCTGCGAGAATACAACAAAGCCTAAACATCTGATCACTTCTCGTTAGTTCCTACGCCGCTATTTTCGGCCTCAAAGAAGATCTCGATTTGAAAGGGGATGAATACTCGTGGCTTTCCAGCAGTTTCTATTTCGGCTGGCTTGTCTGGGCCATCCCTTCGAACCTCCTTATGCAGCGTAGCCCTCCTGGCTACTACTTGGCTTTCAACATCTTCATGTGGGGTGCTCTTCTTATGACACAAGCTGCGGCAAACAACTTTGCCGGTCTCTTGGCTCTTCGAATTCTTTCGGGAGCATTCGAGGCCATTGCTGACCCAGCCTTCATGTTGATCACCTCGATGTACTTTACTAGAGAGGAGCAGCCCAGTAGGATCTCGGCCTGGTATGCTTTCAACGGTGTTGGAGTTGCTGGTGGAGGTTTGATTGGTCAGTAACTTAGTTCGGACAGTTTTACTTCAAGGCAGGGCTAATCTTTATCAAACAGGCTATGCCATTGGTAACATCAAAGGATCTCTGCACTCTTGGCGATACGAGTTCCTCGTTGTGGGCGCCTTTTGTGCGGCCTGGGCCATCGCTCTTGTCCTATTACTGCCCAACTCTCCCCGTACTATTCGAGGGTTCTCGCATGATGAGAAACTTGTCATGATTGCTCGAATGAGACGCAATCAAACCGGGATTGAACAACGTAGGATCAACTGGAATCAGATCAAAGAAGCGTATATGGACTATAAGACGTGGCTATTCACGCTCCTAGGCTTCGTGTCCAATGTTCCCAATGGTGGTATTTCTAACTTTTCCACCCTTGTAATCAGAGGATTGGGATTTGATACTCTTCATACTGCTCTATTGGGCATTCCCCAGGGAGTCCTTGTAGTCATATGGATCGGACTTGGTGCTCTAGCAAACAAGTATATGCCACCCAACAGCCGCACGCTTGTTAGTGCCATATTCATGATACCAACTATTGCTGGCGCACTCGGCTTTCTACTGGCTCCAGAGGATGCATATGTTGGACGTTTAATCTGTTTGTAAGTCCTTCCCATCTTCTTCATTCTATCACCTTTGGACCAATACTGACAATCATGAAGCTATCTCACTGGCTCTTATCAAGCGTCATTCGTAATCTGCCTTTCTCTCATCACCTCAAACACCGGCGGTCAGTCCAAGAAGATGATTGTTTCTGGAATGATTTGGTTTGGTGCCTGCATTGGCAATATCGCAAGTCCATTTTTCTACCGTCCCGAACAAGCGCCTTCATACCATCTCGGCATTGGTTCTCTCCTTGTGGCGAATTGCATCGAGTTTGTTCTTTTCTTTGTCTTTCGGTATGCGTTCAAATGGGAAAACAAGAGAAAGGAGAAACAACGCGAGGCTTTGCGTGCAGCGGGTCATGATGTTACTGCAAATGCAACCGCTTTCACGGATATGACAGACAAGGAGAACCCGAACTTTGAATACGTCTACTAGTTGTTAGACTATGAATTGATTTAGCATAGTACCGAGCTTTCAAACGTTTGAGCCTAGTCTAGCCGCTGAACTGGCGTGGTTGGCGCCATGAATCATTACTATCATGTCTATCCATTCTCGATACTACTTATATTTTATATCAGCCCGATCTTTTGATTTTAGAACGCAGCACGCATCATCAAATTTCAAAACACATGCCTTCTGACTTTCACATATGCATATTCATTGTTCCATTCTCTTCCATCGTCAAATTTCAAACAGGCCACCAGCTTCGGACTCCAACGATCAAAGGGTTCTAAGAACAATATATTGTTCCTGGTAGCGCTTCATCAATTTACTTGTCTACGAAAACAAGCCAGGAACTTATGTTGTTCGCTAATTTAGCTAGGATGTGCTGGGTGGACACGCTGATGTACTTGTTTTTATGCTGCAAAGAACAATCACCTTTTACTGCATTGTTCTGGTTTCTTAGGTATTGTCATTTGAAATTCCTAGAACACATGAAACTATTTGCCCATATAAACCTCCAGAACTTGCCCTTAGAAATCGAATATCTTAACCTCACAGCTCACTCTCATCCTGGGATATCATCTGCAACAAAAAGAACAAGCGAAACAGACTCACAAGGGGTTCCAACTCAAGGTAAGTATACCCACCAAGCATTTCGCTAACATCTACAGAAACCAAAACTCATCTTTTGCGATTTTCATAACCCAGGTAAGCACTCTCATCGAATTCTTTATAACGTCCTTTGCAGCGAACGCAATCATGGCTCCTGTTCCTAGATCGGCTATTATAGAAATCCCTGAAGTAGTCTACTGGGCGACGACGATCATCTGCTTCTCGCTGTTTATGTATGGTCTGACAATAATATGGATCCTACGACAAGATGGCCGAGAGCAGAAGAAAGAAATCTCTGAACATCACGAAGATTACCTTGTGAGTGAAGGCGGTAGAAGGGTCGCGGAGCAGCAGGCTCATCTCTTGAAAGAACTGTTGATCAAGTGCCAGGACGACTTGCGGGCAAGCCAGGAAAGGGACAGCAAGCATTGGAAACAGATGGCAAGGACCATCGAGGTCTGCCAAGCGCACCATGTCCGCCACAACGCACCAAATTTGCACCGTCTGGAGACAGATTCTCATGTTCACTCGGAATCGAGTAGCACCAACTCTTCGCCGGAACGCGAGGATCCTGAGTACTATGGCCCAAGTCGTTCCAGCAGCGCAGAATCTCAGACTCGCTCTGTCGTGCGCTCACTGAACCTAACGCAACTGGCGAATGGTGATGCGGCCCGATATATGGTCAATAACCGCTACCAGATGCCGGAACAGATTCGATTTGGGGACCATAGCCCAATTAACCGGAGCCCTGTCAGACCTGGCTCTGATCGGGGCTCGACAGAAAGTTTTGACTAGATGGCGCATGAGCCTTTCACAGCCCTTGGCTGGTCATTAGTCGCCCAACACCCTAAAGTCGCAAGATGATGCTCATGCTGGACGTGGGCAATGGGGACCAACCCGTTGTTGCCCTCCCCTTTTTCCTATTTTGGAATTCGACTGGATGATTTGCTTGGATCGTTAGGATTATTGATAGTTTTTGGTGTGCTATCAGTTGGAATGAGGTTTTAGTTGCGGGAACAGCTATCTTTTTGAATTGATTTTACCTAGATACGATTTGAATACATGCAACATGTGAGAAGATGACTTGTTGTGAGTTGTTGAAGCCGACGAACCCTATAAGCTGAATCCAGAATTCCATTGGTATCTAACTGTAACAATAACTAACCACTTTTCCCGTCCACTGAAGGAAGCCGCGTCTACACTTCGTAATCCCGATTAGAAGAATTTGCTCTTCAATCCACCCAGCACAACGTTCTTCTTCTGCTTGTTGAGGAACTTGTTCACGTCATCAGCCCATCCTGCGCTATTGTTCTGAAGATTCTCCATGTTGTCACCCATCATATTCAACTTTTCAGTTCTTTCGTTCAACTGTCTTGTCAGGTAATCACCCCATCCCTCCTGGCTGCTTGACCCGGCGGGAGCTGGTTCTCCTGCTCGAGCCGCACGTTGCTCAGCCGCGGCTTCGTCCATCATCCGCTTGCTAGGCGGCCTATCTGGCCCGCCGACGAGAAGGTCAAGATCGGCAGGAGTAATGTGTTGACTACCTGAGATCCACTGCATATTAGAAATAGTTGGCCGAGGTGGGCACTCAAGCTTGGGGTTGATCATAGTGTCTGGGGATTGCTGCGATCCCTTGCCTGATCCCCAGACATGTATCACGGCCAACTCACTGGGCCCTGACCACGCGAAGATATCACCGGTCTGTGTTACAACAGAGTTGGTGCTTCTTGTCACATCTATCATGGGAAGATCGGCCTTGCCAATTTCCTTGAGACCGGGAATCGAGAAAGCGCGAGCAGTTCGATCACCGAACAGACCAACCACCGCAACGCCCTGCAACTCAAGTTCTGCCACACATGCGGCATCGCAGAGAATGTCATCAAACTCTTTTGAAGCCCCCTTTGAATTTGCGGGCTTGAAGACTCGGACTTCTGTTTGTGTAACTACATAATGGTCAGTTTTATCGTCCAATGGTTACTATGTTGGGTGATAGACTTGCCTGCAACGAGTACGCCGTTGACTTGTCGCCCCTCTCTAAGGCCTGCCACGATTGGGCCGGTGGCAAGGGCAGGCTTGCCTGTATCTGCTTCAATTGGGTTGAGTGAGATAACCTTTCCGTCGAATGCCACGACACCTGCAAGCTGCACGGAATAGGTGTTATCCTGTCCGGGGAGAAGTTTGAAGGTGATGACTTTGCCCAAATTTGTTCCGACAAAGCAGCAAATGCTTGAATATTTGTCTTCATCTAAAGTCATGACGCCAAACTCAATCACAACTGGCCACTCCTTCGGGGGCTCTGAAGAAGAGCCATGGCCCTTCAAGAAAGAGGCTCGCTTGTCTTGCTTGGCGAAGTCTGTCATGGGTGCCTGGAAGATAATCGACGGTCCTCGGAGATCTATCAGTGTAAGAAAGCCCAGCTCTGAGCCCACGGCGGCGAAGCCAACGTTGGAAACCTGCACAGAGGTAATGGGTCCCATCATCATCTCGTACAAAACGAGAGGCTGCAGGCCTTCCTTCAGTCCTGGCTCTGCCCTGGAGCTAATATCTGTAAGCCCCTTAGGGTTTGGGTCAAGCTCTAGTGCCTGCTCTTTACCGAAGAAACGGTTCTGACCCCACCGGTAGATAATGGCTTCTCCTGTCCGTGTTCCTACGATAAATTCTCCAGTGCTAGTGGCCATATTCATGCAGGTGATCTCGACGTCTTCATATCGGTCGAGTGCTCTCGCGATGTCGACTTGGAGCTGAGTTCCATTCTCAATATCGTCGGCATGTCCAGAGTCCCAGATCCTGATAGTGCTATCGGCATGGGCAGCTTGGATGATGGTTCTCTCCTCAAATCTCTTCCGTGGTCGCGGTGCTTCGGCGCCTCCCTTGAGAAGTGGCTCGCCCTGGTTACGTTTCTCGAACATAGATAACCATCGAGGGCGCTCTAAAGACGAGACATTGACCTTTGTTACGAAGGGATGAACAAAAGAAACAGAAGGATGAAGCTGGTTAGTGGGACTGATTGGGTAGCCTGAAGGGAAACTCAGTGTAATCAGCTCGCCAGAGGAGAGAAGTGCGATGACGGCGATTGGATCTTGTGCGCCGCCAAAGTGGGGAGAGGAGCGTGGAATGAGAAGGAAGTTGACCGCCTGTGCACCAGAGGGGAGTTGGAGAAGAGACTGTCGCTTTCCACGGCAGTAGCTTGCGAGTATTTGCCATGTCGATGTCGCATAAACAGGTGTTTGTCCTAAATCAACAAATGTGAGTCCTTTGGGAGATGCATCAACACGTTGTCCGCCAGCGATTAACAGACCACTGTCATCGCAGTTTTCCTTGCAGCACCAGGCAATCTTGGTGATGGGCTCAGACAAAGCCGGCATAGGTGTCTCGGATGACGGCTGGTCAATGTCAAAGTCGGTCAAAGTCCTTGCCATGACGACCTTTTCGGCCTTCGGGTCCCAAAAGACCAAGCTTCCATCATCGTGGGCTGTCAGGATAAACGTGCCGGATGGATGCCACAGCGCATGTGTAAGTCGTGGCTTCCGGACTGTCTCGACAGCTACACCATTGCCACCTGGGGCACCTGCAGGTACCACGTACTCATAGTAATTGACAGCCTTGGCTTGCTTGAAGGAATAGACAACAGCGCCATGCGTGTACCCCAGTAGGAGCTTGCCAACATCTCTCGGATGAAGGGACATGGTAATAAGATTGACAGTGGGTGTGCCAGGGTTCTTTTCCTTCCAGAAATTGGGCAGTCTGAAAGAACGCGCCAGATTTCCTCTATCCAGATCAAAAGCCATGATGTCGCCATTGTACAGTCCGATAAAGGCCCAGTCGAGCATAGGGTCTGTCACCAAAGAGACGACCTGGCCAGCGACGACCATGGCAGCAACACGCTCGCCGGTATCGAGGTCCCATATTCCCAACTCGTTCTTCGCATCGACGGTTACAAGGCGGTTGGCTGAGAATTGAACGATCTGGAATGATGTGGATCGGGGGGGCTCGAGTATCTTGTGCACACGTCGCTGTCCAAAGATGTAGACCTTGCCAGGGCCAAACTTGCTTTCACCGGTTCCAATGGCGAGGAGGGATTGGACTGGGTCGTATGCGTAACAGCTGTAAGGGTCAGCTGGATCAATTTTTGGGTCATGACAGTGATGAGAAGTTGGGAAAGGTTGCGCTACCTGATTTGAGAGTTGATGCCATAGCGAGCCTGATCGTCGGGCATGAAGATTTCGGGTCTGATGCTCGCTGATAGGTCATTCTGCATGCCAGTCTGCTTGCCACGCAGGAAAGCCGCCATCTTGGTGTTATACGTCGCCGTTGACGATGGCGATAACTAATTTGGACTATACTGGAGTGCTATAAGGGTCTAGCGGTGCGTATAATATCTTTTAGAGCTTAGAGCTCTCACTCTGAAAATGAATGGAGGACGGGAGATGGGGGGAGGACGAAGAAGAAGAAGGGACCTTCCAAGTTGTGGTGGGGTTTGCGAAGATGCCCACTGTAGAGAAGGTACGTAGTGCCCTGTAACTTCTCAATCGCTGGACTGTCCAAGACCCAAGACCCAAGACCCTTGGCAACGGCAACGTCATCCCGCCCTATCACCGTGCGCGATTCGATCACTGGTAGCTACCTAATACTGTGCCTAATATTAAAGTTCCAAACGTTTTGTACGACACTCTAGAGTTATTCTTTTCGTTAGGTCTCGTAAGGCGCGCGCGCTTTGTGCTGTGCGACTTATTATCTGCTTAAGCTGTGAAACCCCACCAGAGCATCATTTTTCGATGGAAGTCAAGGCCCAATCCTGCAAGACAATACAGTACACGTAAATATCTTGGGGTTGTTGGCCAATAAACTTGACCCACGGCCAAGACTGCACCGCCTCAGAGCAGGTGATTACAGCAGAGTCAGGCGTTGCTGTCCGCGCGTTCGTCCTGTGTCGTACAACACCTAGTGTCTGTAGCAGTGTTTTAGCAGCTTATTCTAGTAGCTTGGTTTCTCATTGATTAATTTCTTAGGCGCACAGATCAAACCACATAGCATAACATCACGAGATCTGTTCTGAGACTTGGGCTATAAGGCCTAAATGCATTAACATGATAATAAAACTGCACTAAGGCTCTTATGCAAGGTGTACCTTTTTTTGGCAGCGGGATGTTCCTTGCTTGCCGTCGGGTGCTTGCATAGTTCCGAGATGTTCAATGTTAGCGCCAAACTAATGAGCTACCCTTTAAACGATAATTATTTGTAGTTCCAGCATGGTATAGTATTGAGATAGGACTATTTTAGACTTTAGTAGATGATCTAGTAGATAAAGATCCAGGTATAGTACGAAGCTTCTTTGGAATTCTTGGACGTGGTCTATCCCAAGACGTTTAGACATGAGTATCACACGAGAGAATCATCGATATCATCGTTCAGGATATCTTGATGATCTGATAGATTTGATTTTTCACATAGATAGAACCAATTTGACATTCTCCATAGTATCTCTCTGTTCAGTCTTGAGTGATGACATGACTCCACGTAAGGGTCTTGCATCTTGGTAATCCCCAAAACCTGTCGATCGTCCCATCTATTGTCCAACCTTTGATTGATTTCGAATCCACTTGGACTAGTTCGATGACTGCCGAGTGACATGTACCGAGATACGTCACAGCACCCTGTTCTTGACAGCTGAATTGTCTAGAACGATCGACGTTTGACGCAAGAGTTTAGCCTATAGCCACGAGTGAAACAGGTTGGCATCGATCGTGTCGTGGTGTTACAATGCCTGATCTTGGTTGGAGTTGTCGTCCAGCTGTTCTGTACTGGGCCAACGAGCCGCAATGACGACCCAATACTACTACATACCTACAGCTACAACAGATAGTATGGATTGTTGAAAAGTAGTCCACGTGGGCCTAGGCGAAAGAGCTGCATGCATACAGGGCATCTCCCAACCCACACACTTGTCACTATCGATGCCCAGTGAATCCTGCCTAAGCTGAAACTCGGTGTCGATGCAAAGTTGGAGCGCAGTAATTATCGAAATTCCAGAAACAGACTGGCGAGGCTTGCACTTTATTATTGGCCGCAGGTGACGGTTGGGTTCTGTCGTGGCCTCTGCAATTGGCTCCTTTGATCGACGTGTCGTATCCGTTGGGCATCACTTGCAGCTAGCTCACCTGCCCGCCCCTCCCAAAAAAACATCCATCATATCCTCGTCCTCTGACGTGGGCCTGTCGGAAGCCTCTTGTTGGCCGTCGGCCCTAAAACTGCAGTTTACGATCTATAGTCCATCATAAGCACCAGACGCAGGCCGCTTTTCTGGTCTCGCCTCCCCCTGCAGTCTGCAGAAGAGATAGGTAGCATGGCATGGCATAGCATCATGCTGCGCTGGGCTGGATTGCTCACTCTTTCAAGGCGGCCTACATGACATGTACTGCCATTGCCAAAGAGACTCTTTCCTCAGTGCCCAATCCATCAGCAAGGCTGTCTTGAATACCCAAAGGCTATGAGACTTCAAGTATACAAAGGGAGGCGATTTTCATTGCTTCTGTCTATCCGCTTATGGATACCGACAACCGATCGACACAGCACTACTACCACCCAAGACACAAAGGCAGAAACACTTCTTCAATCCTTCGAGATGAGCAGTTTTTATAGCCACGGGCAACTATCTGCCGACCAGTTCCGCCACTCAGACTCAGACTCTGACTCCCGCTACCATCACACATGGGCTGGTCCATCCTCTTCCTCCGGCTACTACCAGGAGCAAACATCATCAGATCCCCGTTTCCATGCCTTCGGTAACTACTATGCCAACCAATCAAACTCCAACTCGGGCTACTCCTACAACCTCGGCGGCTACTCTGAGTCTCAACAGTCCGACTACCATCCACACATGTGGCAGTCTCAGGAACACGGCGGCGTACCACCATCTTCATCTTCAGTCGCCACTTCAAGTCCACCCAACTTACAGGACGAGGCTTGTGGCGGTGACCAGAATACTTGTGTCCAATGTGACAAGAAATTCAGACGTCCATCGGATCTCGCGTAAGCTTCAACCCCAACCACTTCATAAATAAGCAAGCATCGATGACTAACCTATGCCCCTACAGAAAACACTCAAAGTACCATCAAAAGCACTTTTCATGTCTTGTCTCACAGTGCTCCGCTGCTTTCGCTACTCAGAAAGACCTGACCCGGCACATGCGTACACATCGCAAAGGCGAGGGCTACCAATGCAAGGTAGACGGATGCCGCAAGGCCATGTCGGGCCATATCTACTCACGAAAGGACAACTTTGATCGACATATGCGGACGGCGCATCCAGAACATCCGCAAATCTGAGAGGCAAACAGAGACTCTCTATTATACGACAGACGCACTGTGGTGGTGCTTAAAGATTCAAAAGCCAAGGAGAGCTTAACAATACGGCGTATTATCGTTTGATATTAGGGAGCATATGTTTGAGTATAACGAGTAACGGGAATTTTCATATTTATTGTACGAAGCAATGAGGCATATTCAGATAGAAGTCACGCCTAAATGGCGAGTGTCAAAATGTGTGTTTGGCAGAGGCATTGTGTAAATTACAAAGAATTCAATTCTATTATACGAGAGCTCTACGGTGAAGACTTGATTTGATTTATTGTAAATCCCGGTAATCTCCAACACGATTTCAGACGACTCATCCATTCTTTTACCTATTTATAGTTAAAGAAGTTTCTTGATATTGGGAATAGCCTTTGGAAGAAACCTTTTGCATCACTATAATCAAAGAGGCACTCCCGTACTCCCAGTCACGTTGTAGTTCAAATATTTTAGACTTCTGGTATTCTACTTTCTCATTCTGCGGTATAAGGACTGTTGCTTTAGCGAGATATGAGCAGCATATCAAGAAAACAAGATCGAATGTTCCCTAGTGGGCTACCAGCACCACTTCACAACAACTGGATGTTGCTGGTCCTAGTTGGTCAATGACCATAAATATCTTGAATGGCAAATAAATATGACATTGATGAGCAAGTCCGACTAGGGCCTTTTTCGATAGAGCAATACGGACAGGGTGAAAAGGGCTGAATGTATCCGCAGTTTCTAATATTGATTTTGAGTCATGGTCCTGTTGACTTTAGATGCTTCCTTTCTCAAGAAGGCAGGTTCCAATCCAACCCAGTCATGAGATACCTGGTTTCAATAAGTAGAGCAGAACACATTTGCAACTTTTGTTCCTCTTTTCCTTTTGACATTTCCTGTTCTAAAGCCCAAGCTATGAAATTCGAAGGCTTCTATAGGCAATGATTTACCTATCACTGGATGTTGAGGTATAGTTAACATCTACCAGGATCTCAGAGACGGGCCTCCCCAGTAAGGATATGAAACAGACTATAGTATCCCAGCACTAAGATAACCGAGATGAATTCAGCTGCTCAGCCTGGGAGCCCTTAGGAAGTAACATGCCTTGAGGGACAGGACGAGGTTTCACGAGATGAGTAGATACCCTATATCTGAACCAAGTCTAGACAGAACACTGGTTAGCGAACCGAATATCACTTAAAATAGGCGTCGCTACAGCACGTTGTAGTTTTGAAGCGCGATATCGTAAATTTGCTATATTTAGGCAAAGCATATGGCCGCCTCATGTAATCAATACCTCGGCTATCTAGAAATTCACATCAGTATCGCCATTTCACCGTATCTTTAGCGTGGTTCACAGCCTTCAAGGTCGATCTTGCAACGTGGACCTCGTATCCGATGGTATATTCCCTGTGGCTCGGCTCGTACAAGGATCCTCTTTACGCTTTGCAGGGCTACTTGTGATTTTAAGCCAATTTCTATTTTGCTATCTATTACATTGACCAACCTAAGCCCCCGAGTCATGAGAGCGAACAGTGAGAAGATCACTAATCTGAACCTGCCAGATGGGAATTCTGGCGCAGCATGAGGCTCAAATAAGACGTGAACAATAAAGCTAAGCATAATCCTAACCGATGCAGTTTAGTCTAAACCCGTAAACGATATGATCGCCAGACTAGAGCATCAGGCTGAGACATGGGGTTTTCGCGATCAAGACACGAAGCATCTCGCTTAGGACACTGCCTCTGGCTAATAATGAAGCCTGTTCGGCTGAAATGATGGGGTCGCATGCATAAGAAGCAATCGTAAGCTCAGTCTCATATTTTTATGTCCGTATTGTGGTAGGATCTACAGAGACTAGTTCAATGCATCCAAAATGGCCTGCAGCGGAAACATCCATGACAGGCTACCACTCACTGAGGTATGATGTGGAAGCCTGATTTGGCTTAGGAGGTATCCAGGGTGTATTATGTTCGAATGCTCCGGTGTCTTTCAAGATTTGTGATTGACGCGCAATCGTCAGCACGCCTCAAGGTTCTCTCTGTGGCCAGTTGGGGTCCGACGAGGCAGATCGTATAGTACCTATACAGTATTAATGCAGGCTCTTATCTTGGACGTAAGCAAGCACTACCAACAGGTTGTACAAGACCTGGAAGATCTCCTTTGCTTCTTCTAGAATGTCACACTCGCTTTCGCCGTGTCAATGATCACATCTGACGGCTTGGGGGAGATACTGTAACAGTGAGCTGTGTAACAGTTATCGCAGTTTTGCTATAGGTTGTTGGCTGTCTGCGTGATAGACGCCCTTCGCCCTGCCAATGTGCAGATGCTCATGACGATAGACCTATGCGGTAGGTCCTGTATGAGATCAGTGCGCTTCTCCAGCCTCTTGCGTTGTCTTTGGACATGGACTGCAGGTGAACTTGCACGTGAATTGAGTGTCAGGTGAAGAAAAACAGCTTGCTGGGGGTCGACTTTATCTGCATGTCAGCGTTACAATGGACCTATCCCCATCGACTGGGGTTTGTGCTTGCGGCCTTCCAAAAGGCTTCCTGACGTGTTCTAGAAACCTTCCATTCCTTGAATCCCCCCCTGTGTCACACTCTCCAAGCCTGTCCGGGAGGTCGAACGTAGGGGATAGGTTGCGCAGGACTGCTTGTCCTTGACTCCATGTCAGACGTACCTGTTGCCGTGACTTGCGCGTCCTCTAAGAAGCAATCTCGATACACCATCATTTTCGAAGCTTATTGCACTTTGACTCATCGATATGCAACGAAACAACAAGTATTGAATGTGCGAATGCAACTTCTTCTCTGAAGCTGAACGAACCCGAAGAGAGACCTTCTCGAAGCTGTGCATCACGAGGCCCTCGTGGATCAGTTCCTATTTGCTGGGTAACACTCTGTCCAGGAACCAGCTCGCGAAGGGTGGTCTCCGTCGCCCTGCATGTGTGTCTGTTTCCCAGAGTCCACATCTTTTGTCGTACGCCTGTGTGTACAGTACTGACCGCGTTCACCTTCCAGCCCCTGCAAATATTACTCTCCACAACATCCATGTCTCTTGGTCCCTGCCATCTTCAGAGCCAGGGCTTGTCCCACCTCTACAAGTGCCTCTTAATCCCGGTTGACTAAGGACCGGGTACCCTGCGGGCCTCTACCTCTCTGCCTCCCTCTCTTTTAGCATAGTAACTTGGAATTTGAGTACAGCGGGCGTCATTATGTAGTGTGTCAAACAACCAGGAACAGTGCTTACATTGGTAATGAATTATGGAGATTTTGTACCAAATTGGAAGCATCTGATTCAGCCCCGATATCTAAGCGTTTGGTAACATGGCGAGGGTATGAGATGAGATGAGCTTGTGCGTGTTGGCCAACACGGTTTGAAAATAGGGTACTGGACCAATGTCCTATCTTCTTGCATCAGCTCAGCCCGGCACTCGTCTCTGCAAGATCCAGAGTCTCTCGTATGAGCCGGTGCTAATCATTTAGAGATGAATGGGTGCTAGTGCCGGGGAGCGTGCTGACCAGGGATCCGATGTTAGTGAAGAGCACAGTAGCCCAGCCTGCATTACCGGGCCCACAGTAACCTCCCAGTGGAGGCTTTTGGGACCGACGCAGCGGTACACACTTGAACTTTTTCGTTGAAGTGTCTCCTCCAGTCAACCCACTTGGGTCCTGAATTTGAAGCTATTACTATGTAGATCTATGAAACATCGTTAGAGCTCGCAAAATGCGATGATCTTCACTTCGCTTCTATTTTTTCACTGTTCCTGCTTATCGTAGGACAGTCGGCTCGCTCATAGATGAAACACTTGTCTGATAGGCAAACATCGAACTTAGGCAACATCACAAGTTCAATAGCTGCAGTGATACTTCACATTGACTGCCATGGAGAGGCAGTTCAAACTTTTGAGCTCTGCCACCCCAGTGACTTCCAATACGTCAGACGACAATAATCGACGAGATGCAGGTCGCTCCCTCTGATAACCTGGAATATGATTTATCATTTGTTTTGGTCTGTTTCTCCAAGCTGTCAAAGCTTGACCAATCAAGAGGTGGCAGGCCTCATTTGCGTCGGTTGGACCATCATGAAAGAGCTGAGAAAGGGAAAGAGGCGCCAAAACCTCGTCTGCTCATCTTAGGCGTGGAGACAGAGTTTGAACGCCTTTTGACATTGGTATTGCGCCAGTTGACCCAACAGATTGTAAAATTGCATGGTTACACAAAGTGGTCATGTATCTTGATCAATCTTCAACAAGATAGGCAAGTTTGTAGGTCTGCGCATTGTTGTATGAGTCCAAACTGATCTGGCCAGGCTGTTCTTCTTGAAGGGCACTTGAGCTCCTGCCTCATAACGAGTATCCTTGTGCGGCAGCCCTCTTTGTGTTGTACTTTATTCATCAAAGCTCATGAATGAAGGGGCCAGGGTTTCCCTTAAGGGGAGGAACGCGCGAGCGGGTGATACTGTAAATCACTCTGTAGCTGCAAATCATCGAACTTAATCCGAGTGTACGTCTGTGTGAATGAATGAGGTACAGTAAGTACCTAGTCTAGTCCTTGTCGCGCTAGCGACCTGGCCCTGACATGTCCTGACATCCATGTCAGAAGGTTGCTTCTACACCGCTAGAGTTCTCCAACGACAAGAGTGACATCCTCGAAGCAATAATAGCGATAATTGAGTACGAGAAGAAGGTGGAATAAAAGACTGCTCGATCTCCCCTGGACACCTTGAAATAGGTAGTCTGTTTCAGGAGGGACTCACGGCAGCCTTTTCTGGGCTTCTGGTAGGTTAACTTGATGGTCGGTACGGATAGTGGTGGTCTCCAAAGCCCGGTGGGAGTGACATTGAAGATTTCTAGAAAGAAAATGTGCGACATCCAAGATGAAGATCAGTTGTACTCGAGCCGGAAAGTGCGACAATGCCATGAGTTCTATTGCGACCCCTCCCACCTGCCAGGGCAACCTCTATCGACTGGTAAAAGGTAGAGAGGGAGGCCTTCCTGTGTTTGCTTCGAAAATGACATTTTTCGAGAAAGAGCAACTGCTAGAGTCTCATATGTTCCTGACCCCCACCTCCTTCCATCATGTCCCAGCCCATCTCATGTGTCATCGCACCTGCACCAGAATTTGGGTGTGCCCAGACGGGGCGTACCTGCTGTTATTCGGAATATACCGATCAACCTCGACTTTTCACTTTCGGGCCCACGCCCTCCCTTAACTCCAAGGTCAGCTTCAAGGACAAGACATCTATCCTCACGACTTGTCTATCTGCCTGTACGTATTACATGCGACTGAACTCTCCCTGTCAAGGTTAAGGTCAAGGACCCAAGGCAGCACCAGGTATCCCTGTAGCGCTTTGGATCTCGGTGGATCGTCCCGCACTCTCCAACCAACCCTAAGATATGGATCCAGATCATCTCTACTCGCAAAGCATTGACTTTCTGGCCTCTGACTACCGCAGGATTGCGCAGTCGGTAAAGAAGCAGCAGTTCATCCAGTGGGGAATATGCACTCGAGTTATTCGCTGCACTGCATTTTGCGCCCTCGACCTTGTTCATGATCTGCATCGTGGGTCGCAGGGCGCAACAGCAACTCAAATCGCCGGGCGTTAGTGTCTTCGGCCTGCGACGATATCTTGGCAAGAACATATCCACATCTTTAATCGCTTCGTAACGTCACAGATTGCGAAATGGCATGTATACCGCCTGGAGAAGGTATACTGCCAAGAGATTAGATAGGAAAACTACCAATACTCGCTACGGACGTTTAGTATATGCTAACACGTCCTAGGTCAAAAACACCACCGGCATCGAAACATTGGACTAGGTGATTAATATTTTCGACTTGCTGAGCTTTCTACCCCCAACTCTATGGGGATGGTTTGCGGGAGCTTCAACGCTTATGCCAACGGGGTACGATGTGGCTGAGGGGCGCAATGCAGCTAATTATTCCACTTACGGCGCCTCAAGCAGCCGCCCGGCTCAGACGTCAGCTACGCTAAAGCTTTGCACGAAGAAAACCAACGTCGGGGGACTAATCCGCCTGCAAGTCGTTTCTTTTACGGTTTAGGTGTTGAACAATGGCGCGGCCAGTCATGATCCAAGCTCCTAAGCTCAAAATTGCGTAGCAGAGAGACAAGACCAAAGCCGATTTCCGCTCCTTGCCAGATGCCGGAACTATTCCACTATAGTCGGGGGTCCGGGAGATGATCCTGGAGTAGGTTTAGGGGTCACCAATTCCCATCCCATTCCGTTGCAAGTCTGCTGAGCCCAGTGTAACCCTAATTATTGTATCGGTTATGGAACCGCACTCTCTTCTCTTAAGCCATAGACTGGTCTATTTTACGATGCCCCTCCCGTCTATCTAAACCACTCCCCTGGCGGCGGTTCCCCGTCGGCTGTCAGGTCTCTGGCTCTTTTTCTTCTGTCCATTTTAGCCGCCGCTGCTGGAGAAAGAGACACACCCTATTTCGACTGGCCCTGTAAGGCCCCTCGATCAATTGGTTCTCACACAAGGAACGGCGAGGCGGACGTGGATTTTGGGCCCAGGTTCCTTTCTGTTCCTTGCCCCGGCATGACGGGATCCAATGTCTCGTTTCGTCAATTATTCACTTCCGGGGTGGCAAAGCGTTGAGCACATTGCTGTCGGAGAATATGGTGTTTCCGACAAAACGTCAAGTTTCAATTAGATTAGCTTGGACTGGCTTACGGCGGTTATAGATCCACTTGACGCCGCTTCGACCGGACCTTGCACAAAGCTAGGTCCGGGTCTTGGTGACGATATCGAAGCCCTGCGTACTCGTATACATCTCCCTATCCCCTGTTTTGAGAGCCATGATACTTCAGTTTTTGTTCGATCAAGTCCGGTCCAATGGCAGAACTCGAGATAGTACAGCTTGAACCACCACTTCCATTTTCATTGCAATATGTTTCAACTGCGGCCGAATCTGGTGGTTGGGTTATTGGGCGAAGGGCTTTTACATACGTATCCTCATAGATGATCGCTGATAAATGTTACACCAAAGGTTTTAATGCATCAAAACTTTCCAGTGGGCTCCTCCCTCCGCGGTGCGACTTTCAGCCCTGCGGCCCCGGAAGGGGGCGTGTCCGCCAGAATTCATGGATGGAGGTGCCGCTAGAAATGGAGCGCTACCACGCTGCCCCGCTAATAAGGCAAAGAAGCACGATGCGAACCGCAAGTGGGGTTGGCGAACCTAAAGGGGACGACAAGTTTACCTTGACTCCCATTAACAACCAGACAGTTTTTGCAATGGATTACTGCTATGGATTAGGCGATCCGTCGCTGGATTGCATTCTTCTCTACACTCCAGTTTACCTCCAGCTCGCTCGCGTTGCAACGCTATCCGCTACCCCCCGCCATCCTTGCCAGCTATGACCACCACCTCTCCCTATCAACGTCGGGGCTTCTGTAGCGGGACTTGACTGTTGACTCTGGCTTACGAAGCTCGCAACAGAAAAAAAGTACAACACCCTGCTCTTATCGTCGTCACCCCCTACGTCAGTCAATGTCTTCGGTCAAATAAACGACGTGTTGTACCATCAATTAGCTCACGAGTCTAGGTGCTTCTTATGCTTAAAAAGATGCCCGGAGAGTGAAAACCACCATGGTGAAGAGCTGCACTATGCATCGGTTCCTTGTCAAACGAAATCCCGATTCGCGAAACGGTCTTCTTCATTTGCAAGAGTGCTGCGCCGAGGGCTGTGTGATTTAGAGATATGATGCGACAGACAGAACAAGAAAAAAGCGGACGGGAAGAGGGGAACAGGAGGGTGTAGGTAGCAGGTATGGGGGGAGTGCGGGGTACAGTTCCGGAGAATGGGATTCGTCCACTCAATTCCACTTGCACGGCGACATTGCCCCGGCGTCCCTCTGCTTTGCTGCACAGGAGAGTGGACACGGCGCCGCTGGACGCCATTGTTTTGGCGACTCGGCTTGATCATGGCTTGGTCTGGTGCGTGGGCAATGATTTACGCCATGGAGCCGAGCCAAAGTACGGCGGATACTACAGCAGCACTGGCAGGGCATGGGTACATCCATGCCGTGTGCAATCAATGTTCTACAGCCTATCCTGGACTACTGAGCTCAGTCCGTCAGAAAGGGCCTGGCGTCGACAGCAAATGCCAAACCCCTGGCGCTGGGCCGTTGAATTGATTTTGGTCACTCAAGCCATGGACGCCGACAACGAGGTGTAAGGTGCACTGCAAAGACTACCCATTAACCTAACCCAAGGTACGGAGGAAAGTGAAGTGGAATCAGTAAAGGTCATGCCAAAGCCAAGACCAGGTCCGTTCAGACCTACAGGGCAGCATGGGTAGTGAGGTAAGCATCAAGGGACAAGGAGAGAGACGACACTATCCCGTCGCCTTTTTTTATTCTCTTTACTGCCTTTCGCTACCCATAACCTCCGTCACCTAGATTCTGTTCAAGACCAGAATCTCAACTCAACTCGCGTCATCCACCACACACCCTTTTTTTCTCCTCACTCCCCTTGCCCCGGTCCTGACCCCACGTCTACACCAGCTACTCAGAATCATCAGTGACGGGCAAGTCACACAACTGGGTGAGCCCCTTTGCAACACTTTTGCTTTAATCTTTTGTCCATCCCCTCCCACAATACTCATCCCAAACTTTTTGTTTGTATTTAAACATCTTCATTCCCCTTCCTCAATACAACTTACTCACTCGCCATCACTTCTGTACCAACCTTCCTAGCGATCGAACCAGGCCTGTCTCTTTCTTTGCTGCTGCAGTCGCTCTTCGCCGCTGTCGCTGTCGCTATCGTCCCCACCATCATTGGTGCTCTGCTGTCGCTGCTTCTGCTATTCCCTTTTTCTCAATCGTCCCCCTCGTCGTCTTCTCCGCAAGCAGGTACTTGAGTTTCTGTGCTGCAGCTCCCATCTCATGAATCCCCGACTCGATCTGTTCCATCACAGTACTATTATTCGTGTCGGTCGTCCGAAAAAGCCGTCTTGATTACGCTTCGCTGGCGTTCGTGCATCTCTATCACCATCGCATCGGTCACCTACAGCCCATCCACCTCTCTATACGCTGCCTCTCGTCGGCCATCCAATATTTCCAGGAGCCATGACGTCCATTGCACCCAACCAGGGCTCGGCCGCAGGGTATGTCGCTAGTTCTTCGGTGATCGCTCGGATTGGACGTTCGCTGTTGGTTGCTCGTGGCAAACTGATCATGTTGCTAACGGTTGGTCTGTTGTTAGAACCACTGAAACTCGTCCTCAAGAGCCTCGACACATGGCGGTAACTCGTGTCGCAGAATATTCTCACGACAGCATCGCTGCTAGGATGTCGACTCATCCTGTGCCTGTCAACGAAACCCACGATCAGGGCATTGCAAACCTGAACAACGACATGGCTCAGTATCGGAACACGGGCTACAGCGTCAAGCCTACGTCCGATCTGGTTGGAACTGGTTCGAAGTTCGAGTGATCTTCGACTGTAGTTACTGCCCACTTCTTTACCCGGCCCTATTTGTCAAGCGAGCAACGGCGGAGGATGAACAGCACGTTCATTCAATTTCCTTGATCTTAGACCCAACCCAAAGGTCAATCTCGACTCGAATCGTCATGCTGCTCATTTCTCTCTGGAATCCGTTAATGGCATTTGCGAAGAAGCAGATGTCATGAAGCCCCCAGTGTCACCGGAATCCCGAGTGACCCTCCATTAGTACACCGATGGAGCCTGGCTATCAATAGACAATACTATCATGTTGTCACCTCCCCAGCAATGGCGCGACCATGGTGTTCTGTTGATCAGAAGTCATCATGATGTGGAAAAATGCCCCTTACCTTCTCGTTTGCATATGGCTAGACCTTTGGTTCGTCCAGCATAATTGGATCCAAGAGATATGTGGTCTTTTGCTCTCCAGCTCATGCATTTGAGTAGATTTTCCCTTCCATGTTTTCCCTTGGCACCCATATACTCCATGTATTTCGGGTGCGTTTTGTGCTATTGGCTCTTTCGGTTGTTTGTGAGCATTAGCAGATCGCTGCCAGCGGTTGAGCGACGCTTTTGTGTCTCATATAGACGATGGGAACAATGTGTGTTGGCAAGTCCTTGTCATGCAGAGGGAAAGGCCGGACTGCTTGGCCCCTTCCATGACTCTTTCCCACGTTTCCCTGGTTGTTTGTCGATGAGAGGCACATAAGCTCATCAACAAGTCATGGTAGAATGAGGGGATGCCAAGCTCTCGTTCTGCGGGCGGCGCAAAACGCGAATGCACAACGATCAGGCGAGCGACCTTGATATAGTCTTTCGGAGCGTCGAACAATGAATATATGAATGTTCGATGCAGATGACAAGAAGGCAGCAAGGATGAAACACAAGGGAGTCAAGGAGTCGACTGACTAATGGTAGTGAGGGGGTTAGGTATTTATGTTCCTACCTGATTTTGGCTTACATATTTGTGGGCTTGTCGCTCATTTGCTGCCAGACCAATCACATTAAGGTCTTGGTGCAACCCCCATGCCCCAAATCACCCATAATCGCATCATCATTGTTTGCCAGCCATTCAAATTGACTTTGAGGCTACCTGAGGCCAACAATCACAATGCTGGGCCTCGAAACCACCCGCAAATTACCGACGGTTGACAAGGAGATCCCGTCTTTTGACTCCAGTCGCGCTGGTGATCTATACCCTTTCAAGTGTCTCGTTCGAAGTGCCGTTAGGAGGGCACATATAGATATAAAGCACAGGACGTGTCATTTGTCGTTATATATGTTTCTCCGGTGTTTTATCAAGTCAGGATGGTTTTCTCTCTGCTTTCCTCATCTGCTTATTCCTTGTTTCTTTGGCTACCTACCTAGGTATAAATTGGTTCAAATGGGATCATTGCACTTCCCAATGTTAGAAAGGCTAATACCAAGACTGCCTGGACATGCTTTCTTCTGCTTGTGAACTAGACATAGAATTTGCATATAATTTTCTAGGACCTGAGCTTTAGCCCATCACCAGTTGCGTTTTCCTTCTGGGTATTTATTTTCACAGTGTCTTGAGTCTTCTGTCAATCTATACTATCGCTCATTTATCTCGTTACCTCGTAAAGACATTTCGTACTTTCTTATCCTTTCGTAATATTGCTTTCATCTCTTGTGGAGGTCTTCACGAAAGCTAGTTGGTCACCGCTCCATTATAGGGGCCGTATCGACCTGACCCTTGGGCTCCCTTGCTTTTTCCACGTAGCGATACTACAAAACTTGAGTACAGCAGACAACCGTCGTGGCGAAATGCTTAAGAGTGACTATTATATGCCATAACTGTATATCCATCGCTGGCCATCAACGCAAATTCCTTTATGGACGCATTTTATACCAACCACGCTATACCAGGTGATGAGCGCAACAGTTAGGAGCTTATGAAGCTGAAATCAAGGGACTGATAGTTCCAAACATTTGCCAGCTCGCCAAGCTCCTCGTCCGAAATATTCGCGAACATAGTGTCTTGAGCAGAAACGTGAGTAGGCGCAAAAGTGGCAGGGTCCTGCATGTATAACTGCGGTTGCCAGTTGCCACACTGTGAAAGGCCATTGTATGCTGCAGGAACTGCAAAGTCACCAGCTATTGTTGGAACATTGGACAGAGAGTATACCGGGGGTGTTATTCCAGGAGTGGGTATGTTTATCGGTGAAGGTGAGAAAGTTGTTGTAGGGGGTGAGTTATGCGGATACGGGGCCGTGACTGGAAGCGTCACCTGCGGTGATGTAGCAGCTTCCGGAACTTGTGGCACCACCGCCTCGGGGCTTTTGCTTGTCATACTATACGTTCGCGATGTTCTGGGGAGACGGTGGACGATCCGAGTCAAGATCCCATATGATGCCTTGGCTGACTTGGTCACCATTCTCATGCTCTGCAGTATGGCGTGTGCCTCGTCGATAGCCTTGTAAACATCTTCCCGCCGAGGGAGTGTATGCTGCTCGTCATGAAGCACTGCAGAACACAAGACTGTCGAAATATCGAAAATGCAAAACAAGACAAAATGGTAATTAGCGTCTCGTGGGTATACATGATCGAAAAGTCCATGCAGAGATGTCATTAGCTCCAGGCAATAGCTAATACCGTCACTGCGAATTTGCAGCTCTGCCTCCAAAGATCGAATGGCAAATGGCTTTGTCAGAAATCCCCGAATAGGTTGAAGAAGCATTGTGAATGCAACGGTACGTATCAAATGTCTGTGCAGGATGATCCACGGGCATGAGGCATCTAACGATCGATCCGGATTGTGGACACTGAGAGGAGGAGGGAAACTGCTGATCCAAGTCTCAACAATTCTCTGGTATTCCTGAACATCCGCATGGGCCGTTATGTCCTTGGTATGGCCGAACTTCGCAGAAATTTGACGGATCAACCCAGACTGTATTTTCATGTGGGCTAAGGGTGAGTGTTGATAGCCTTCCAAGCTAAGAGTTGGGAGGTCAACTTCACAGTCACTTCGATCAATAATCAAGGGTCTGCCTAGAAGTGTAGATATTTGCCTTGTCGGGTCAGTATTACTTTGGCCAGATAATACAATATGGGATGCTACTCACCAGTCCCAAGTGTCCAGGATACACCATATTCTTCGTCGCATTTCCAACTCGAATTCGGGCATAGGACCAGCCTTTGTTTCTTTGTGGACGGCTGTTAGAAGCGTTAGCAACAACTCGCTGATAGTGGGTAGCACGGCTTAAGCATACAGAGTTCTTGAGCTTCTCGAATCGCAGAATTCAACACGTGCCAGCACTCGATGAATCGGGCTTCAGACTTGAACCAGTAACAAGAGTGCAGTAGTTGCTGGACGTTGATGAGATGGCTGTGGCCTAAAGGAACTGAACTTGCTAGTTCTCGAGAAGCTTCGTGGTATTGTTCGGTAATGCGATGAATCGGGTCGCCAAGGCCAGCTTCGAGTTTCGACTGCAGCTCGACATCGGTATACTGCGAAGCGCATGCGCAGACTGTGAGAAGGAGACAAGTCCATTGAACGCTCAGTGGTCGATCCTCGGCTCGCGAAGCCCACCATCTCTGATATTGCTCTATAAAAGACGGCGGATAGATAATGTAGTAGTGATAATTAACATTGTTAAGGAAGTTTTGGACAAGTATGTCTGGAACAATAGTTAGACGGCATTTTGAGAGAGTGCTTCACAGTGTTTCATACCGGCATACGGCTTCGATGGGACAATTCTCAGAGCCCGTTCCAGCTGTGGGAAACTCTTGGGGTCTTTTAGAAACTCTTGTGATGTTGCTTTCATTGTCTATGGAAGCGGACATTGTTAGGTCGAGGACGAAAACTGGTAAGGGTGCACAAACCTCGTATTTCGACGTGAGATCAAAGAGAAGATGCGAGGGCATATAGCCCAGGGCGTTAATCCCCTCATTGGCAGTATCCTCGAGCTCGGAATCGATGGAATCGGGACTAGTTTTACTGATGAGTCGGTTCTTTCGCTGTCTGTCGACAGCTTTTTCAGTCGCAAGCTGGTTGGTGTCTTTAAAGCGACATTTGTCGGCTACCTTGCGTTTCTGGCATCCGTTGCAAGGCCACTCACGGTTGCACTGCACAATCGTCAGTAGATAATATGGTAAGGAGACTGGATGTAAAGGGCATTCCTGTATGGACTATAAGTCACTTAAAGGGGTGGGCTTCCTTACTTTTTGCTTGCGGCGAGCACATTCAGTGCACGCGGATCGGTAGCTTGCTTCCCTTCGTTGGGCCCCTTCTCCCATGACGCCAGATTCTAGAGCCGACCGACTAGAACTCGCTAATATGCATTGGTTTCAACTTTCCAACTGAGTAGAACCAAGTTATAGAATAAAGGTCTGGGTTTTCTTGGTATTCCTGACAACAAACGCAAAAGCTTTGCGTCTTGAGGGGATCACTACGAACAGACTGATCAGCTACCCCAGCAAGTAACAAGACAGCTGGAACCTGCCGTAAGTACTGGCAATGAAAGATCGAGCAATCATGTCGATGAACCACAAGTGGGGAAAGCGCTGAACAACCGTTATTGCTAAGATGCATTTGCCCGCCTGCAGATCCATCGAGTGGTGGGTGGCACACGGAAGGAATAGAAAGAGGCATCGCTTAGAGGCTCCGTTGGCAATTTCGTGCCGAGGAGTTTCTGGCGGTTAATGGGTCTAGGAGGAGACCAGCGGAGATAAGCGAGACGATCAAGTAAGACTACCGTGCAATAGCTTGACCCATTCCAGTGGCAGCTCTTCGGATAGATGGGGAAAATGCATTTCATATCCTGAGTACCTACCCATGGCCTGCCTCTTTTGGTGTCAAGGCCGTCAGCCATACTCATGTTGTCCTTCCACTAACACCGAGATTATCCTGTGTCAAGGACTGACCAAGGCAATGCCTCAGGAGTCCCTGCGTAATCCACACTAATCATTGCGTCCCTCACTGAGCTCGGTGTATCGTTTGTTGCACAGATCCACCATTGTCTCTCATGCCGACTTCTTGTCCCCGTACCCGGCCCCTCTCTTAGCTCTGTTGACGCTGTCCCCACCACACAGCCCGGCGCCGGCCGGCATAGATGTTCTAGCCGCCAACCACAGCGCCTGTTTTTCTGTTTGAGTCGCTCCGGTCATGACAAACTGACTGTCTGGACAGGGTATTTATTAGATGCATCCTTGTCAATTTGGGCATTTGGGCCCCAAGATCGTCTGTTTCTCTGATCTTTGTTATCACCCGTACTGTACTATACGACGGGCGTAGTGTGTGTCATTGTACCTTGGGAGATGGGAAATGGTGTTCATCCATATGATAAAGAATGACTTGTTGGCCACTGAAATCGTAAAGTGAAGAGGCTCCTTTAGAAGACGTTTAGGAGCAGGTGCACCGGAACATGCTCGTATCAATGCACATACCTCAAGCCTTGCCAGGCTTGTAGCAAGAAAGTATTCGAACCATGATTGATCGAAGATTTCTCGGCCCGCTCAATCGAGATGCACCAACCAATATGTTTCCCAGGGATGTTTTTCAACGGTTTTCTCCACCATGAGGCCTGTGTCGTCCGTTTTGACATGTTTGGGCTCGATGCTCGAACGTCATGGTAACGGAGGGTTTCTATGCAACAGGGGTACCGCTCAAAGTTCGCACTAACGTGAAGCAACGGCGCGCCGTTTGCAAGCGAGCTGATCTAAAGTCGCACTATCGCACGTGGCGCGTGAGAGGATGCTAGGCGGTGAGGTAACTGCACGCTTTTTCGACCTCTGGGAGCGATTGACCCAAGCCTTTGCCACGAGTTTCTCATGCTTCGTCTGAACTCGTTGGAGGGTTCAGCATGCATGAGACAGCTAGTGTGCCTCAGACTTGCATGAAGTTCCGTAAAATCGAACGACATACGTAAAGCGAGGTCACAGTCGCCATGCGAGCATCTTTGTTTGCCGATGGATGTATGTACTGCCTGCATGGCGGAGCCGTAAGCAGATTATCGTAGGTACTCCGGCGATTCTTACCGATGCCCCGAGGATTCCAAGATTGTGCGTCAAAGGTCAAACCCTATTGTAGGGGGTCTCGTGTCCGGACTCATTCCTAGATGCAGTTCCCTGGGTTGCCGCAGCTCTAGTAAGCGCCATTGTCTGGACAAGTCGTACTTATGTCTAGTGGGAGGCTCATGTTGCTCTGTATCGCCGTGCACGCTTCGAGGTTAGGCACCCAAGTGACAGCAAGGATTCACGAGGACATCCATTGGAATTGGAAGTTTCTTTCGAGACGCATGCAGAAGGCCGTTTTCGCAAATCTGCACGCAACTCGGGACAAGAAAGCGCTGTGGTGGGGATCGCCACGGTGCTCTTATATATTTGTTGAGAAGAGCAAGGTGCTAGCAATCATTAATGGGCCAAATACGGGAGTGAAGTCGTTGAGAGACAGCCTGAGGCCTCTCATTCCCTTAAACAAAGATTATTTCGTAGCAGGAACGGTTGGGTGTTGACCTGAGTGAGGCAGGTGCATAAAACGGGTGGGTAGGCCGGTCAAGTTGCCCTTTCCTTCGAAAGAGAGCAAACGCATCAGAGATTTAGGAAGTGACGGGAGAGCGACCATTCCGAATTTAATAGAAAAAGGCAATTCTTTTAAACCCACCATTTTCTCATATACCGCACCCTTCATTCTTCAATATAGCTCCTCAATTCACAATTCATTCGTCTGAAAAGCCCCTCGATTTCCGATATTTATCGGCTCAGATCATAAGCGGGGCATAAAGCTGAACTTATGCAGAGCTGATGCATGTCCAGGTTCGCGGACGAACAGGCACACGATGGAATAGCAGACAAGAATACCTCATTGTTTTCATCATATCGTACCATGCTGGTAAGCGAAAGTGTTCTTAACCTCCTATGATTAGAAGCGGAATGTGGCACAACCAATAAAGTCAAGGCGATGTCGAGAATGGTACGCGAATCCGTTCATTTCAACTAACACAAGCCAGAAGAGTTTGGTCCCATCGCGAGCAGCATCAGTTCCCGTATTTATATACAAAGACTCTGTCCTTGGTCTAGAATGAACGATGGCCTGATTTTGCTATGATCCGTGTCTGCTGTGTAACCGTCTTGCGCCTCCATCAGCCTCGCTCCCCTAGTCCTGTTACCAAAAGGAATAGTGAATGCATCCGAACCAAATTGTTGGGTAGCGAGAGCAGACAAGAAATGACCTGTCAGCTGTCAGGATCTTGGGCATAACACGGATGCCCTTAGCGTTACATCACATCAACATGTGGGCTTGTTACCATTCCCTGACATCCATTTGCAGCTCACCTTATCATGTTTCTATACTCATAACAAAAGGGCTTTCGTGGGCCAATGGTGAGCTTATGTCCCTAACTTCATCTTATACAGTAGATTTCAGCTCAGCCAAATCGTCATTGTTCCTTCAGTGCCGAGGTAGCCACATGGCCAGTATCCAAGTGCCGGAACGTGTCTCCACTCCACCTCTTTTTGATCGGCCAAACGGTCGCTAGCTAGATACAGTGCCGTAGTGAAGCATTTTGGTGGCCGCAGCCACTCTCGTCGACAGGCAATCCATGCGCGGCGCTAGTCTCCCGTCTTGTTGCGACCCAAGTCTCTTCGGACCCGCAAAACTCGTGAACCAATAGGCCGTCTTTGGCCTCCTTTCAAAACCTCAACCCAAGGGACTTCTGTCAGGTCGCTAACCCTGTCCGTCATGTCTGGCTTAGCTCCTGGCTGGTTATATCCCGTGTCTTCATCTTCCAGATTGCCAGTTCCGTCTCCATCTTCTGACTCAGCTTCTGACTGATTATCTTCCATGTCTGCTATAGCCTCAAGCATCATCTCGTTCCCCTCATCAACCCCTGCTCTCTCATAAAGTTCCTCGGTATAAGCCCAACTTGGGGTATCAAACTTTCCGTGAAGAAGTACTATACTCCTGCCTTTCGACTTGATCTGCCTGAAATCTTCAAGTGGAATTGGAGTGACAAGCTGAAGGGTCTTTGACTTCATATCGATACCACGCAGAAGTACTAGCCCAATAGTCCGTGAATAGCGGGGATCCAAGGCTGCATCATTGTAGTTGGGTATCAACGGGATGCCTTCTGGGCTCGTTGTTACAACAGGCCATGTTTGGTTTCCTGAATCCACATTGACCTGCGCGGAGTCGTTTGCTTCGGTCAGTGTTTCTTCTTGTGTGAAATTGGAGAATGCCCTGGCATCCTCTATCTCAACTGCCGCCATTATCTGCCCATTCACTGTGTCGGCCAGCAATTCTGGGGGGCATTGATAGTCATAGGATAGCAGCCCTAAAACGCCGCGGTTCAGCGAAGAATACTGCACAAGTAAGGGTGGTCTGAAGGAGAGCGGCGAGGCGTTCCACTTCAATCTCGAAGGTGTGTCAGGTACGTTTGCTACCGTTGGTCTCATGTCTTGCAAATGAAAGTAAGACATAGTCTGCATTGCTCGGAGGTGGGCTGCCGTTCTGAGAGCAATCTTGGATGGCTGTGACGGAAGTTCTGTGAATGCCAGTTCTGTTGCTGCGCGTAAAGCATCGACTGAATCGAAAGAACCCACTTCTGACATAAACAAGACCTCGTGGGGTTTTATTCTCTCGATTAATGTACACAGGAGATCCAACCCAGTTCCCTGAATCCATCCTGGGGTGTTGATTATAAGAGGATCTCCGGCGTGGTGTTTAGAGTAGGTATCGAAAAGATCTGCCGCGCATGACAAATAAAGGTCGGGGTTTGAAGCTGGAGTGACTGAAGCCATTGAATGACAGCGGACAACTTTGAAAGCAGAGTTTTCGGAGCTGGTATGTGTGAATGGTGTCCCGATATTTGGTTTGTTTACAGAAACAAGTGACACCGTTCCTGCTGGCGCATATTCTGGTTGGCCTGGATCGAGATCGAGGACCACAACTTTGCGAGAGTTCTGAGCTTGAGGTCGATCTGTCAATAGCCCGTTCAGGAATAATCTTAGAAAGGTAGACTTCCCAGCCGATTTTGGGCCACATATCAGCGTTGATAGTGAGGCCTTCTTTCGACTAGTCACTACTAGCGAAGACAACTTCTTGTTCCACGCAGGCATTGGAACCATATCCTCAATGGATCTCTTCGAGGCCTCTTCAGGGGTATATATCTAAGCAAATATAAGTCAAACATCTCACTGGATGTCACTGAAGACGTTGACTTACAAGCTCGAAAGTGGATTCTTCCGTTACTTTCGCTGAGCTGATCTCAGGTGGCGCAACCCACATCTTTCTAAATAGTGGTGATAGACGACCCAACTGGCGTATACCCCGAGCAGTGTTGTCAGGATAAAATTCCAACTTGGTCTCTTCTGCAGTCCGTAGCACAGGAACTGCATAGCAATAGGGAGCATGAACCCATTCAATGGTTTCCGAGGGGTAGAGAGTAGCTCCAGCTAACTTCACTTCGCCACGAATAACCCGAATTCCATAACTTCCGATGACCACAAAACGCTACGCAAGTTAGATATGGCACTGAAGATGATACCGCAAGACTTACCTCTTTATTTGGTAACGTTATTTCCACAACGCCCCCTGTCTTGACTTTGTGATTCTGCTTCGACAGACGGAATGTTGAGTAAGGTTTTACTTCATGGAAGGCTCCAGCCAACTCTGATTTCGTAGGTTCTGTATTTCCTCTGAACTATTGGTGAGTAATGACATTTATCAAATACGATAAGCACATACCCTGCTACTGCAGTGCCTCTTGAGCGACTGGCGGGTGATTCCACTCCACGCTGTAGCCGTGGATCTTTTGCTGCACTCTTTCTGGGGGATTTCGGGGCCGCATTTTGACTGCTGTCTTTTCGAAGCAGGTTAAAGCGGTTGGCACTGCTCATCACTGGCTGCTCCTCAGATTCTGAAGTAGGTTGCGTCTTTTGAGTAGGAGACGTTGCAGCTCCTCTTTGTCGAGCTTTGAGAGCCTCAATGGCGCTCATACCTATATGATTCAGTCTAAGCATCTCATACTTCTGGAAATACGAGTAGTAGCTCGTACTGAATACTTACCCTTTTCTTCAACTCCTTCTATCCTTCGTTTTTTATGAGACGACATAGCTAGTATACTTACTGATACCAGGTTTCGTCCAGGGTACAACCAGAAACAGAATTCAATTTGTAGTATACTGAAAAAGCAACAGAATTAATTAGTGGGATGGCACTGAAATGCTCTCATCTACAAGTTATAAAACAAACAAGGTGAATGTCGCGGGTAGGTGAGAAGTGGATGGGACGTTACCTTATCGATAAGAAAATATTTAAGGCCTTTAGTTAGAGTTCTTTCCATGCCTGGGCGCACAGTGACTTCTGAGGCATCTGCAGCTTCTCTTTAAGAAAATCAGGTTGCATAGAATTTTATGAAGTTTATACTGTCTTGCTAATAATCAAGTCTTTCAGTCACATACTATCCTTTTCTTTTGCTTATTGTACTTTATTCGCGTCACCTGCCACTAGACTTTTTTTTTTTACACGAACTGGCGCGTTGCTGTAGATATTGGATTGCCCCACTAGCGCGGCGGCTCCCAAAATTTCATTTTCCAGCAACTGAACTTTCCTCTGGAAATCCTTCTCCAGCCCATTGCACCTTCACCACCCCGAAATTTCAACAAAAAATCGCCCAAGATGGCGCCCAAGGAACCCTACGCGGTGCACTCCCTCAGCAAGCATGTCGAGAACACGAAGAAAGGTCTAGCCGCCAATGCGCAGGCCAGCCGTCGCCCTGCTGGCCGCTCTGCCGCCATCAAGAAAGAGAGCAACCCGAATAACATTTTTGCCAACAATTCTGACGATGACGACGAAGGCTCAGGAAGCGGAAGCGACAGTGATAGTAGCGAAGATGCTCCTGTCAGCTTCATGGACAGGCTTGTCGCTTCCGATGCCGCAAAATCTACTCCTGCAAAGGCCGCTCCCGTCAAGTCTACTCCAGCTTCCCGTCGTCGCAGCAAGGATGACGAAATCGCCGACAGCGACGACGAGCGCAATGCATCCAAGAAGGCCTCTGTAAAGAAACCTTCTGCGGAGTCTGAGTCTTCTAGCAGCGATTCCGAATCTGATCAAGACACCAACACGAAGACCAACGGTGCTCCTGTCAAGGCCGTCGAAAGCGATTCAAGCTCTTCTGAGTCGGGAAGCGAAAGTGATAGCGATGATGAAGATGCGAAGGATGCACCAGCTGCCAAGGCATCCACCAAAAAGAAAGACGACTCCGAGTCATCTTCTGAGGAGGAGAGCGAGGACGAAGCTGACTCCAAACCCAAGCCAGCCGTAAATGGCACTGCTGCTACTACCACATCTACGAGCTCTAGCGAAAGCAGCGAGGACGAGAGCGAGAGTGAGAGTGAAGAAGAGCAAGTCGCAAAGCCCGCTACCAAGACCGCTAAGACTGCTGCGAAGCCCGCCGCTCCTGAGCCCGAAAGCTCTTCCAGCGAGGATGAGGATTCCGACGAAGAGATGGTCGACGAGTCAATGCACATCGAGGACCGTGAAGGACAAGTCGCTGTTCCCACCTTCATGGCTCCCGATTTTGTCCTCCGCAAGGGTGACGACGGCACAAACGGCAAGGATGTTGCTGAGGTCTGTAACAAGGCCAACCTGGAGGGCAAGCAGTTCTGGTACTTCACAGTCCCCTCCAACGTTCCCATCTCGGTCGTTCAAAACCTCGAAATCCCTATGAATCAGTCAAGTGCAGGCAATAAGCTGTTCTCTCACGATGGAGAAGATTATGGCTTCTCTTTCGAGAGCATTGCTCCTAGAGGCAACATCCAGATCATGATTCCCTCCGCCGATGCCTCTCAATACCGATCTGGTAAGTTTATCGAGTCATCGCGGATCCATGGATGCTAACATATCATAGCCCCTAAGCAGGTTGATCAGATGATGCAGGTCAAGAAAATTACGCAACTCGGCTCCGATACATCTGTTGGGCCTGCCCCCAAGCCTGCTCCTCGTGCTCAGCCCGCTGGCTTGAGGGCTCGCTACCAGCCTATCGGTGTCAACGAGCCCATGGTCAACGCCAGTGATGAGGATGTGGAGATGGCTGAAGCTCCTGCTACATCAACCAAGGCTTCAAAGAAGGAGAAGAAGCGCAAGGAATCATCGGAGAAGAAGCACAAGAAGTCGCTGACTCTCCCTGAGCGCCCCAGCTCACAGACAGTGGAGGCGCCGACCCCGGATACCCGTAAGAACAAGCGAAAGCTTGCAGCCTCAGAAGATGATGCCACAGCTGTCGCCGAGCAACTCCAGCAGGAGGCTAAGTCGGCAGTTAAGAAGTCCAAAAAGCAGAAGACAGACCGAGCGGGTAGCCCTGAGTTGGGATCCGAGTCTGTAGCCACCAAGAAGCAGACACCCGTTCTGCCTCCCTCAATCCCTGTAGCTGGAGCATCAACTCCCAAGCCCGCTGCTACACCCGCTACCACCAGTAAGAAGCAGAAGAAGGTCAAGGAGACGCCCGTCCCCGCGCCTCGCATGAGCGCGGTTCCTATTCCTTCTATCCCTCACTCTTCGCCTCCCAAGTCTTCCCCTGCGCCTCCTGCCTCTCAACCTCCCACCTCGCCTATCCAAGCCAAGGAGAAACGATCCAAAAAGTCAAAGGATAGTAAGAAGACTTCCTCAGCCAAGAAGGAAACCCCCGTACTGCCTTCTATGCCCGGTTCTTCTTCGGAATAGCGTTCTGTGATGAAGAGTCCTCGAAAGATCAAGGGCAAGAAGAGTCGGGGTCATCTCAGGGCGTGAGTCACTCGAACGAACGAACGATGTATCGGGATGATATACAAGGTATTGCGCATCTGTCACACCTTGGCATGTATGCTGCCGACACATGGCCACGCACATGATATTGTTTCTTCTGAGTGCCGTTGCATACAACTGGGTGCAACTAGGGAACCAACAATTTTCTATTTTCTTATAGCATAGCTTGTTACAAGCTTTTCGATCCCGCGACGAGACAGCAGTCTCTTTAATTTAGCGGCACGGCGTTGGTGGTTTATTTTGGTCGCAAGGGAAAAGGGGAAAAGCAGGTGTAGTTGAGGAATGTAAGAGGAAATGGAGCCATGGAACCTCGATGTATGAAGATTCTTTGGGCATTTGCTCGAGACATGAGGTTACTGGGCTTTCAGGCGGAAAGGACGAATGAGAGACGTAGAGACATGATATAGTCAATATGAGAGTATAATCCATATTCATTGCCTATCACCTTGCACCGCAGTTCAGTATGTCTACTCAATGCATGGACACACTGATAATAGATGCTAAGACAACATGAAAAAGGAATGGAAGTACACCATGCTACCTTATGAGTCTGATATAGTTTACTTGGCTGGAGGAGTATGATCAATCTTCTTAATCGCCTACCCTATAGAAGACGTGTGTGAAGCTATCGCCACTCTGATATCTGTAGTACGACGCACACCACGGTGGAGTTTATCCTTTACTAAGTGTTAAGTTTACTTCATCTCTAGCCAAACATGCCGCGATAACATCGTTGCTATGCGGTAAACCTATTCGATATATCATCCTAGAACCTCATGGTTTTGAAAAACAAGGCGTTTACTCCCCCGACAAACGCCATTCCAGCCCGGACCCGAATCTCCAAGATTCCAAAAGTCAATCGCTCAAACAGCTCCAACGAACAAGCTCTACCTCTTGGGGAACGTCGTCTAACTAGTAGGGTTCCTTAGCTTCATCTGGCCATTTGGAGAAACACGCCCCTGTCCCAGCCTCGTTGGCGGGTAGTGGGATGTATCAAATAGCACGATGACGTCTGCGATCTCGAGTGACACACGTGCCGTAATGGTTCCATGATTCCAGAATCGCATCGCCATAGATGAAGTTAAAACAGAGACTTGTTAAGAGGCGACGAAACCTGCGACAGGTAAAGTGCCTGACAGTAGGTGGGGCAGTACTGAAATAGATACCATGTTAAAGCCTGATACTTGAGCATTATTTGGCGCAATATCTACCAAACACGGTACTTGGAAGTGCTTGCTCATGCGTGTAAGTGATAGCTACAATTCCTGCGCTACCATTCATATCGACCACAATAGGCCAGGTTAGGTAAAACTTGACCCTCACCGCCAGCCTCACGAGAGGATATGGAGCTAAGGGTCCATGCTGAGCGCAGTTCATGCGGTGATGATAAGGGTTGATCATAGCTGAATACGTCGGTTTACTGTTGCTTAAAGCGGTGGAGCTAACCATCATAAACGAGGTCATTCGGTCAGAGAACTTCTATGTATTGGCTTGATGTGTAAGACATGTTGTCCTTGGCCAGTATGTTAGATGAGACCTTTTAAAGCTGAAAACGATGATAGTGTCTGATTGTTACGACAGACGAGGACACTTCAATTTTGGCTTGGTACGAAACCGTCGTTGTTACGTTCCTGTCTTGTGAAGCGACACAAAACGTCGAAGACGACATTGTACAATCCTTCTATGACAGCTGATAATGACGGCAACGCAAGCAAGTCAAATGTCACGCAGAAGAAGGGTCCACGTGCTCGGCACGAGGCGAACAGACGATACCCCCCAAAAGGAAGTCAAGCAGAAAACATGTGGTCTGATAAAAGCTGATCCAAACCAAGCTCTGGAGGAACCGCACACGGGAACTTGGGAAGATCCGGGCAACGGGAATCTGGCTGCAACTATCAGGAGACCGGCAATGCAGATTTTCAATACATCGTCTCATGCGGCGTTCTGATAGAGTCCGAATCCCAACACCGGCCGAGAACAACCGACAGTGGATCTACGGCCGAGATGAGCCTTGTCAATTTTTTTCTTTCTGTTAATCATCTTCAATGGGCCGAGATCCGAGCCTATGAAGGCCTTAATGAGTGATTAAAAAATTATTGCAAAAAAATCAGAAAAATCGGCCGAGTTGAAAGTCCAAAGAAGGATAGTCAAGTCCGATAACTTGAGCTAAAAGGAACCGCTGCGGGTTTCGCAAAGGTTGTAGCACCCGATGTGGGAATTTGTTGACCGAGCAGATCGACGCCGAAGCTCTTAAGACTAAGAGCGAAAATTTCGTTTAATCTTCTTTTGTCTTACACATAGCCGTACCTAGGATATACTACCGTCGTGCAGGCGGAGCGGAGGTGAACAAGGCTGTCATTGTCAACATCCTCGAAGCCAGGAGTGTTAGTAGTATTATGGCGGCTCGCTCGGATGCCGTAGCATTGACCGCCTCTGTGTTGGCTGCCAAAACCAGGCTTCTATTGGTATCATGATACCTGATCCATGATATGCCTTGGAGTCGTAGCTCACGAGGGCATGGATCTGGAGCTAAGGGAGCAGTCATCAGCGCCTGTCCAGTAAGATCGACCCTAGATGCATCTATCATTGGGCATTAGCTTCTGTAAGCGTGTGCTTGCATGCCGCGTTGGACTCCTCGCCTAGGTAGGGCGAGAGGCATGCGGCATGTAACGAGCAGTCAATCAATCATCCACGAACTTAAGGGTCTGGACCCGCGAGTCGACCGAATATCGACAACCAGCAAGACTGTTTTATGGCGTGATCTTTCAGACCTCGAAGATGTCAGCCAAATGTATCCGTACAGTACGGATAGCATGCGCTTATTCTGATATACCAATGAGCGGTTGATATATTAAACCAGCCCATTATCATCTGCATTTCAACGAATGCCGAGGTGTCAAGGTCGGGAGACATGGGTAGAAGGACCTTAATGGGCTCTCTCTATCCGTGTATTACTCCAAACTAAAGCCGAATGCATCCATGGATAGGATAATGCCCTGATCAGGATGTCAATTATGTGTTCTTTGTTCGGGTTGAAACTATTATCGACTGTCATCCAACTCTCTGGGCAATCTGACTAGCGTATCGTAAATTATGGGTGTCTCGTGCGCAGGTAGGGGACCCTTGGCGATCTCCTGAACTTGGGCCAGTCAGCCCGATTCGACCTTGGCACGTCCATGCCTGGTAAGGAGAATCATTTAGATGAAGCCGTGCACAGGTATCTCTCAGAAAACCTGTTCAAGGAGATTGCAAGGGAAGTTTCAATATCGATCAATTTGTTTGTGAAAGTCAACGATGTTGCCTGCACGAGACCGAACAGAAGCTCCAAGGGACTGGATGAGTTTCGTACCCTTGTTGCGGAAGACCCTCCCTAATCTCTCGAGACCCTGAACCTCCTCCACTGCGCTGACTCTGCTGTTCTTTTCAGTCTCGGATGCTAGCAGGAGGCTCCACGCCCAATTTCGTCGCATTGCGGCTTCGCGCCTCGCCTCGTACCGGAGCGAACGCCTCGCATTGACAAATACATCCCGAGCGACCGTTTAGAACCTCCGCGATGCATTGAAAACTCCGCAGACACCGACCGGCGCCCGGAGCGGACAAGCACCCGACTTTGAAAGTAGACTGAACTCTGTTAAGCATCTGCTAAAAGTAACGTCACTGTTGACGCTGAGGCTTGTCGCAGAAAGGGATCATTATTGGTTGGCGACTCTTCAATGTCAGAGAAGCTCCAACGGTTTACACAGTAAATCACCACCTTCCGCTGCATCCGAGTGAACTTGAAAAGCGAGAAGACGACAGCAGAACGAGAAGCGAGCGGAATTACTCATCCTCGAGAGGCAATTCGTGGGGTTACGACCCTTGTCTCATGCATATATCCTGAGACTTGGCCAGCGGGAAGGGTTGCGCGCGCCTATGTCTGTTTGTGAAAAGGGTTTATCTGAAGCGAACCCTTGAGGCTTGGACGTTGGGGGATGAAGCCCCAAACCGTTCCGCGGATCGCCATGGGCTTTCTCACCAGGGCAGGGCTGAGTCGAGAGACCATAATTATCTTTAGCTGGCCAGACATGAACACATGGCATGGCTGTTCCATGTCGGCATGATATCCCGCCGCTTGAACCGATAAGTGGTGAGAGCTCATGCTTCTGGTAACTCGGCAGCAATTGATCTCGTGCTGGCAGGATGAGAGGCTGACGAGAATAGATGGCTTAGCGCTAACATGAGATTAAGTACGCCGCTGCCGTGGCTCGACGTCTAGTAGCCAGACTTGCAGCGATGATCATGAAACGTCGATGTATTTCCAGCCTGCTCTTGGCTCAAGGAGTACATACTTGGGAGTGTCGCACAACGAGAGGAGCTGTGAGCTCTAGGTAGTAGCCAGTAGCTAGTAGATGGTGGTGTTGGAGATCAAGATTATGGTGTGAGGAAGCACCTACATAACTTTACAGCTGGGTAGGGATCATAACACCTCCTACAAGTTCTAGTTTCTAGTTCTTACAGTAGTAGTCTATGGGATTGGGGAAATCTAGGGACGGGAAGGTACATCTGTCCCAAGTACCTGACCTGCCTTACATCCATACCTCGGACTCTCTCATGAACTTTTCTTCTTTCTTTTTTTTCCGTCGTTCTTTCTTTTTTTCGCTTCCCGACTTTGGTAAAAATGGGCCCAGCCAAGAAAAGATGCAGTGGCCCCAGCTCCTTATTAGCGTCAAATAAGAAAACTGATCCCTGACACTTTTCGCTGATTCCAATGGTTCGTTGATTGTTCATTGTCCATCGTCCGTCCATCTCGGTTTGCGGCCTGTGAAACTTTGTGGGTGGAGCCTTTGTGCTATTTTCTCAAAGAGGATTGATTATGCCTCGATGATTTGACTGATTGACGCTTCAAGACTGACTGATATCTGCAAACAATCACATCTTTGTTCATCACTTTACTTTGTGCTGCGCCGGAATGACCGGCTGTTCAATGACAAAACCGTTAACCAAGTGCGCGGCAGGAAATTGCCTTGAGAGAACAGAACGATGACCTCATCGGGGATGCCCCTTGGGGATATCTCCGGGTCGCTTCTATGTTTCAACTGCAACCAGGCATTGATTCAATCTAACAGTACGTACTGTACTCGGGCAGCACGGGTATTGCCAACGCATGGCAATGAGCTGTTTGAACTGCTTCGCCCTGATGAGCCAGATGTTGATCAGAGCATATTGCATGTAAATCAATTGTCAATTGCCATGGCAGATTGAGCTGAAGATCGTCATCATCTTATGTACACTTCAGTACAAGGTCGAGAGCGCATGACAACTCGCCTACTAGCCTTCTAATCACACCTGATTGGCCTGAGACATCTTAAATCGTTGAAACCAGACGGTTTGTTAGGCGCATGTCGCTGTGCCACGGTCGACGATGACGCTGCCTAGGCTGCTAACAGACCCAGACATCGGGCTGTAACTAAGCGACACCGTCAAGGGACCGTTTCTGATGGTGACGTTTTCTATGAAACCAGCCACCGTCATGGACACCAGAAAGACGGAAAAGAAAGATCAATTGATGAGGGGTACTCATTCAGAGCATCGTGATTACAAACTGTGCTTGTCTTGTTTCGTCCTGTCCAGCGCACAGTCTGACAGTTTGTCTGGTCCATTAGCTAGCTGATGGGTCATTGCTGAGGTCAGAAAGTGAAGTGTAAGCTAACTCGGCAGATCAACATCCTGTCTATCCCATTCGTTCCGCAGAAATAAGAAAAATATGGCACTGAATAATCGGACTCGGAAGCATGTGGGCGTGCGGCGGGATGCTGTGACTTCAACTGGGACTGCGAACAGTGATTAATCAATTGGATCTCAAACAGTATGGACTTTTCCACAAGCCTTGTTCGCTTGCGTTGCCAAGGTACCAACCGTTAACGTTTTTTGGTGGTTGCCCAGCAGCTCTGCCAAGGCTGGGAACAGTACATGCTACGTATGAGATCTTCTACTGAACATGGGCTGCCTCCCATCCAAGTTGACTGTGGCGGTGCTTGATAACAAAGAGATCTCTGGCACAAGACAAGACATATGTTTCGACTTTTCCATTGAGGCTCAGTTCAAGCTCGGCCACGTTTGCCTGCCTACAGGCAATTTCCCACTCAGTAAGTAAGAAACGGCTTTACCTTTCGCGTCGCATACGCGGAAACTCAGCCAGCGTCGTTGAACAGGGCGATTCCCACGCGACTCAGCCCGCCAATCAATCTTGGCATCAACTTGGAGGGAAATTACGGTAATACGCCTGGACTCGGGATGCCGTAAACCCCGTTCCTCCGCGGCGTCTGGCGGACACGCTCTGTCAGCAACTTTGACTGCATCGTCGTGAATGATTGGCCTGGTAGAGACAAAAGAGCTCCGTCTGAGCGTCAGAGAAGGGCTAAACAGGCTTAGGCGCTGGCTCCAGTGCAATCTCCAGGCGACCCTGGTGTCATCCACATCCAGATGGATGCCCAGCGAAGCATGGAGACAAGCTGGACAAGGGCTCCGCTGAGGCTTGTTGGCTGGTCGGTCGGTAGGTACCCAAGGCCCTTGTAGTAATGACTCCTCCCGCAACATCCGGGCTCCAGCTCATTTGAGATGAGGACAAGGGAAAATCTTGCGCTGCGCTGCGGGCCCGGGCCCCCTTGAACGACCTAAGCTAATGTCAGTGTGATGGACTCCTTAGCTTAGCGCCCATAGGTTAAAGTCCTGCGCGACTGGCCCTGTCAAATTTGTTCTTTTTAGCGGATAGCGGTGGAAAAGTCAACTGTAAAAAGAAGAAGCCTTGGTTTTCCAGCGCCTCGAGGTAGCTGCCTACCCTTACACTTGGACACGCCCCTGGTGCATCACTTTCCTGCACCTCGTCATCATACTCGATCATTCTTTCCTCCACTCCCTCCACTTTCTTCATATTACTACTCCCGTTTCCTCACCTCCGTCTTCCTCTTCCCTCCCTTTTTCTCTCTCCTCGATCCTCGGCTTGGTTTCGTCTTAGACTCGCACTTTGAAAAGGCCTATATCCTCTTTATTCACGACCTCAGGTTCTTAACTTTCACACTTTATCGTGTGGCGTCCCTGTCGCGTGCTACTTCCCTCCCTTCTCTGCGACTCGACAACCATCGCTCTAGACGACCAACCCCGACGATTCCGACCTTCGTGGTATGCGATCAAGTCAACTAATTAATTCAACTTGGATATGAGATAGCTTTTGGGTATTCATTCACATTGGGTTACCGAATACGCGTTACGAAGTTCTTCGAGATTATCTTGCGCTGCTACAAATAATCAACACACGCCCCCTTTCGACATCGCTTTGCCGATCAAATCATATTACATCAAACAACATCAACATGAACGACTTTTCAGCCACCCTTTCTGGGAAGCCTAAGCTTCAGCTTCTATGGCCAGAGCATGTTAACCTACCATTCCTCAACACTGTTCCTCCCAGATATCGAATTGGACGCCGACGCACAAAGTCAAAATCGAGACCTGGCAATGAAGAGCTCACAAGCCTCAAGACTTCATTTAATGCTTGGGATGGCGTCCGGGACCTCCAGCAGCACCACTGGAGGACGTCAGATCTCCAGTACGCCGTTGTAGGACTTCTCGTTCTCTTCTCTTTCTGGATCGCCCCTCCTGCGCCTGGAGTGAAGCTCCTTGCCATCCTTGGTAGTGCCTGGGTTCTTCTAATGCCCGCGACCCGCCAGTTTTTCCTGCCATCGGTCACTATCTGGACCTGGCTTCTTTATTTCTTTTGTAGTCGGTACGTTCATCGTCTCTTACATCAATTGTCAACTTTGCTAACATCCTGCAGATTTATCCCCAACGAGTACCGACCTCATATCTGGGTCCGAGTACTACCCGCCCTGGAGAACGTCCTTTATGGCGCCAACCTCTCGAGCATTCTCTCCGCCCACCAGCATTCAGTCCTCGATATTCTCGCATGGATCCCCTACGGCTTGTGCCACTTTGGCGCTCCTGTTGTCTGCGCTCTGATTATGTTCGTCTTTGCTGCCCCTGGCACCGCCCCAGTATGGGGACGCACCTTCGGTTGGATGAGCATTCTCGGTGTCACCATCCAGCTCCTCTTCCCCTGCGCGCCCCCTTGGTATGAGATGGAGCACGGCCTCGAGCCCGCTGCGTACGGCATGCCTGGATCCCCCGCTGGACTTGCTCGCATTGACGAGATCTTCGGCATTGACCTCTACACAACCAACTTCAGCACGGCGCCTGTTCCCTTTGGTGCCTTCCCTTCGCTCCACGCCGCCAACGCGGTTCTCGAGGCTCTCTTCATGTCCCATTGCTTCCCCCAGTTCCGAACTTACTTCATCATGTACGCTGGTTGGGTTTGCTGGGCCACCATGTACCTCAGCCACCATTATGCAATTGACCTGGTTGTCGGTGGCTTGATTGCATCCTGCTTCTTCTATGTCGCCAAGGCACGATGGCTACCACGCCGCCAGGAGGGCAAGATCACCCGATGGGAGTACGAATATGTGGAGTATGGCGACCGCAACACCATCTCAGACGAGGAATACGGCGAGTACTTTGGCATGGGCTTGTTGGGACGCCCTCGCGCCGATTCTAGCGATGGTTGGACCGTTGCAAGCTCCAGTTCAAGCTGCGGCTCCAGCAGCGGAACCCTTAGCCCTACCTTGTCCGAAGAAGCCCTCCCCGGCATGCTTGACGATGATCAGCTTTGGAACAGTAATGCTCCCGCCCGAGACGTGGAGCTGAGCGAAGTTGTTGTTTCGCGGTAATCAATGCGATTCAACTATAACAATCTCGACACTCAGACGACCTCATCCCACGCCTGGCATCGGAGCCCGCCGATGGGATTTTACGATTTTAATGCCCGAACCATTTTTAATCTTCAACCTTATACTTTTTTTCTTCTTTCTGATAACCACTTTTTTTATTGGCATTCATCGGCACAGCGAAACGGCGCAATGCGGTGCTTTACTACGGCAGATGCTGGATTCTGACGCAGGGCCGTCAGGGCCAGACGGCGAACTGTAATAATGGGTTCTAGGGGCCATTGGATGTCCCCTTCTAATGTATACCCTGCGGAAGGACAAAACCGTACCTGAATAGAGTAATGTATACAAACAAGAGGAAGTTAATACGTGCATGGATATGCGATCACGCTATGTCATGCACCAATACGCTCGCTAGAGAGCCTGGACGACACGAGAGGGACAAGCTTGGCATAGCTGCCCTACTCATGATGAGGAGGAAACCATGAAAGAAAGGAGACCAGGCTCGCAGTTGGAACCTTGTTGAGATCCTGGAGAAGAAAAGCCAGGCGGCGCAAGGGGGCGAGCTGACTTTGGTGGAAAAGAAACGAAATACCAAAGATACCATTCGCTAGATATTAGCAATCAAAGAATTGACAGTTAATGTCACAATCACATCATTATTCTACCCATAACTCCCATCTTCGTGATATATAAGACCTGATCTCCATCTGCATTTCATGCAGCCTTGGAGGTATTCTGTCGTCGCAAAGAAGTCAGGACTCCTGTCTTGACTTCAATTCTGAATGTCGATCTTAATCTACCTTGGAAATTCTTCCAACTTCGGTGTTTGGGATCAAGGCGGTGTTAGAAACGCCAAGCCTATACCGAGCTCCTGATAAGCTTGGCAGTCAAAGGTGCCAGATCTTAATTATACAGTTGGCCATAGCTTCAATGTCGTAGCTCACATAGGAACAGAGCACTGGCAGGATAAAGTATATCTGAAAACAAGTTATATAATTCAGTTGATATGGGCGACTTATACTGCAATGAGTCCAATGAAATTTGACACGCCTGGGAATTTAACCCTACTGTCGAAAACAATAAAGACCCAGAAAACACATAGGTGAAAACAACTCGCTCTCCATGATTTGATTATAACGTGAGCTGCGTTGTCGCTGGTATCTACTTTGAAACATCTCAACCGTGGCCAGATGAAACACGGTATAAGTACTAACGATGGGTAAAGGCAAAAAAAGAGATGAGAAAAGGAAAGTAGAGCCAGGAATCAAGACCGTGCTGATTCCTCCATACATATCGCTATAAGCTGCGAGCCTGCGGTCCGCTTTGGAGAAACACTTGTATCCAAAACGACGATCCCTCATTGCGCATTTCAACGAATCGTCCTGTACCGTATGTAAGGTCGCAACGCCATCCCACATGTTTCCATTTGTGGTCGTTTCATCGTGTTCGAACCGCTACTCATACCACATATTCATACCATGACCGTTTCACATGCCAGTGCTTCAATAAGAAATGGAACAGGAGTCAAGCCTCCACTGTTAGCCTGATTCTACCTCTTCGATGCTGGCCCGCTCCAAAGTCCTTTGGAGGTCTCAACAACTCGATTTCCATTGTTACCGGGCTGCAATGAGGAAGGGACGTTGGAGGCTGTGGTGTTGCCCATGACCACGTCGTTCTCAGTTTGTGTTCCGTAGCCACTGTCCTTAGGCTGGTTGCTACCCATGGAAATGGCACTGTCTCCCTTCTTAGTGGAAGGTTGTTGAGGTTGTTGTCGGGCAGTGCCACGACTGGGCTCCTTTGAACGAGCTCCGTCCATCAAACCGTTCTGGGCCTCGCGCAGCTTGTTAATAGCACGAACAGTATCAATGGCCGCATGCAGAGTTCGGCGAGCGTTGAAGTTCTTCTTGATATTAGGTAGCAGATTCTGACTCTCGCCCTCAGCATTAATGAAGCCAGCAACGAATGGGTGCTGGAGGGCCTCATGGGCGGTGATGCGCTTCGTAGAGTCAATGGTTAGGCACCGTTGAATGAAGTCCTTAGCATGGCTAGAAACACCACGCCAGTATTCGATCGGAGTAAAGCTGTAGTCTGCATTGAGGATGGCCTGCATCTCTTCAAAATCAGAATCGCGGTCGAAGGGGGTATAACCACAGAGCAAGAAGTATGTGATGACACCAAGAGCCCAGAGATCTACCGGTTTGCCGTGACCGGTCTTCTTGAAGATCTCGGGGGCCATATATCCAGGGGTACCGCAGGTTGTAGTCAAAACATGGAACTGTTCCTCATCCATAATTCGTGAAAGTCCAAAGTCTGCAATGAGTAAGTCTGCATTGTCCTCGGGGGTTCGGAAGAGTAGGTTTTCGGGCTTCAGGTCGCGATGGACAATTCCATGGTCGTGGAGGTAAGCGACAGCCGACAATGTAGCGCGAACCAAGTCCGCAGCATCTGACTCGAAGTAGGAACCCTTTCGGCAGATTCGATCAAAGAGCTCGCCGCCTAGAGCAAGATCGGTAACGAGGTAGAGGTTGTTCATGGTCTCGAAGTAATCGACGAGGGTAAGAATGTTCTGGTGGCCCATGGAGACCTTCTTAAGGACAGCGATTTCGTTGCGAACCTGCCATTGCGCATTCAATGTTAGAAGACAATTATACGGCAAAAAGACTGTGTATGATGCTGCTAAACATCATGAGGTGATGCGCACCATGTGTTCGCGACCGGCCATAAGCCGCTTGTTGATGACCTTGGCAGCATAGTAGCGGCCAGTATCGATATGGACGCATTCTTTCACGACGGAATAGGAGCCAGCTCCCAACGTCTTGCCGACCTTGTATCTACAAGGTTGAACTTGAGGTTGTTGGCGAGCCGCGGAGTCCATTTTTATTTTGAGGTTGTGACGTCGAAGCTGGGGGACGAAGTGAGGATGGGAGGTGATAAGAAGATCGCAGTCGGGTGCCCCGCAGAGCGTCGAGAGGCGAGATGGGAGGTGCGACTGCTATTGCGTTGCGTTGCGATGAAGCGAGGATATGTTCTTGAAGCAGATAGAGTTTCGACCGATAGTGAGAGAAGAGCAAGTTATTTTTGGTTGAAATTGAGGAGAAGAGGAAGGAGAAGTATAATGTCAGCAGTCAGTAGCGATGCTGATGGGATTGAACTGAACTGAACTGGTCTGAAATGAAGGGTCGGGTGGGAGTTTGGGTCGGTCAGTTCGTGTGTGGGACAGCCAAGGACTAAGGTAACTAAAAGGTGGGGTCGAGTCAGGTCCAGCTGAAAATACGGATGAGATAGCAATTGGATCCAATAGGTGGGTGTCGTCGAAGAATAAGGCGCTTTTAGCCTGGACCCTTTTTGTTTCTGCCTCTTTGTACGAGAGCAATCTATTAGAACTAAGGTTTAATAAGGTACGCAGGCGACTTAGTATGAGGCCTCTTGGATGATAGACTAGCTGAGGACTTGCTCGAGGCAATTGATATTCAGTGTCTTGACTCCTGGTTGGTGTGCACTATCTACTAATCATTGTTCTCCCTCGCAAAGATAATGGCAATAAGTGAATGAATTATGACAGCATTGCTTACCTCATGGTACAGTACAACCATGACGATATTTGATCCCCAAGCACACCATATGAAGTTCGAACCCCATCCCCCTGAGCCGTAATACACATCTTGTCCTCTGCAGAGAGGTACATTGCTTCGTCTCTCTAATCTCCTCGATTTCAACGATGGCGCAGTAACTCAGTCAAGCTGTCGAATCAGCCACAAACCTTCATTGTCTAATTTTGGATTCCACGCATTTCAAGCGTTTACCTACATATCTTCATAGTCATTGGAAGAGGTGTGTCGATTTCGAAGCCTGTTTTGGCATTGACCTTCGCGATGACTTTTATATACAAGTAGCTGGCTAATAAGCCAAGCACTAGACAGTCTTTATAGTTTCTCTGAACATGGACATCTTTGGGTCGGTGATTGAAAATAGAGATATTTCAGTTTTATTCACCTCTACGAGATTGTTTCTTTGCGCTAGTAAACTTCTTTTGCTTTATTCTTGTATCGTGGAATCTTTTCCCACTATCGAGATGTCAGCCGCAACTCTTTAATAAACGATCGACTGCAACTTACATCTCTTGGTGTTTCTTTTTCTTCTCTGAGCTTGTTTCAGCAGGCACTGCCTCTTTGTAGATACGTACGAGCTCCTCCGTCAACTTCCTTCTGTTATCTTGCGCATTTGCATCCCGTGACCGGGAATCTTGAGCTTGGAAAGTCAAGGAGTCATTTGCTGATGTGTAGTACTTGGATTTGCGGACACTAGGATATAGTAATTTGGGTAGCATTGAGTACAATTGCTGCACTGGATATGCCGTGGTTGCCTTGGTTTCAGTCCTTTTCTTTGTCAGTGTTGGAAACCTGGGAGGATTATATATCCATACTTGTTGACATGTTGACCCCCTGGTCCACTGGAGCGAGAGTATGTAGTATTGCCTTTCGGCAGTAGAGATTCATGGAATGACTCGTACCACGTACGAGCCTCAACGAGAGATTCTTGGTCAAAATCGGCATCAAATGCCTTGTATCTGTTGGAGTTGAACCTCGGCGCAAAGGGAGCAACTGTCACTTGCGATTGCATCCTTTCAAGACCAACAAGCCTTGTAAAGACCGAGCGTCGAAACATGGCGGGGTTACAATAGGTACGTCTAAAAGTTGCTTGTAGGTGTGAGACAAGCCCAATTATAAGATCAATTAATCCTTCTTAGAGTATCATGTGGTGAGAGATCAATGTCTTAATGTACTCGTTGAGGTTGGGCCCTTAAACTCTTGGCTTAAGTTTGATGCTTGTCTGTGGCTGAGATGTTGATCCTGAAGCAGCAGCAAACCACACTGCACTTTTGACCGCCTTACCCCTTCTGTACTAGCCTTCTGTTAGCTGCGGTTGACGCCTGCGCCATATCAGCCTCAATTCGAACCCCGAAACCCAGCCTTTTCACCCTAACCTAACCTACCTAACCTTACCTTCTTCCACTTACCTCATCTTCTCAATCTCCAATCTGAACCTTCTCTCATCCAACAACGCGCATCGACTTCTTTTTGATCCAGCGCCCTACTGTACCGTAGTCTTGGTGTCGCAACGACCTCTTACCGAACCCATTTCAACTCTACTCTCACGTGCCTCCGCTTGCGCCCCATTCTTCTGGAGAACTCCAACTCATTTGGTTCGATAAGCCAAGCTCCGACGTCGCAAAACCCTCTGCCACCTGGCTCCCCTGTCGAATAGCTGGGCGAGCCTCCTACGCTCCTTATCGACGTCTTGTAAGCGTGCCAGATCCTGTGGCCTGTTATCATCGCGCATTATTAGGCCTGCAGGTACAGCTTGTCCAGCTCAAACTCTGTCGCTTTGACCGCCACTCAATCCATTCGTCACATTTCCATTCCAGTCTTGCGCCAGGCCGTCGCCTGGCACGAGTTCGTACTAACGAAGGAGTCAAATCTCATCGATTTTCAGTTGCGCTGTCGCCTATATCCCGCTTCGTTTGTGCGACTGGCGGTACCTGAGAGGGTCACCTCATCCTGCTACCCACCAAAATTCCACCCCTCCAGCTTTAATTAAATGACAGAACCCGAGGCAGAACTCCAGGCCACTGCCAACCTTTCTCCCGTCTCCCCATCGCCAGTTCACTCAGCTACGTCTTTGGCAGTTCCCGTGCTTCAGGAAACGGTGGACACCATTGACGCCATGGTCGCTGCTGCTTCTGCTGCCGCCGACGCCGCCGCCAATGGCTCAGTCAACAACAACGGCCCTGATCTTGAGCCATTCTTGGGGGCCGGTGATGACAATATCGTAGATGACGACAGCCTCAACGACCCTTATGGCGAGGATGATGCAGATGCCACCATCCAGCAAGTGCCTCAGCCACAAGTCGAACAAGAGCTGCCCGACAGCAATGACGACTACGCAAAGACATTTGATTCGCCAATTGGGCCAGAAGAGGGTGAAGACGGAGACATTCAACCACAAGATGTATCATCGCTACCTCGGGAATCCAACGATATTTCTCTTTCATCCGATCATTTGACAAGTCACCCATCTCAAGTCTCCTATGCCGTTCATAACACGTCTCTGCCAGCCCAACCAGGCCAACATGCGTCATCATCTGCTTCCCATGCTTCTCTCGAAGCCCAGGCTTTCGGCGCTGCAACTGCCATCACTTCGCAGCCCTCCAATTTGCCGACGCCCTCTCCAAGTGCAGCCAACCTGGGTGGCAGTAACGCCGCCGGCTCCGCCAATGCCTCGCCTGATATTCAACGGCTGGTCGCTAATCTCACTGCGCCAGTCGACTCCAACCGTATCACAGAACTGTCTGTCCCGTCCGCCACTGGTGATCAGTCCAACGAATATAGCACTTCGTCTTCAGATTTTCCACCTTCAGCCTCGCTTCCACCAAGACCTCCACAGTCCCAAACACTGCCTCAGACGTATGCCTCTCAGCACCATCCAGGGAGCATCAATGCTAGCATCCCCCCTGGTCTCGCTGCGCCGCCGACACCAGGGCAGCCTTCTACTTACGTGGCCACTGGCGCGCCTGTTGCAGCTCCTGATGTTTTGGGTGAATACCCAGTTCCTCCTGGTTCAGGTCTCCAGGCCAATGTCGCCATCACTTCCTTGAATGCTCCCCCATACCCGGCTCAGCCTGTCCCTTATAATGCCGACCAAACTCAGGAAGCAGAATACCAGCGCCAGTGGGATCAGTTTTTGGCCGATGAGCGCCAGTATATGTCGGAGGCCAAGTGGGATCGTTTTCCGGAGGGCTCACGCATCTTTATTGGTACACGATCCGCGTCTGGCGCGTCCAAAAATGGCGCTCACATATTCTCTGCAGGCAACCTCTCGAGCGATAAGGTGTCGAAACGTGATGTTTTTGATCTATTCCACCGGTTCGGAAGGCTTGCTCAAATCTCATTGAAATCAGCCTATGGATTTGTGCAGTATCACTCCATAGAAGAAGGACAGCGGGCGATGGATAATCTTCAAGGAATTGAAATTAAGGGACGCCGAATCCGTGAGTCAAGCCCTTTTCATTCTTCCTGTATTGTGCTTCTAATCATATCTAGATCTCGAAGTCTCGCGTGTTCAAGATAAATCGAAAAAAGAAAGGGTTCGCAGCCCAGATAAGAACAAGAGTCGCGACAATGGACGCCGGAACGAAAGGCATGGCCACCAAGCTCGAGATGACTACCGGTCGAGTCGCGGTCATTCCCCCCATCGTAATGATTATGGAAGGGAAGAGTCGTATGGTCGTGATCGGACCTATTATGAAGGCAGTCGTGGACGAGGGCGATCACGGTCTCCCGGATATGGTCGTAATGACAATGACAATTATCGTCGAAGGAGCCCAAGCCCGCTTGGAAGATCTCGACATGGAAGTGAACCTGAGCTTCCGGGAAGGAGATATGGTGCCGACGTCCCCGATGTTCAGATCATCCTTCAACAAGACATCAACCGCGAATTTATTAACTGGGTAAAGCAAGCCTTTACATCTAGAGGCTTGCGGTGCGAGGTTATGTTCCTATCTAACAAACTTCCCAAGAATGCAGTCGTTCAGCAACAGGCAGCGGAGGGTGTTCACGCTGTCGTGGAACTCGACCTTCGCGCACAGAACCTGGGCAAGATCCCTGTCCAAGCATTTGATCGCTCTGCTGGTTCCAACAATATTCGCTACAATCAGTATGCAGACTTGGATCCCCCTACCGCTGCCGAAGTTATTCTCCGGGCGAAGGCATCAGGAGGAGCACCTAGCTATGGTCAACAATACGGTTCAAATGGTTACGGCGTTACTCCATATGGTGGCCAGCCCACCTACCAACCACCGGCAGCGAGCTATATCGCCCCTCCTCCACCAGCACAATATGCGCAGTCTCCGCCTGCTTCAGTCAACGTTGCTAACATCGCGAATCTGATGGGCCAGCTTGACCCCGCGTCGCTGCAGCAATTACTTGCACAAGTCCAAGGTGGTGCTCAGAACCACCCTCTCCCTCAAGCAAATCCAACGGCCGCAACTGCTGGAGTCCCCCAGGCTGATATCCAAGCTCTGCTTGGAAGTTTGGGGGCCAATCCTGCAGCTCAACAATCTCAGCCGCCGCCCCCTCCAGGCTCCTATGGGGCTCCATACGGAGCGCCGCCTCCGTCAAATGGCGCGTCGTCCAACGGGGACTCAGCAGTCCAAGTCCAGAACATCATGGCACACCTGGCTAGGTACCGGCAGTGAGCCTGAACAACTAGCTCTGCATTCAAGATCAGTTGTGTTGGCAGTTGATCGTCCCTATTCTCCTTATGATACCACTCAGGGGCACAGTTTGTTTTAGACATTTGGACTCCTTCTCAGTTGCTTTTTGTTGTCTTTTCATGCATTAGAATTTAACCGTACCAATAGTACCCTATATGGGATTAGATTATAGGGTTTGATGTGCTTTTAGGTGTGGGTAGGAAGATGGGCGTGGCGTTGATGGGTGAGAGTCGCGAGGGGGTTACCATGATTACCAGATGGAACGGGCACCATGCGAAGGTATAGATTTGGTAGCATAGTCTATGATTACGCTGGTGTTGCATTGGCTTGTGTGTGACGTTGAACCGATTGAGGATGAGGTATGAGTGGTGCTTTTTACTCAAGATACCCAGTTTTGCTTTTAGATATATTTCATAGCGCCCTCATTAGTCGAAGGCTTTATTTCTCGTTTCCTGTTTGTGATGAATCCAAGGCTCTTTGGAGCATACCTAACCTTTACTTTATCTATGGAGCCGCAGCACGGCTGGCATGGCGCGATACAGTTCAGAATCATCACACAATCACTAACCATCAGTGATGGCTACACAAACGACACGAAGGCAACGCACTAATCGCCCTTAGGATTTGGTACTGATGTGTCTGGAGAGAACACGACATGGCAAGGCTGGTCTTGAATCTTATCTCTTTGGACGTCTCACGCTCTGCTCACTGTCTAGGTCAACTGCTCTAGAGGAATATATACCAAGATCGAAGAAAGAAATATCAGCAATGTCGCCACCTCATTAGTCTACCATCCAAAGCTTTCGTTATGCCACCATACGTTACGGCCCTTCATCACCCAAGGCGTAACACTATTGCGAAGCTCCCTGGCCATCTCGGTAGGGCCACAGACCAGAATAGCGACGTTGTCTAGTTGACTTTTTCTGAATGTCTCATCAACGATCTTTTTCAAGTCTGGTCTCTTGCTGTTTCTGACAGAGGAGCGAGTCGCTTGTGGTGGTATGTTGTCCATCTCAACACCGGCAGCGTTGTCACTATCGTCTGAAACACCCATGTCCCCTGTAAGGAATAACTGTACTTGATTATCATCGAGAAGAGACTTGCCAGTAGGGGTCGAGGATGCCCATGTTGCATCACCTGCACTCCGAATAGCCCAGATAAGCTCAACATGGGGGATGGAATTCTCCGCATTGATGGCATGGTAGAGCGGTACAGCGAAGGTTGCTCCTACTCCTCCGGCCACGATGAGTACACGATTGATTCCTGATGTGATGAGATCATTGAATGTCTTTCCTATTGTACCATACGGTCCTTCGATGTTAAGTTGAGCCTTCTCGGTCGCTGCTCCGTTGTTGGTAGTCGAGGAGAGATGATGCAGGCGGTTCGTCATGGGGCCAGTCCTTGTACGTGCGATAAAGGTCAACTCGCCCGTTTCCTGGTTCGTGGAGGAAACTGTAAAGGGGTTATACAAGAACTCAAAGACGAGGTAAGGCGCAGAGAACTGGCCGATGCCCGGACGCGAGGTCGGAGGTACATTAAGATAAATGTGCGACCCCGGACGGGCGGCGTATTTTGCGATCTTATGTGATGGCATTGTGGCAGATACTTTGACAAGACTGGTACCGGGTATCGCCTCAATGACAACGGGAGCTGTGATGGTGATCATCTTGCGTATGGCGAGATCCAGCACGAAGACGCCGATGGCCTCACCGATGTAAAACCTCGACGATGGTGCGTGGTAGTAGATGAGAGGTGGGATAGCAAAAGCACCAAGAAGATGGACGATGAAGAACAAGCGATACGAATATTGTCGAACGCTGGCCATGGCTGTACCGTTGAGAGCGTGCAGGACAACCAAGCCTGCAACACCTGCGAAGACAACAGGGGCAAAGAATCGCTTAAGCCATATCTCCGACTCTATAAAGAATATGTTGTAAAGAATGGCGTGAAGAATCAGGAGAGAGTAGATGATACGGCCCAATACACGGTGGTAGCGGTTGAGATGCTCATGAGATGAGCGGAGGACGAAGGCAAATGGGTTGAGGGCCTTGAGAGCAAGAAGATACTGGATGGGCATCTGAGATGTTGCAACAATGCCAACTCGTTTTGTGAGATGAAGATAGTCTATCTTGTTAGCGATGTTCCCCTGATGAACGAATAACATACCCTTTCCTGTGCCATGAACACTCAACACCAGCAGCCAAAAGGTCCATGCAATACCCACAATCCATTCGTCACGCTGTCCCCAATGACTCCCCATAAACCAAACGTCTTCACCAAGCCACCACTTCACCATAGGGCCCTTTTCCAAAACTCTAGAGATCCATTTCTGTCGATTCGCTTTGACGCCAGGTGAGCCAGGAACTTGCTGATATCCACTGTTTCGGCCCCGTCGGACGCGGTCGATGAAGTGCAACAGAACGAGTAATAATGCCGGAACAAATGCAGAAAGATGAGCTATAAATGCGTAGTGGTCAAGACTCAGGCGACGTTGATGCTTTTCCTCTTGTGTTAGAGTGAGGAACTCCCATGGCCAGCCCATCTTGAGCTGTCTTTCTCCTTACTAGGTTGAACCTCGAACAGACAATAAGACTCTGAGTTCGTGTAGCAATGAAATGAGATAGCAACTTGTCAATTAATTGACCAGGCCTTTGTTGTATTTATAGTGAAATACGCTCGAAAAGACACGACTTGTAATTCACAACTGAACCCAGCTCTCATATTGAGGAAGGACAACATGCAAATTACTTAAAGTTTATTGGTCAGTCAATATTGGTTGGCCAGGGGTCTTACCCTGTACCAGTAGCTAATTTCACATCAGTTGCATGAGCAACCAAACGCTCAGCATTTGCCAAGTATAGGCTTTAGTATATGTGATAATATTGCAATTATGTATACTCATCGTATCTCTATGTTTGTTTTGGTATTCATCTGAGCAACTTAGCCTAAGCGTTCATCATGCACATACACGATATGGATTTCATCCTCATCCCCTAAACTTAATCAGACCAGACCAGACCAGACCAGACTGCAAAGGAAACCCGAGAAAACCGCCATAACACCAGAGCTCCACTAACTATGCCGTCCGTCAACCTCTATCTATTATAAACATCGCTGGAACCGCTTGTTGCTTCCCAGCAGATCTGATTCGAAGCAAGTCGTACATCGTAAAGTAACTGCGCAACTCCATCGAACTGCCCGTATGCTACTATGACATGGCAGTCAAACCTCAGCTCTTTGCATCGTCATGGTCGGGCTCAAACTTGGTCTCGCCGAGCAGAGGGCCAGGTTGCGACGTCATGGCAGTTTGTGTAGCTGGCTGAGGCTGGCTCTGCACTGTTGGGCCAGTTGGTCGGTTGGGAGGCTGCGACGGCTTCTGTGCAGTTTGGTTGCTAGTTGCGGCATGTAGCCTCTGGTCCAGCGCCCTGAGAGCAATAGCTCTCCTTCTCTCCGCCTCAGCACGAGCACCACCGGGCGCATTGCGTTGGATTCGAGTGTTATTCTGAGAAGCTTCCGCTTGCGCGAACGGCGTGCACAATCGCATGGCCACCAGCACCAGGAATATCTGATCAGCGACAGCGGCCACAAATGGCTTCACAGGACCGGGGAAGAACTCGGCAAAGGCGAAAGTCTCGCTCGCGTCACCACGGAGAGATGCCTCCTGGGCGGAATCGAGGTCGGGGAATACGGTCTTGTAGAATCGAAGGTAGGTCCAGCTGGTAAGGAATCCAAAGATGGCAAGCCATAAGGAGGCCCTGTTCAGAATGGGAGTAAGAGACAGAAGGAAGACGATACCGATGTACAGAAGCGGGAATCGAGGAACTCGGAGAGATACGACGCCGCGGAAGAGTGTCACGGTATGCGCTGGGACGAGTTGACTGAAGGCGACCAGGAAAGCGATTTGCACTGGAATGGTCCCGGCAATAACAGTCAAGCTATATATAAGTGTCAGTTTCTCTCAGTAAAGTGTATGCCGGATAAGGCAGTACGTACGTCCAGCTTTCGTTGCGTGAGAGAGTAAAGCAAAGCACCATAACGCAGAGTGTCAGGAAGTTGGGAACCAGCGACACAATAGCCAAGAACTTTGCTAACTCGGCCGACGACCAAGCTCTCTCAAGATAACGTCCTCCATGGTACAGCGTGACAGCAGCGATACTGAGCGTAAAAACATTGCTCTCGACGAACGTTGACGTTATAAAGGTCCAGGGATATATGATGGACAGCTGCGGGACCAGCGTCAAGTAGGGAATGACGATATTAGCATCGGCGGTCCATTGTCGATATCGGATCGCAGCGCTAAGAATGGACTGGCCAAGGAGCGCAATGAGGAGGATACGTGTGACAGGCGGGATATTTATTCGCGGCGGCATCGTGACGTGTTTATCTAGGTTTCAGGGTCCAAGATCGGTTCTTATTCCAACCTCGTTGAGATTATTCGAAGCGTTGAGGGGGGATGATTTGGCGCAGGTTGATGAGGAAGTTGACTCGTAATTCGTTAAGATTCCCGACAAAGAAGAACGCCTTTCCTTGGACGTGGCTATTGTTGTATTCCGCAATCCTTTGTTGTTGGCGCTGGCTCTTGAATCTGTCCTTCTCCTTATTTCCCTTTGAAACCCTTGAGATTGGATTAAGCTGTCCTCAGTCCCTTGCCAGCCTCATCGCGGTATAGCTCAGCCTCTTGTGGCGCATGACTGGACGAGCCTAAGGCCGCCACAGCTACCTAGGAGGAGCGAACGTGTCAGGAACGGGCAATTTGGATCCCTGCTCTATGCGCGCCTGATCAGTCAATTTTAATGAATCTTGGTCTATCTTGCATGCTTGAGCTCTATTCTAGGGGTTTTCAGTTCGGCTATTGAATTGATCCAAACCACGAGAGATCCTTGACGACATATGCACATTGACTAAATGCTCTTGATTGGTATACCCTTGAAAATTCCAGCACATCAAGAAGTGAAACGCTTGAAGTTTTTCATAGACTCTCACAACGTCAAACTCTAAACATGGGCTTAATCGTTCCAGGGTGGGCACTAGCGGATCATGGCTGTGACTCCGAATGGTTCCCGCCTTGGTTGCTGACCGGCTCTACAGGGACTTCTCTAATTAGCAAAGGCCAGCCAATGCCGACCAGTCTAACACATGGCTTGTTGGGCTTGATTCTGATTCTTACTGTCAAATGATAATAGCACGCAGTTGAGCTGCAATTGACATAACCCAGTGAAAATCAGAGCCGTTTCATATCCAAGCATTGGAGGCACGAATGTCTTGAAGTAGCCGCATCATGTTTGTCTCCACATTCAGATCTTGAAACCGTACGATTAACTTTGAAGATCCTAGAGCGCGTCAATTCATTTTTAGAAGAAGCATATTTCCGGACACGAGAATCAAGTATGTTGGCATACTGCCAATTGCTACCGATATTGGGTTCTTCATCAATATTAAATGGTGGAATGGAGATAGTCAACCCGGTCAAGGCTCGGGGGGTTCGGCAAAGACAAGATGACGGATGTCTTTAGGTGACTAGCTCCCGGCCTGCACCTAATTGGTCGAGAGCGTTTAGATTCTCGATGTGTTGTTCCCTTATGTCTCTCAAGCATGGAGTCAGTGGGGCAAGACTTTGGAATGTCGTGCAGGGGCAAAGCAAAGATACTGTAGCCACATCTTTGATCAAGCTATGGCTGAGGATTTTGCCGAGTTTGAACGCTGATGAATGAAGCATTCGTGTCTGAAGATGTACATGCAATCCATACGGTCTAGTACTGCTTAAATTGATGTCGATATGTCCATTGACGATGGGCCTGGAGCCCGGAGATTTGCGCCGGAGAGGCGACTCGGCCAACGTTGCGTTGAGGGAGGGTCCAAGTACCGAACGGGAGATGCACAATGTCAAGGAGAACCGCGGGAATGCCACGGGAGGCTTTCGATGATAGCTATCACGTGACGGCGATATAATCCTGATGGAAATAGCAGACAGGATTGTTCTTTCAGGAGTACTTGTACGATCAGACAATCTTGTCTGTGAATCAACCGTAGGAAGCGAGCAAGGGAGCGACGAGTCTTTTGCTCCAGCGTCATCGCGACCAACCGCTGACTGAAATCATCACAAAAGTCCGTGCTTTGACGCAAAGAAGAGAGGGAAAAGCACGGGGCCCTGTCGAAACCAAAACGTGCGGGTACGTACCCACCATGTTCGGAGGTTTGTCGTGGGCTGCGTGGGTGGAAAGCAAGACGTGCATCAACGCGTTGGGGGGCGTTGTGTTCGGTATCTTATCAGGTACCACAGCTTTGTATCGTGGAGGGACAGTGATGATGTTGCTCAAGCCGCGCCGTCTTGAAGTCGAAACCACGATACTGGATTCAAGCCTGTTTCTTAAAATGACCGCTAAAAGCTTGGTGTTCAACACTCGAACAAGGGCAGACAGCCGCTGGCCCCGGCTGTGTGTGGGCTTTCCTTGGCGGCCCCTTTGACTGAGCTAAAGTATTGCCACGTAATAATGGATGGGAGTTCAGGCAGAACTGTGAGCACCTTTCGATGAATTGAACGGGTTGGTACTCAGAGTCAGGGTCAACGCTTTGCAGGCTGTCTTTCTGTGCGCAACTGATTGCAACAGTTCTTCTTGTTGTCACACAGAATGTTGCGTTGCGAGGGGTTTGAAGCAGTCGTACAGCTTATCAGTGCTGTGCTGTATGGAGATGACGCTGGCAATCCAGCAAGTAAGCAATGGGATCAACAAATCGCGAATAAGCCCTGCCATGTCCTGCTTGTGCTCTGTGCTCTACTGCCATTCGCAACATTTATCTGCGTCTATCTTTCTCCGGCTACCTAGCGGCTATCGGTGAGGGTAGTGAGTTGTGCATGTCATGTCACGCAGAGATTGATTTGGATGCTCAAACTGGCGACTAGGACTGGATGACACTGGGTGTGACATCCTTGCTTGTGGTGGCATCTGTCCGTCCGGAGCTGTGGGAGCCAGGCCAGGCAAGCATGCCGGGGCGGTGCTTTTAGGTGGGCCTTTCTCTTCGGCTGTGGGTTGGCTTGTCTTGAACCATCCGTCGCCTCCCCAGACTGAGGATTGAGTTGTCTTGACGGTAGTGGCTGATGGGGGTACTGTACAGTACAGCAACGTAGGAGAGGGACTGTTGCTTAAGCATCTATGGAAGGTTATTTACCAGCAAGCGATCAAGCTGCGCTCACATGTTGATGATAGCACAAATTCTCTCAAAAGCCCAAATTGGACTCGGTTCTCTCGCCCATTGTGACATTATGACCTCGAATTGGAGTGAGCGCAGCAGGGGTAGAGGAAAGGTCAAGCGTAAAGGGATGGGCGGGGGACGGAAAAGAAGCCCAACACATGTTCAAGTACCAGTACTTGAATCAAAAGTGGACAGGCTCGACCATGACCCCTGTCGTGGCCGATCTGCATCCGTCTCAGATTTTTGGGAGGAAAAGCGAATGCATCAGCCCGAGCCCTGGAGGGAAGCATGGCATGGCATTTGACGCGGACTAGTCGTGACTAAGACGACCAACCACTCTTGATTGGTTCGAAATTCGAGAAGCCTCATGCACAAACTGGGGGGAAATATTGACGGAACACCATCACACTCGCAGCGGCAGGGGCGTAATCTAACGATGACGAGCGGTGACTTTTCTTCCATTTCTTTGCCAAGAGGACGGCCAAAAACAGGGTATGGCAGACAAAGAAGACGGAAAACATGAAAGAAAACAACAAAAAAAAAACACATCCCGGCTCCTTCTCTTCACCATCGGTCCAAGATTTCATCTCCCTCACCATCACTCGATCGGTAGCCCCTCATCATCTTCAAGCACTGTCACCATTCCCGACAAGGGACATGATCTTCAAAACCTTGTCATTACCACAGAACGCCGCTGTTGAAGAAGACAAACCTAGCCTGGCAAAGCGCCCATGGAATGGCCGACTGACCAGCCAAGGTCAGGCAAATCTACTTACCGTTGATTTCGAGGTGGCACTGCACCTGCACTACGCTACTCTAACTGGGGGGTGCTGCTGTTGCTGGCGCCGGTGGTGTTTATTTCGACAGTCCTAATATTGGAGGTTGCATTCGCCCATTCATCATTCAATATCCGCCATGCATGGCCCAAACGGGTTCAAGGACCTTCAAATGCTTACAGTGAACCCCTGTTTGTCCGCAGGTCCACGATGAATCGATTGGTGACCATTCCACCATCTTGGAGGTACCGGTACATTTGAACAACGCGCCTGCTGGGGCAGATAATGACCACCTTGAAAAAAACAAGAGTCTCGCTGATGGAAGGTCCAGTTCTGTCTGTCTGTTTTTCCATCCTTCGAGGCTTCGACTCGGCGTTCGCTAGCGCCTTTTCCATTTCAAGCCCGCCGTTCAGTGGGTTAGCTCCCTCCCACCCAATGCGTCTCAAGGACATGTCTCTTTTGACCGGGATCGTGTCTTGTCAATGGTTGACACCACTGGATGGATGATGAGGGATGAAGGGAGATTCGAGGTTGTGTCTTCAGCCCAGTCCATTTCTCCATATAGACTATCAAAACTGGAAGAGACGCATTTCGTGGGTTGGAACGATGGAACGAACAGTCATGTATCCGTACCAATCTTCAAAACCACCCCCGTCAGCCCCGTGCCTAGCTCCCCGTAAAGGACCCGTAGCTCGTGCGCAAGCAATGTCGCTTTATTCTTGGCGTTTTAAGGGTACCTCGACAAGGTACCCTTCCATCCAATCCATCCTTGCATCACCCCAACTAATTCGAGCTAGCAGAAACGGGGAGAGCCACAAGCAGAACGACCTGATCCTGTGCTAGTCTGGCTAGCCTAACCTGGTCCTGGTGCCTGTACCTTAGACAGTTCAGTGCCGTACAGTAGGTACATCCGCTAGAACTAGAAGCCAGCAGGAGCCCGGGTGGGCATTGATTGAATCTCAGGCTGCAGTGGACTGGGCTGGGACGGGAGTGACCTACAGGGGCGGCAGACGTACAACAGAACAGAGGAGAGATCCAATGGATGGGACTAGAGGTACGTACCCACTTCACCACCGCCCCAACTGGAACCTTGAATTTCATCTGTCTTTTGCATCTTCACTCACCTTTCCTTAGTCAAACCCCCATAAACAACTTCGAATAATCCGCTTGCGCCTCCAAAATAGGTTGGTTTTCGGGAGCCAGCTCACTTGTGCTATAACTTTTGCTTCATTTTCACGACTGCGACCCTTTAGCGACTCTGCGCCTTCTGCGGCGCCCTCCGGACCATGGTCGCTAAGGAATTCCTCGACTCGGACAGAGTCAACTTTCTTGTTTGGAGGTTCGTCACCACCTACCGTACTCCACGTCTCTGGCTTCCACCCGCCGCGCCAGTTCTTCTCAAACGCGACCTTTGGATTTCTTGGAACTTGTGCTGACCATGCATTTCTCCTCATCTACAGATTCCTTCTTGAAGGCAGTATGTAACACTTCTGCGCGATCATAGCGCCACAGCAAACCTAACCTCACTTTCCTCACAGATTACCGAGAGACTGCCGCCAAATTTCAAAAGGAATGGCACGTCAAACAGCCCCATAGAGAATTCGCCTTTGCGCGTCACGTAAAGAGTCACGCATTGGTTTCGGTCATTAATCGCGGCCTTCAATATCACGCGCTTGAACGTGAGCATGCACGCAAATTGGTAAGTAACCCTGGAAATTATCGTTTTCCATGAAAGTTGCAGCGCTGCGCTTGTCCCCCACTCACCGAAGTAAGGCGAGGTGGGATGTACTTTTTACAAAGCCAACCTTCCAAAACGGTCAGAAGCTGACAGATTCACTACGCGCAGCTGCCTCCCAATGCATCAGCGGAAGCAGCCGAAGCTTTGAAGTACGGTATTTTTGGACCTTTGGACGCCAACCCACAGGGCAGAATTGAGGAAGAAGAGGAAGAGGATGCCGAAGGAGAGGATGTTATTGAAGAGGAGGTATCAAGGAAAAGACCTCAGCAGCAATTATCGAATGGATCGCCGGTGAAACGACAAAGGTTGAGCAATGGATTGGAAAATGGCGCCGAAGCACCGGCATCAGCTCCAATGACAACATCAGCGACAGGAACAGGAGCCCCAGCCGGAATAGCACCCACAGCAACAGCAGCGCCAGCTCCTGTGACAACACCGATGGAGATTGACAACCAGCCTGACAACCACGCATATCCTTCGCCTCTCGAAGGCGAGCAAGCGCCGGAGCCGATAGTGCGAACTGACGGGCCCGAACAGGGTACACAGGTTGATAAAGTCGAGGAGCTGGCTCCGGAGACAACATTCATTCGCCTAGTGGACGACCAAGCTGAAGGCCAAGGTCGAGGAAACACGCCATCACCAGCTTCACCTTCTGGGCCTGACAACGCTCCCATCCTTTTGCAGTGCGAGTGGAACCCAAGAGATCCGTCCATCCTGGCGGCTGCTGGTACAGATGCGCTAGCCCGCGTTTGGACTGTCGCGCGTGCGGGCCCCGTTGAACCGGGCCAGGATCACGTGTCACCCCAAGGCCATTCCCTGCTCGACCGTGACGTGCCCCGCGATACAACAGTTACAGCCCTGTCGTGGACCGCGGATGGTGCTGCTATTGCGGTAGCCACCGATTCGAGAAATCAGGCTTCGATCAACGTGTGGTCAGCTGAGGGTGCACATTTACAGTCTATGGAAGTGTCGGAACCGCCTATTATCAAACTCTCATGGAACCCTAATAACACCGCGCTGCTCGCCATCTCGCCCGACAAGGGTGGTGCCCTCGTCACTGTGCACTATCCGCCTGCCGGCAATTCCTTGTCCTTCCTCCTTCCTGGACATGACATCGCGGCTACGCCCCTCGATGCCGTCTGGACTGGTGATGCAGAGTTCTTGCTGTGCGGCGGTGACCTGATGATGTGCCTTCAGTGCACGGACACAACGATAGTTGCAGGAAGGAAATTCGAGTCCAAGGAAGATGACAGCTTCACTCAAGTACTTTTTGATGGACGGTCGAGATTAGCTGCTACATCCAGCGACAAGGGCACACTCGATGTGAGAACTACACTATACTCATTAATTGAACAGAGATGCTGACTGATCTAGCTGTGGGACGAAAACGGACAGAGAAGATCTATTTCCGCTCACCAAGGTGCCATTACTACGATGCAATGGCAACCTATTCCCGAAAATCAAATTGGAGCTGACGATGAGCGACTAATTGCGACTGGAGGCGATGACTGCGCTATACTTATTTGGAACGCCCGAATGCCTGAGAGCAAACCAAAATGCTTTCTGACGATGGATTCCCCGATCATGCGACTCGCCTTTACACCGGATGGGGCTTTTATCGCCGGTGCAACATCGACGCAGGTCTTGATCTGGAAGGTCGGAAGCCACGCTGTGCCTCGAGCAAGCTGGAGTAGACCAGTTCATCCTGGTTGGCTTAGCCCCAAGGCCAACACAGAATCTGACGAGGAAGATGAGCACTGCTTGTGCTGGGACGCCGATGGCCAGAAGCTGGCGTATGGCTCCAATAGCAGAGTGAGTTGAAATGATGTTGCAAGACTACGACCCATGTGCTAATATTTCCAAGCTTGCTATCATTAACTTCCGAAGATGATCACGTCACTCGGAACGCTTTAAATGGAGCATATGATACGGAGACATATACCCAACCGTGCGCACTTAGGCACTATTGAGAAATGCAGCCATGCGAGTGCATCGCGAAGCGGGATGCACGGAAGTCCTTAATGTCTATTTTTTGCTCGGATATGGCTGATGCAACCAACCATACGAAAATGCGACGTTCGCTAGATTTATTTCTTGTATATCACGACGACGGACGACGACCGGCTGGCTACGGAGTTGAACAATAAGCTTTTCGATTGGCACACGATCTGAGCACCTCTTACATACGAAATCTCCGTTGATGAAGGAACACGCATAGAAGTTATAGGAGTACAAACGATATGGCTTTGACGTCTGCCTTTTTTTTTTTCTCTCTCTTTGACGTCTTGGATCCTGGGTTTCAAGGAAGGCGAGGTACACATCAGGAAGTTTTGGAGGGAGCGATACAATGCAATACGGTTTGAGCGTTATGGGCGCGTGTGGTGCGCAGTGTCCAATTCCCTTTGCCACTATTTTTGAGGGAATGGTCCCTTTACAACATTTGTACGATATATACCAGTCGGGATGATGAAATGGCGCAGAAAAACATGAGGAGGGTTTGCTTTGACACATTAGGAGTTAAGGTTGGTTCTAGCCAGGCCGACAATACCAATATAGCAACAAATTCAACACGAGATATCCGTTACAAAGATAAGCAGCCTAGTAGAGATGTATGATGAAATTCTCAAATCGTGCTGGGGGGGTCTGAGGGTTCAGATAATCGGAGGAATGTACAGTAAGCTACAACAGTAAACCGACAAAGATACGATTGGTTAACCATGATCCGGCACTTGCCCCGAAACATGAACTCATTGGTGCAAAGAGACGGCAGAGATATCCAATGGCCACCATGAAACAAGCCACAGCAGCATCAACATGATCCTATCCGAGCTGGCCAAGATCAACCCCATGCAAGCTAAGCGGAACGATCTCCGGTTGCAAGGTCTAGGGCTGTATAGAGGAAATTGTTGAGGCTCAGGAGAAGAGAAAAGAAGACCTAATCTGTAGCTATCTGAATTAAGCAGTCAGTCGTAGATCCCAACCAGGTCAGTCGTTCTGATAGATGGTGGTGATTGGAGCAGCAGCATGGTTCGGTTAAAGACTACCACATATTTCGCCTTGCATGTCTCAATCCCAGTCTCAGCTGTACCTAGTTGTACTGTACTGTAGTCTGTACGATATAATGCATTGATTATCATGTGCGAACAAGTCATTGTTTCTAGGGAGCTATTTCGCCTTGTTGCTTACAACCACGTATAATGCCCAATGAGAAGATGAGGGTCTGTCATATCTCACTTTATCACATCGAAATCTCACTCATGACCCAGCCAGGTGTAGACCAGATCTCACAGGCATGACCGAGTCAATGCCAATACCAATACCGTTGAATGTCTCTGTTTCTTCACCAAAGACAAAAAGAAAACAAGGACCAGACAGACCCATTTATAACGATGCTCTAACCCCCATCCACAAAGTTGGCCGACTTTTCCATTTCCTTTCGAGGCCATGTGCATTTGCATGTTAACCTGCATTAGCTTCGATTCTTTCCTCCTCTTCTCTTGTTAGTCTCTCTATCTATTTCTACTCTGCTCGTCCAAGTTAAAGCCAAAAATTTACAAGTTTATGTAAGTGACAAGAGAGTCCGCTGCCCCGCTTTGGAGGAGAGAGAGGGGCCGTTCATTTTCAAGGTTCCTCCTTCCTACCAGCCCAGTCCAGTCCGTATTAGTTGATATCCATCACATCCCACCTTATATTCATCGCATTGAATGACTCGAGATCTATAACCTTTCACTTTTTCTTTTCTTTTGTCTATACACATCTCATAACAAAGACTTGCCAGGCCCAACCTTTATCTTTTATATCGCCTCTCGCTCTATAGTATACACAATCTCTCATCGGGAAAACACCATCTCTATCAACACCAGCTCTCAGTGAAAAGTCCATCACAATACAAGCCATGGCTTCCTCAACGCCCAAATCACAACACACCCATAGCAACCGCTCTTCAGAATGGACAAGCGAAATGCGCGATAAGCAAGCACGTGGAAAGAACCCCTACAGCGAAGAAAGCGACGCAAGCGATGCTGAGCCTATGCGACTCGGAGGGCGGTATGTACAACCTCTCTCTCATTCGACCTCAAAACTAACAAGTCTCATAGTCACGTCACCGAATCACATATGGAAAAGGAACGAAGAGGAGAAGCCATGTTCGTTCTTGACAATCCAGAAGCTCTCATGGCACACGCACAAGCCAATGGCGACGTAAGTTGCCTCTCATACAAGAAACCTAGCCCAGAGGTATGCTAAATCAACTCTACAGAGCATCGCTGGTCAACGCCTCCGCTTCATGCGTCAATTATGCGGCTTTGATAATGACAAGTACGACGACGCATCTACAACTTCAACTCGGAGTGCAAAGCGCCGAGTAAGCGATCGGGTCAATCGATAGCGCAGTTCCGGCCCTACTGCAGGTGAAGATGAAGGCTATTATTATGCAGCACTTGAAGGTGAAGAAGCATTGGGATCACTTCTTCAAGATATTAATGATTGGCTTCTCCTGATAGAAGATTTTCTGGGCGAATGAATCAAGCTCTTTACCTCGTACAGTCGTCATTGTCACTGCTCGGTTTATTCAGCAAGTCCAGATTGAAGAAATGTGGATTGTCTTTACTTCTTTCTAATTGTCATCATAGGGGTGCTAAAATCTAACATGGATATTCAAATGTATAGGTGTATATGTGTTTATCTGTGTGCGTCTTGTCCGCCAACTACAAGTCCCATGACCCGTATCCGAGTCTTCCATCTTGTATATTCAAAAGCCCGCTGATCGCCACGGTAAAAACGTTGTTAAATCAATGCATATGTAGTGACCCAATTCCCATTTCTCGAACAAAAACCACTGAAAAGAAATACAACGGTGAAATCAATATGCCCAGTGAAAACGCCAGCAAATGCTGTAACAGAGTGGTAATACTCGTCTCTGTACAAAGAAAAACACACAAGACTAAGCATATCTCATACTGCGAGATCGCTGCTGCTGCTGCTGCCATCCGTTGTTGTTGTGATCAATAGGTGCATATTGGTATCCGCCTGGGGGGCCATGTCCTGGAACAGGAGGAGGAGGAGGGTATCCTGGCCAGGCGCTCATGGCTGGTCGCTTCGCAGCTTTGCGACGAGCCATGCGTCGTCGAATACAGCTCCAGCAGCAACAACAGAAAGCCAGGGCCAGAAGTCCGGCAAGAACACATCCGACAGGGATTGCAATGTTCTTGTTGGTTCTGAACCAGTTCTCAATCTCCTTCCATGTCGATGATCCTTCGCAGTTTCCGTTCTGGCATTTGCCTCCGCCACCGCCGCAAGGCGTGCCGTCAAGGAAGTTCTGATTTCGCTGCAGACAGTAACCATCGCCTGAGGTCTGGCAAGAGAGAAGGCAGCTGTTAGAGCAAGCCTTGACGATCGATGACTCTGTGGTATTCTGATAGTTAGCTCGGCACTGCTCATCCCGCGATGTACACTGGCCCGAGGCGCATTGAAGTCCGTCGCCGCAGTTTTCGCCGTCGTCGCTGTGTTCGTCCTTGGGGCATGTCGCATCCTTTCCTGTACACTTCTCCTCGGGATCACAGGGGCCAGTGCTTGACCGACAGACACTTCCCGAAGAAGCGAACTTGCATTCGTCGGTACAGCACTCCTCGTTGGAGTTATCGCACTGAGCATCACCCTTGAACTTGCACGTCTTTGCATCACAGCAAGGGTTGCTGCCGCAGCTTTCCTCGCCACCGCAATCGCAATCCTCACCCTCCTCCACAATTCCGTTACCACACTGCTGGCCCGAAATGGTTTTGACGTTTCTGTTTGCAGTCAAACACTCCGAGTTGACGTTGCGTCTGAATCCTGAGCAAATGTTTCCAATACTGCAAGGCGAGAACTCGCTGATGCCAGGTCTAGAGGAGGGGTTCATGATGAAGTCTCCCTTGGCGTCGCATGACGATTTGCTCAGAGGGCAGCATGCCTGCGCGTTCGATGAGACCGGACAGGCAGCCGAAGTGCAGTCGTGGACAGCACCAAAGGTGTGGCCTGTCTCGTGGGCAAAAACCTGCCACTCTGCTGAAGTTCTAACGACGACGTTGGCTCCGGCGACGGTTTCGTTTCGGCCTCCACTGTTGGCGTTGGCCGAAGCGCCAGGGCGACAGAGTTGACCTAGCCAGGCAAGACCAACCGCAGAATCCGTGTTACATTTGCTCAGCAGTGTCCAGTAAGCGTTGCTATCTGGGTTCTGGCCACGCCATGCAGAAAATAGGTTCAAGCGGTCTGACAAATTCACATCTTTAGAACACTTTTGGTTCCAAGGCGCCGTGTCGGATGGGCTGCCGGGGCAGTTTGCGTCACTAATGGTGAGGTTTTGGATACCCAGGGTAATGTTAAAGCTGCTCTCGTAAACCTGGGATGCATCGTTGACCATTCTAATGACACTCTTTCGGAGCGCCTCAGAAGAGTTGAAAGTCGAAGTGTATTCACAGTCAGTCGCGAGACCCAGAAGGGCGACCCTTCGGCTAGTCGGGCAGCCGTTCACTGAACCAATCGTTGACTGTAGGTCAACACTGCTACCCTGGTCGCCCGTGTTTCCGGTGTCGATGGATTGTCGTCCAAAGAGAGATTTAGAGTTTGCGACGCCAAATGTATCAAAGCCCTCAAGTTCGTGAAACTTGCTGTTGAAACCCAAGGTGTCGGAGTTGCAGAGCGCAGCCGAAGCCTCTCTCTTCTTCAACTCTTCGGAATGAAAAGACATGATATCAGAATCGCGCCAGACAACCATGACATCGTCGCTGGTTTCCGAGGATGACAAAACAGGGTCATCTTCGTGTCGTACTTGCTGGTAATTGGTACCGGTATGGATATGGTGGTGATTGCCGTCGATTCGAAGAGTACCCTCGAAAACAGGGGTTTTGCCATCGCGATGAATCGTAATTCTTGCCCAACCAGCCTTTGTCCATCCCTCTCTTCCGATGCGCTGGATAAAGACGGAACCTTTAAAGACCTTGTCGTCCTCCCGCTTTATCGTTTCAACAGATCGTACAGTGCCATCGGCTCCGATGTAAGTAATGGCGAAGTTGTCGTGTAGAATATCGTGGTTAGGTTCGAGTTGAAGGCGAATCTTCTCCTGTCCGCTGTGTAGTGAGAATAGGAGATCGAAATGCGAATCAGCACGGATTCGGTGGGACGGTGTATTAATAACAGGCTCGTCGATGAATGAAATATAGTTAACGGCGTTGCGCTTAACTGAGCTCGCTGTTGGTGCCAATAAGATTAGAATACCGAACAAAGTTAATAACGCCTAACACAACGGTATGACATACCTAGTGAGGTTTCGAAGAACAGGGCGACACCTGCGATAGCAGTCGCGATAGACCGTAACGATACCATGGTGATTGATGGACCTCGAGCGGTCCTTGAGTGAAAGGGCGACGCGCCGATTTAGGGTGATATTATTGCAAGGCCATACAGCAGCGGTGATTCAGGTGAGTCGAGTTGAGTGTCAAGTAAGGAAGTTGCAGGAAGTTGAGAAGTCGAGAAGTAATCAAAGTGAGACGTAGATCGTTCAGGCGAGGATGACGGCAACGGAGACTTATCAACAGTACCGAATGGAACAGTGTGGAGAAGGAAGTGGAAGTCAGGGTCCTGTATTTACCGGGTAGAATAAGGAGAACAAGTAAACAGAAAATACACAAGAAGAAGCGAAGAAAGAAGAAATCTTTGACTATTTTGGACTACTGAAGGAAGATCATCAAGATTGAGTTTGGAACACAACGGCAGGAAAAAGGACGAGACAAGACGAGACGGGCAAAGCAAAAGAGCAGACTAAGCGTGTGGCGGAGGTTTGTTAAGCAGGCTTAGTAGGTTATTAGGCTTAGCCCAGTAACAAGATCCCCTTCGTAACGCTCTTCTAGGGGCTTGTTGTCTGCCAAGTCTTCTAGAGGCCGGGGGTGTGGGGGCTGGAACGACAACCAAGCGTCTTGGCCAACCAATCGTAGACAAAAGGCCGCGCGGTTCCTTCACGGCACAGCCTCCCTAACAATTGGCGATTCGGCTGTCGCTCAATCAATGCGGTCCATGCATTGCGTGAATAATTTAGCACCTACAGTAGAATAGAGAGCTGTGAAACTCCATCTCTATGTGAGATGCACATCCATGGATATTGACAAATCGACTTTCTGCAAATCTTGGCAATGGTTGTCTATCCCGCATACTTATTGTTCTTGACTGATTGATAACCCATTTTAGATCTGGGCTGCCTCCCACTTGACCCAGCCAAAAAAGACTCAAGCCAGGCCGGTGTATCCGACCGAGACTTGAGTCGAATATTAAAAAGTCCTCGTCTATGTTTCACTCTCGTATCTTTTCATCCAGCCATTTTATAACCCCCCACTTGCTCATTTGGATCGACTATACTCTTGGCATTGACAGCTCGATACGATGCAGATCTTGCGATAGGTTATACTATGTACTCAGCGGGGACTAATACACAACACAATATGACGGTCTTGAGTACTGGGCTAGCAAAGACAGACCATGCTGAAGAATCAACAGCACAACTCCAGTTAATTATCAGGTTCAAGTGGCTTGAAAGGCTTGTTTCAAGTCTCACACTGCTCATCTTGGTGTCACCATACTCGGTATATCTGTTAAATCATCAACTTTCAAAGCCTTTCATCAGCCTCCTGTAAGCTGATATATTGCTTTTTGGTCCTGTCTCTTGTGATTCCTGCACAGCCTTCCTTGTTTGGAGCACATTTCTTCTCTCAGATTTCCTTTGTCAGACGACCTCCAAGTAAACCGATGACGACTTCGATCCTCTTAGCAACTGACTTAGCGCTGGTGGAACCACCCGTTGGCGCGCCTCGATCATCCTTTCTTCTGGCTGCATTGGATGTCGGGTTTTACTTCATAAATCTTAAATAACTCCGAAGTACTTCTGTGTGGACCTTTACTAGACTTCCCGTTGTTCCACGCGGTGTACCCAAAAATACCAAAGTTTAATCCAGCCGTTATTACATAGTAAAACATTCTTTATCCCGCTCATTATCCCACTGCCACGCGACTATGTCTACGCGTTCGACAGCCAGAGCAACCTTTCTTTGTTGAAATTTGTAGAAATCTTGTAATAGACGACAGGTTACGGATAGTTCACCATAGATACCCTGTAGTCATTGGTCTTTGATGTTTATTAGACTTTCATTTGTATCTCAATTTTAACCAGGTAAATAATATGTGTGTAACCAAAATCGCAATGCTCATAAATCATTCATAAAATGGCATCGAACCATTGATATCCTCTTCCAGGTCGTGGTTATGTACCAACATTAAATCCAAACACCACACGGGAGTGCATTCCACATGTCGACCAAATTTTATCCCTTCCCACTTCCATTGTATCCATGGTATATAACTCCAATAGATAAGATGCATCACATCCCCCCTCTTCTTTGTTTGTGTGTCGTTCACTTGCGCTTGGCATCGTGAACAGCCTTGATAATCTTCTCCACGACAGAGGGGTCGGATAGCTGCAATTTGTGTTAGTCAATGGTTCTACTATTGAGTCGATGGCACGGGGAACTTACAGTAGTAGTATCTCCGAGCTGATCTTCTTCACCAGCGACAATCTTCCTCAACACTCGTCGCATAATCTTGCCGCTTCGGGTCTTAGGCATATCAGGCACAATATACACAGCCTTGGGCGCTGCAAAAGGTCCAATGCTCTTGCGCACTTGAACGATAAGCTCCTTGCGAAGAGCATCGTTTGACTCCACGTCTTCCTTGAGATCAACGAAAGCGTTCACAGCCTGGCCAGTAAGTTCGTCGGAAATACCAACAACAGCTGCATCAGCAACAGCATGATGTTCTAATAGAGCTGCTTCAATCTCAGCAGTTGACAGACGGTGACCACTGACGTTGACAACATCATCGACGCGACCTCGGATCCAGTAGAAACCCTCATGATCTCGGGCAGCGCCATCTCCAGTGAAGTAGTAACCCTTGTAGACGTCAAGGTAAGCCTCCTTATACCGGTTGTGGGCGCCCCAAACAGTACGAGCCATGCTGGGCCATGATTGCTTGAAGGTCAGAACACCCTCGACATCGTTGCCGTGAATCTCCTGGCCAGAAACAGGATCGATGAGGGCAGGCTCAACACCGAAGAAAGGCAGAGAGCAACTGCCGGGCTTGGTGGGAGTGATTCCAGCCAAGGGGGTGAGGACGTGGGAGCCAGACTCGGTCTGCCAGTATGTCTGTGTGCATGTTAGTACCTGTAATGCTCCCTCACGATGATCAGAAACTTACGTCGACGATGTGACACTCCTCCTTACCAATAACTTCGAAATACCACTTCCAGATCTCGGCAGCAATGGGCTCACCGACAGAGCCCAGTACCCGAAGATGAGCAAACTTTCCTCGAACATGCTCGTCGCCAGCACGCTTCAGTAGTCTCAAAGCCGTGGGGGCGACATAGAACTGAGTAACGTTGTGTCTCTCGATGATGTCCCAGTATCGCGAAAAGTTGGGATAGGCGGGTGTGCCCTCAAAGACGACGGTGGATACACCGAGCATCAAAGGAGCGTAAACGACATAGGTATGTCCGGTAATCCAGCCGACATCACCGCCGCAAAAGTATCTGTCACCCTCATGGATGTCAAAGACATATTTGCCAGTCATGGCAGCACCAAGGAGATATCCAGCTGTGGTATGCAGAACACCCTTGGGCTTGCCAGTGGAGCCGGAAGTGTAGAGGAGGAATAGAGGGTCCTCGGAAGCGACAGGCTCAGGAGGGAAGTAGTTGGGCCACTTCTCGACCTCCTCATGCCACCAGAAATCACGACCGCTGGTCCATGGGATTTCGGAACCGGTGCGTTTATAGACCAGAACGTTCTCAACAGCAGGGCACTGCTTCAGAGCATCATCAACAATCTTCTTGGTGCCAATCAACTTGCCGCCGCGCTTGCCTTCGTCGGTTGTGATGACAACCTTGCACCCAGCATCGACAACACGGTCGCGGAGGGAGTCGGAAGAGAAACCGGCGAAGATAACTGAATGCACTGCGCCAATACGAACACAGGCCATAAGTGCGATAATAGCTTCAGGGATCATAGGGAGGTAGATAGCAACGGTGTCGCCCTTGCGGACGCCCATCTGCTTGAGAACCCAAGCAGTCCGAGAGACTTCTCGAAGGAGTTCACCGTATGTAACATTGCGACCTTCGCTGGGCTCATCGGCCTCGTAGATGATGGCAACACGATCAGGGTCCTTAAAAGCGTGACGGTCGACACAGTTGTACGAGGCGTTCAGGCGACCCTCGTTAAAGTATGATACATCGGCATTCAAGAGAGAACCACTTCGGGTGGTCTGAAAGTCACGATCCCAAGAGATGAGCTCGCGGGCGCGCTCAGCCCAAAACTTCTCGGGTTGGGTGATGGATTCCTTGTAAAGTCGCTTGTAGTCCTCGAGGTCTATCAGAGTGGATCAGTGTCTGTTGAGGCTCCGGTGTGGGTGCCGGGATCACTTACTGGCAAGGTGGGGCCGGTGGGGGTGCTCTGCCGGGTCGCAAGGTTAGCATTCCATGCGTGTAAACGGAGCAAGATGGAGACGAAATAAGGAAGGAACCGCAAGACAGGGTCCAGCGCAAGATGTTGCAGCGAAAATTCCGTCTCAACAGAAAACAAAGGGGTGGAGAGACATACTGGCAAACATGCGCTGAGGAGGGTCTAAGTAAATGTTAGCAATGCCCTTCTATGATCAAGTATGGATGGTCGAGCGAGCTTACGGTATGTATCAACAAGGTGCGCTTCGGCAACTACAGGGCTTTTCGTCCCTTTGGTGGGAGCTTTGGTTTCTTCAGCCCTCAATGAGACAGTCTCAGTGGCTGCGGGAGCGGGAACGGGAGAGGCAACAGCGGCAGGAATTGCGCTCTTGGGGATGGACTCGGGAGCTGAAGCCTTAAGTTCATGATGAACTTGGGGGTGCTCGACAGCGGTAGCCATTGTGGTTGTGGTTGGTAGGAGTTATTTCTAAAGTTTTTTGTTTGTCTTTCCGTTGAGTTCTGGGTATTCAAGCGCTGTAATGTGACGTCCGTTAACGTGGGGTAGCGTGACCGTGGAGCTTGTTAGAACTGCTTGTATCCGTACAGGCAGTGCTCACAGCTTTCGGTGTTGCTGGTTGAGAAAGTATAGAGGTCGTACAATCGGATTGGAGAACCTGAGATTGAAGATGATAAGAAAGGATAAGAGGAATGTGTCTGGTAGAATCTGGAGTAGGGGGAAGAGCTAGAATTATAGTTGAGATGGAGTAAGAGGTTTGATGAGGTCCGGTCTGGCGGGGGAGCTTCTTTATGGTAAATGGGTCCATCATCATTGGAAGGCCCAGCCGTTGTAACTTCCCTTCCTTCCACTGTCACTGGTAATCCCATTGGTACCTGCACCAACTGGACCAAACCCGAGCTGCGGCCGGCGAACCGGGGGGGTCTTGCCGTGATCCTTTCCCCCGAGCCACGTACCGAATAGCCAGTAGCAAAGTCTCACTCCGGCGGGCAACCAGTGAATCCCGAACAGTGTATACCAACTCAATCGAGATGGGTTTTAGATCGTCACTCGAGATGTTCGAATTGGATTCTCGGCATTCAAAGTGGCCAATTTACAGTTGCAAGACACGGCCTCTGTCCGTGAGAAAAGGGAAACCTTGCTCAGCAACAAGATGCGAAATGACGTCGCCAGTGCAAATCAATTGAATATTCAAATTCGCAACTGCCATTTCTCGATATTGATTTAGCATACGGTTACTCTCTCTGTCTGCAATCTACCTCTCATATCAGATCTCACCGGGGCACTTCCGAGACCCTCTGACCGAGGATGATATGAATCAAGGGCTCTCTTTCTTATACTTATATCTCAATGACACGCAATAGGCTGAAGTAACCAGCGAATTTTCAGAGCATATCAACGGTACCTACCAAGGTAGCGACGCTAAAACAACCAAGAGTGAAGCGGCTGCACATTACTTCTGTCGGTCTCAAGTGTTTAGGAATTAAACATCGAATGCTATGTCTGATTTCATTGACAAGCCCTCAGTGTCAGATCTAATGCCAACTACAGTTAAGACTCTATCTGCGCTTACTGAATGTCGACCTATTCATGGTTACTATCGATGTAGGCCAAGAGAACAAAGTCAGTCTTAAACATCAGATCAATAAAAGACTTGCCAAGCGAATGACGTTACTGCAGCCTTTAGATATTTGCAACTATTTTGTTATGCATCTTGAACCGATCCAAACGCTTCAAGTTCATTGCTACTGTTGCAAGTCACAGTAGGAGAATACTCAGGAACTACTGATAGCCTGCAACGTGGAAGGTGCATGTACTGTAAATTGACGGAGCCGCTACGGGGCCGAAGCGTGGGAAGATGGTGTTGATAAAACATGTTATGTGATTGATGGCCGTAATGGAAGAAGGTGGAGTTTTGGACGGCCGGCAATATAGTGGATACTGGCAGAAGTATTGCATCTCGCCAATGCAGGCCAGCATATCCCTGTCGATAAGGAGCCGAAGTCGCTACGAGGTTGACAGCGGTAGGTGTATTTGCTTGTCGAGAATATATAAGTTGAAAGTTGATGCTGCATCAAACAGATCTCTGGAGTGGCCTTGCAAGTGAGTACTTGCTATTCAGTTGCCTCTTAAGCAATCATGTGACGGAAATAGCACTGGACTCGATCTGTCCCCACCTTCCAGGTTAACCGGGAGGATGGTTGTTGTTATGGCTGCATGGATGTTGAAGAATGGCAGCTGCAGCCGTATCCATAACTGCCCCTCACACCTTCTACCCCCCGCATTCAGGGACAAAATCTAGACAACTCCATTGGCGTATTGGAAGCTTCGACCTCGCCTCCAGCTTTCAGGGTCTCATTAATCCTTTCGATTTTCCTCAACAAACTTGGTTTCGATTTAGGACCGGCGACTGTTATTGTAATCACATAAAAACCTCCAGATATTGAGTACAGCTAATGCTGATGATCTCTCGCCTCTCCTGTCCTGACACAACCTAACTTCGCATACAGTTTTCCAAACCACTATGTACCTAGTGATTTGTTTCCTCCGCATCATCGCTAGTTTCTCTCAAGATCATCCTTCTGGTCATCATCCCACCCGCCATTCCCCAACTTTTTAGTATGTGCCCCAGAGTCTATCCTTGCTGCATGAGGTGTTGATCTGTGCCCCAACGGTCGGCTTCAAGTTCATATCCTTAGCCGAAGCCACTGAACAGGAAGATATCTGTGGCTCCAGTAGCCTTTCCAGCCACGTTTGCTTGCATCTGGGGTATCGCCGCTTGGCCGTAGTATTTGTTCGGCACTCGACCGAGAGGTTAATCAAGTGGTGTTGTCTAGCGAATGGAACTTGTCCGTTTACAATGATTGCTTTACCTCTGCTTATACAGTGTTTTGCACCTGATACTTCGCCTCGAACTTCGCTGGCTCCCCTTACTTTCGGATGCCAGTTCTAGTTTCCTCTTACCCAGTCGGCCTCAGTTAAGGATTCCCGAGGCTATTCTTTAAACTCCTGCCAGCCAGGGCCTCATGGAAGCACGGTATGCGGAGTAGCGTTGTCCGATCTTAGTTGAGCTTTTGCAAACAAAGCGAATATTCTTTTACGTTAAATCATCTTGGCTCATGCAGTATGCTTAGGGCTACAGAACTGTTGACATACAATGCTTGGCCTACGCACATATTACACAAGATGTTGAGGAACCGTGATATCTCCCGAGATATCGATTAATTATCAGCAGCCAATAGAATGACTCCCATCACTCCATTCGTCATTAGCCAGGCACCGTACGCCTCGACATGGTTCCATTTCCCCATACCAGTCCGCGCACAAGATTGGCATGTATACCCGAGAATCTCAGGGGTTGTGGAAAAGCATTTTTCTATCATATATGTACGTATTGGACTCAGCTGGTATAACAAGCCATAACCAGCAAGTTAGATCATTGCTAACAATCATATTAATCGAGTAGAGCCCCGTCAACTCCTGTAGGTGTGTACAACATGAACCTTCCTAAACGCCGAACACACTCTAGGGTAATTACATATCCATGCTCATCAAATACATCTCGACAATTCTCATGAACTTTGCCACAAAGGCCTCCAGATGGAAGATGACCTTTGTGCCTGTCTTGATACGATGCTCGTAAAAGGCCGCCCACTGAATTACCTCCCCTTTCAACCCATCATCGACGAGAGTAATTAGCTTGAAAGCCAAAGTCTTGAGAATGGTAGTAGGGGGGATGCAGTGCGTCAACAGATCGTAGAGTTTCGACCTCACTTGTAGGATTCTGGCTGGTGTGTGCTCTTCGTAGATCTCCTTCGCAATCTGGCCGATAAGGGCCTCCCAATCAGCAGGCGGAATAGGTGTGCTGTCCGTGACTTTCTCGCTGTTAAATAGGTTAGGTCCTGTTCCATGTTTCGTTTAACATTACTTGGGGTTAACGTACTTTTGTGCATGGACAGCTTCATACATGAGCAAAGCTCGTCGTAGGTTTCGCCCGCTTTCCTCTGCTATTCGCTGGTGTAGACCCGGAACTAAAGGCCAGCCCTCCTTTTTGGCAGAAACGGCCAGCACATCGCATATCTCCTCATGGCTCGGGGCCGCTACCCTGACTAGTAGAGTTCTTGAGCGAATCGGAGCAATGATATTGGCAGTCGAATTCGCCAAGAGGATCAGTCGAAGATTGGGCGAGTATTTCTCCATGGTTCGTCGCAGAGCTGCTTGTGCGTCTCTTGTAAGGTGATCTGCTTCGTTGATGACCACCACCTTGAACTTCTGCTTGGCTGATTGATCCACCTGTTGTGTCTGGGCTACCTCCTTGAGAAGGTCCTGAACCACAACTCTGTCATAGTTTCCAACATCGGACGGTGTGATCTCGAGGTGGTAGATAGAGGCGACAATGTTGAACTCGAGCTTGCGGTTGCTGGTCGTCTGGAATACTCGGGCGTCGATCTTGATCTTCTCCACACCAGGTCCGTAAAGCTCTTTCAGTGTAGCGACGATTCGAGTTTTCTTTCCAGCACCTGAAGGGCCATATACCAGTAAGTGTGGAAAGTCACCGCTCTGGGCCTAATATGAACGCTGTGTCAATGAAGTTGCCCTTTCATAGTGCCAATTTGTTCACTTACCAGAGAGCGAAGTCGCTCTGATAGCTCGTCATGATATGTGAGGGCATCGAGCGACCGAGGTCGGTGCTTGTCAACAATAAGGGCCATTGTGGAAGCTGTTTAATCTGGTGGTGAGAATTGTGCAGAGACAGCTTTTTGGTAGTTGTAGGAAGACGCGTTGTCGCGTAAAGTGAATGATAGCCTGGAATTGAAGATGGCCCGTGCACACTCTCCACCAAGATCCCGTTCAGCAGGCAACGGCGGTATGACTTAGAGCGAGGATTGAGGTCTAGTAAGATCCAAGCTGTATCTGACTGCATTGCTTCTATTTACCTGGGAGCTCGTTTTCCCACATTTTACTTGAAACTCCGACGCGGAAACGTCCATTATTCTTTGAAATGATACTGATTTGTCTAATTGCAAATCAATTGAAAGATCCTGAATATGGTATTCGTACAAGTTACAGCCAGCTCTACACCTATATAATTTACAAGGCGTTCATTTCATCATTTCAGCCCTCTAAGGGTTGCGTGAAGCCTCGGATGTGCTTCCAACCGGTGTTTCCGTTGTGGTCTTTTGCGCCTCCAGCAGCTCTACAGGAGCAATGTGACGTCGAGGTCTCTTCAAATCTTCCAGAGTCACGCCATCCAGCTTGGTGATTCCAACCACTGGAGGATCTCCCTTCTTTACAAATTCCCATTGGCCTGGCGATCATTAGTCGGGTTCCTTAAGCAGAATTGCAAGCTATTTACCAGGAAGCTTGTTACCAGCCAAGCGGAAGGCATCCCTTACAACTTGCTCGTGAAGTCGTCCTCGGATCTCGAACAGGATCTGGCTTACAGCCATTCGGGTGGCCCAATGATCGAAAGAACCCTTACCCTTACCCATACGCATCTGCAAACTCATGAGAACTTGTCCCGCCTTAAATTAAAAGAGCCTTCCTTACATCGTTACCGCTGACGTAAACACCGACGTTACAGTTCTTTCGCTTGTATAGTCGATATTTTTGTCCTCGAAGTCGCACTTTAATCGTGTCCTCGGCCATCTTCAATTGCTTTGCGCTGATTCTTCGGTGGTGATCCGTCATTCTGAGACCATACTCGCCAAAGAGAACTGTCGTACCCTTGGTAGAACCACCCGTGGCCACACGAGGCCGTCCCTTGGCCATCTTCTTTTTTCGGTTCAAATTGGGTTCCAGCCAGCTGCCCAGCATCGATGAGGTTGTTGAGAAGGCTCGGACATTTTGGAGTCGTCGGGTCGCATCGAGAGTCTTAGACGATTGCTGGAGGGGCGCACGAAGTTGTCTCAAAGGTGAAGAGGTGCATAACCTCAAGCCCTGGAAGGCATTGAGCAATGCCGACGTACTCGTGGGCTTCATCTCGGCGGTCGGAGGTTGACTTGAACTGCCTCGAACAACGGAGCTCTAGAAAATCTTCCCCGATGCCGAAGGTGGGCTAAGGTGGGCTGAAGTGGCCTGATATACAAGGCCTCCACATCTGCGAACCACTTTAGATGGAAGTCACGCACCTCGCGTCAGATTCGCGTCCAGAAGGAGCTAACGTGCACGTCACTAGACATGAAGTTCTAGGCTGCTCCTGATTGCCTAGGATTCACGCATTCACTTCTCACCCAGGCAACATCACCAAAAAGGCACAAAAAGTGTCGATGCGCTTCTTCGATCAGCATTGAAGCATCCATCATCACTCAAAATGCCTTCTGACATTCGTTCTTTCTTTGGGCCAAAGGGTGGTAGTGCTCCGAAACCAGCTCCTAGAAAAGCTGAGGAGCTGGCCAAGAGCAAGCGTACAAGTAAGTTATCTCATTTATGGTTTAATTCTGAAAGTGTATTAACCATAGTATAGAGGGAAGAAAAGTTGTTGAAGACAGCGAAGACGATGACGAGGAGCCAGTAGAGTATGTTATCTTGATGTTCTTTGTTTACTAAGTCTAACATCAAAATAGAGTAAAGAAACCAGCAGCTAAAGCCGCCCCCAAGAAAAAAGCCAAGTTTGCTCTCACCTTAAATCCTACCAATTGGTTCCCATCTAACTTTATAAAGGGATGACGAACCTAAAGGCGTCGCTATATCCGCCGACGATTATTTTGCTTCGAACAAGACCAGTAAATCTACCAAATCGGCAACACCTAAAAAGCCTGCAGCTAAAGCAGAAGCTCCGGTTCGATCGAGTCCCCGAGGAAAGGCTGCGGCTGCGAAACCCTCAGCACCAGCGAAGAATGGAAAAATGGCTACACGAAAAACTACGACCTCTCACTCCAATCATGCAGCTGATCGAGATTCTGATGCGTACATGGATGACGGAGATGAAGAGGATGGCGATATTTTTGCAGCGGATGCTAAAGGTCGAAGCAAGCGCAAGAATGACGACTACGAAGAGGATGAGTCCGAGGAAGAGGTCCTCCCCAAACCCAAGCGAATAGCTACACGAGGCCGTCCGGCTGCTGTCAAGAAAGAAGATTCCGACGACGACGTAAAACCTGCTGCTGCCAGCAAGAAACGAAAGTCACCTCTCGAGGATTCGGAAGAGTCAGAAGAAGAGGCTCCTCGCAAGAAGACTACCACTGCCAAATCAAAAGCTCCAGCCAAACCCCGAGCTCCCCGAGCAAAGAAGGCCGACGAACCAGAAGATGCCGAGATCAAAGATATCCTTGAAAGTGTTGCAACTGTTCGGGCTCCCACGCCACCACCAAAGGATCCCGATGCCAAGTTCGATTGGAAAAAGAATGCGTTTGGAGGCGGCAACGCAGCTGCCCAGCCAGCTTCAGGCTCAGTCGAGCTCCCTGAGGGCGAGGAAGAGTGCCTCGCCGGTCTGAGCTTTGTCTTCACAGGTGTCTTGCAGAGTATCAGCCGTGATGATGGACAGGCACTTGTCAAGAGATATGGTGGTAAAGTTGTTGGCCAACCGAGCAGCAAGACAAGCTTTGTGGTCCTTGGAGAAGACGCTGGCCCAAGCAAGCTAGCAAAAATTAAGTCTCATGGCATCAAGACGATTGATGAAAACGGACTTTTCGACTTGATTCGCAAGCTTCCTGCATTTGGAGGAGGCGGCAAAGGGGCTCAGAAGGCCCAAGAGAAGAAAAAGGCCGACGAAGACAAAGTAAAGAAACAAGTTGCCGAAATGGAAGCCGAAGAGAAAGCCCGCAAAGCTGAGGCTGCAAAGGCTGCAAAGAAGGCTGCAGCCGCTGGGGGGGCACCTGCAAAACCCGCGGCAGCTCCTCCTGTACAGCTACTAACCTCTAAGTATGCACCAACGCAGCTCAGCCATATCTGTGGCAACAAGGCCCAGGTCGAAAAGATCCAGCTATGGCTCAGAAACTGGCCCAAAAACAAGAAATATAACTTTCAGCGACGAGGCGCGGATGGGATGGGTGGCGAGCGCGCTATCATCGTCTCTGGCCCTCCTGGAATCGGAAAGACGACAGCTGCCCACCTGGCTGCCAACCTGGAAGGTTACGATGTTTTGGAGAGCAATGCCAGTGACTCTCGAAGCAAGAAGCTCGTTGAGAACGGTGTGAGTGATGTGATGAACAATACTTCACTTCTCGGATACTTTGCTGGAGATGGCAAGAATGTTGATGCGACCAAGAAGAAGATTGTCCTTATCATGGATGAGGTTGATGGTATGTCTGCAGGTGATCGTGGAGGTGTCGGCGCTTTGGCCAAGTTCTGCAAGAAGACTGAAATTCCTCTTATTCTCATCTGTAACGAACGAAAACTCCCAAAGATGAAACCTTTTGACCATGTCGCATTCGACATTCGATTCAATCGTCCGACTGTTGACCAGGTCCGATCCCGCATCATGACGATTTGCCACAGAGAAGGCCTCAAACTCCCACCTGCTGTGGTGGATGCGCTTATTGAAGGGAGCAACAAAGATATCCGACAAATTATCAACATGATTTCCACAGCGAAGTTGGACCAGACAAGTATGGACTATGACCAAAGCAAGGCCATGTCGAAGGCCTGGGAGAAGCATGTCATCCTCAAGCCATGGGATATCTGTCAGAAGATGCTAGCTGGTGGTCTTTTCACTCCTGCGAGCAAATCGACACTCAACGACAAAATTGAGCTTTACTTCAATGACCACGAATTTAGTTATCTCATGATCCAGGAAAACTATCTTCGAACAAAGCCTATGGCTCTCAACGGGAAGGGGTGCACTCAACGTGAGCACAACCTCAAAGCTCTTGAGCTGTTCGATAATGCGGCAGAGAGCATCAGTGATGGAGATCTGGTTGACCGCATGATTCATGGACCTCAGCAGCAGTGGAGTCTTATGCCCACACATGCTGTCTTCAGTACGGTTCGCCCAGCCAGCTTCATCGCGGGTCAACTTATGGGATCCAACTTTACATCCTGGCTCGGCAATAACAGCAAGTACGGAAGACTTGGCAGATCTATTCGAGAAGTTCACTCTCACATGCGCCTTCGATCTTCTGGCGACCATAACGAGATTCGCCAGCAGTACCTGCCTATACTGTGGACACAGCTTGTCGATCGACTTCAGAATCAAGGTGTAGATGGCGTGGGAGAAGTCATCGATCTTATGGATAGCTACTTCCTGACCCGAGAAGATTTTGACGCCGTCCAGGAACTCGGCGTTGGAACAATGAGTGAGGAACGAGTCAAGATTGAGACGAAGACTAAGGCTGCCTTCACTAGGACGTAAGTAAACCGCCTATGCATTTTCTAGCACGAAACTGATGAATCTTTACAGATACAACGCGATGAGCCATCCTATCCCTTTTATGAAGGCTAGCAATGTCACCGCCCCGAAGGCTCAACCTAAGGAAGTCCCTGACCTCGAGGAGGCCGTTGAAGACGACGACGCTGCTGAAGTTGTTGAGGCACCTGAAGCAGATGAAGACGACGACGAAATAGACTTCAAGAAGGACAAGTACATCAAGAAACCAAAAGCCAAGAAAGCTACAAAGAAGACAAGCAAGGCGGCTGCTGCTGACGACGACGACGAGGAAGACAAGCCCAAGCGAGGACGAGCCAAGGCCAAGGCCACTGGTACTAAAGCTAAGGCGAAGAAATAAGAGAGTAGAAGATTCATTGCATTGTGGGTATGTAAATAATATTTAGGCGTGGTTTATTGTCGGTTAGCTGCTATGGGCCAGTTACTGGTTAATATGGCGAGGGTAGGGAAAAGGAGTCTACGGCTACGAGCGAGCGCTCGTATTATGTATTGTACTATCATCATTAAGACGCATAATTTATCCACTGCTGTGCCAATTGTGTGACTGAAAATGGTATTGTTATGAAGATGCCCTGGCACTGCCATAGTCTTGTTGGTGCTGGCACTGGCACTGGCACTGCCAGAATCTTTATTGGTATTGGCACTGCTGTGCCAGTTGCCATCGTTCTCCTGTTCCCAAGCTGCCAGCCAGTGCTAACGCAGTATTCTAGTTTATTATCCCTCTATTGTTCACGGTTATCATTGTCTCTCTTGTTCCCTCACACACTTTCTCCTTTCCTCCTGAACAACAACTCCACCCACCACTTTTGTAACCTTTCATCTTACATACCTTCACCAACGTTAGCTTTATCATCCTTCTACTATTACTTTGCTATACGAAGTTGCTTCTAAAGCTTTTGGAGACCCGAGCTGTCACGATGCAGGGCTCGGCGTCGTTTCCCGCTGCCCTTGGCAGTAACCTGTGGATGGCGAATTTCCTCGACAACCACCGCGATGATGAAGGCGTTCATGTTTCATCTTCTAAATGTAAGTCGAGTGACTGTAATAACAGTCATGAATGGGATCGCATGTTGTTAACACCGTTCTAGCTCAACCTTCTAAGAACGAAGCGAAGTTCCAGAAGCTCTATCACAAGGCGACTGCCGAACTACGAAGTAAGTTCAACGCCCTTCGAAGCCCCTATCAAAAGAGAATACACCAAACTGAACCCATGTACTGATATTTCATTCGAAGGTGTCTTTCACAATGACAAATCAAGCGGCGATTCTGACATGAACGGTGAGTATAGCACTCTGGCTCCTTTGTTACCCTATCCTCTTGTTCGCATGTCTGACCTCGATCTTCTCACAGCTGAACAGCCTACCACCGCGCATAACGAAGAACACGCCAAGAAGTCAAGTTGGTACGCCATCTTTAATACAAAGTCCGGCAACAAGCTTCATAAGCGAGCTCGCTCTGCGCCAACGAGCCACTACGTTCCCCACGTTCTCGAAACTATCGGCGAAGAGCCGGATTATCACGAGACAGCGGCCTTCCGATCATTCTTGATGGCCGCTCAAGATAGTGAGAGCGGACCCGAGGCTACTGCCACCGTCCCAGAGAACACTGGTGGTCGTGGTTCTCCAGATGGCGATGATGTTTCTATCAACACAACCTGTACTGTCATCATTCGACGAGCAGTCTTCAATGACAGCGCAGTAGAAAACCGAACTGATTCCGATCAAGAACGAAAGCCAACTCCCCAAAAGACCGAGCGACGCAAGACCGTGTCTTTTGATGTTGAGCCTGCTAGAGAACTGCCCCAGCCGCCAATCGAATGCAGCGGTGCTCTACTCACCACTTCCGTCGTTGGGGAAATAGACAACAACAGCGCTGACCCGAAGCAAAAGAAGAGGAAGAGATCCAAGAGCGTCACTTCAATCCTCTCCATCATTGGCAAAGTCAGAAAACTCGCTAAGAAGAAGTCGGCTACCAAGCAGCCTACTAAGCAGGCTGCCGAGTCGCGACGGCCTATACTTCGCCGCAAGAGCGCAAAGCTTCACGACTCAGAGAATGATGATGTCAACATGAACGAGTAAGCTTTTGCTTTTTATCCTGACTCCATTAACAATAATAACAAAACTAATGATCTCTTGACAGGACTACCGCTGATAGCCATCCTACCGTCCAGTGGAACCCCCCCGAACCAGACAATGCTATGGTCGAGTTATTCAGAAACTTTTCTGGAGCTCTTAATTTCCCCGATGACAATGAAGCCGGAGCACCTTACTTCGTTTCTTATCGTAAGCAACTAACCAATTTCCCCGACTTTGACAAGTCTGTCGAAGACCTCGCACCAAGACCAGCTATGCAACTGAACTTTGGACGATCACTCTCCCATTGTAAGTTTATGCCACGTAAGAGACTCGGGGGACATTGCTTGCATATTGTTTGCTGAATATTTGCTAACATGACTAGGCTCCTGTGATTCCATCTACAACCCCAAGCGAAGATCCAAGGGCAATCATGATTCTAAGGAGGGAATCAAAGGTAGGCTCACTATATGTACCAGGTTAGCCCTCACTGACCACCCTTAGAAAACTCCTCCTTTGTGGGCGACGAGGAAGCTCACGATGTTCCTACCATTGAAACCGAGTCGCAAGTAAGTCAAATATGTCACTGCGACACAAATCATTTAGTCAAGCGTATCTAACAATAGCTTGTAGGCTTTCGCACGCCACCGCCAGTGCATAGAGCGAATCAAGGGCATTTACGATCGCCAAGGCATTGATCGAACTGACAAATTTCCTGAGTCTGAGCCGTCACTTTATGAAGAAGACGAACAGCGCCAGCTTCGTGAAATGACTGAAGATTTCAAGCAGCCCCCGAAAGAACTTCAACCCGAGGAAAACAAGTCGCAGCGCCATGACGAAGACCTCTCCAAGAGCACAAACGGATCTAGCAACAAGGCCCAGGGACATCTGACCGTTAATACGACCCCTAACCAAGAGACTTTCGAAGACCAAGTCCTTACGCCTGAAGACATTGCTATCCCCTCCATCGAGGTCCCTCACGATGAGCAACTAGTCAACCAGGGCAACGAAATCGCCCCTAAGCCCGATGATCTGTCTGTTATCAAATTGGAAACCGATACCGATACCGAAACCAACACAGACACCAGCTCCGACACTGACAACGTTCTTCCTAACGCGCCTCTGACTACGGCTGCTCTGAAGGACCTTGAGAATGAGCAATACTCCGCCTTCTTTAAGTCACTCCAACAGGTTCGAGAGAAGAGTCCCGAGCGATTCTGCAGTAAGTATATGCAATCCCCTACTTAACATTACTGACTTTTATAGGTCGCCAAGGCGCTGCGGGTATACGTGCCTGGATTAATCAAATCCGTGAACATGAAAATGACATGGAACGTGACGAAGCTGCCGAAAAGTTCTTCGAGGACACCCCTTCCATCGAAGTGAACGACGATTCCCTCTCCGAGCTTGATCATTTCCCCACCATGGTAAGTATGCCCCCATTTGCTCACAGCTCCCGATACTAACACCAGCTTCCAGGTCGAAACCGTGTTTGCCCTGCAACATCCCGACTGCCCACCAGTTCGAGGTAGCGATGCTGAACAGGCGAAGGTAGATTGGAACGAGTATATCATGGTTATGGATTTCGCGAACACAGCCAAGGAGACCCTACACTCACAGGTTCTTTCTTCACTTACTCGTAATGAACTCATTGAAGACGAATGTGATCGCGCCGAACGAGTTACTTACCTTTATCGCCAGAAGAAAGCTCTCGAGACCGAAGAGGCTCAAGCCGCTAAGCGCCGCTACGTCCGAAAAGTCTGTCGCCACTTCGAGAGGGCTCTTAATGAAGTCCAGCGCCGCTCCGAGATGGTAAAAAAGGAGGCCGACGATGCCCAACGATGCGTGAGATACCTTCAACGCAGCTACGACGAGATGGAGGAAAGCATCCACCGAAACACCGAAGCTCTCGGATATCAACGTGCGGACAACATTGTCGACGCTATGGAACTCATAAAGAAGACCGAGCGAGAGGAAAACATCGACATCCGCCAGGTCGAGCGTCGTGACCTCGCTGAGCCAGAGAGTCCCGACTCCTACGGCGCCTCCGAATACTACGGCCCCAAGGCTAAGACCAACGAGGATCTTGAGCCTGAGAACCCGAGCGATATCTTTTTCTAATCCATGTCATCTACTCAAGGGGCGATGACCATGGCGAAGTACCTGCAACAGCAGATACGGGCAGCGACAACATAGAAAAGACAAAAAGAAAAAGAAAAAGAAAAAGAAAAAGAAAACATATACGAATTACGACTTACACCTGACGAAGTCCTATGATACCCAAGGATACCCCGCTTGTTTGGATCCTATGTCTTGGTCACAGAATTAATTGGCAGATGGCCCCAGATCGACTGATCTTCAGGATTGCGAGCGATCCCCTACCTTGTCCTTTATATTATCTGAGGCTAACGATAAGCCGAATGTTGGTAGACCATTGGAGCAGCGAATGTCCGCGCCCACCGATTATTGCAGTGACGAACGTTCTGATTTCTATACCTGTCCCTTGAATATTCTATTATAGCGACCGGCTAAGACGCCAGAGTCCCAGCGCATGCGCCTAGATGATACGCTTTTCGTTTTACTTTCAATATATGAAGCTGCCGCGCGAACCGGTGCTAGACCAGACGGGAGCTGGTGGAATGGGAATGAAGTACGATACCGAACGTGGCGAGCCCTATGGGCCACGATGAACAACTGTAAGCCCATCTTTTATAGATTTTGGTCGATCTTGTGATTGGAGTCATCTACGAGCTGGTCTTTGAGAAAGATTTGCTATCCTGGTTCTGAGTCCTGCTTGTATAATATACCATTGAGAGAAGAACCTTTATTTTATTTTGCACAGATTGTACAGCAAAGATAGGAAGCAGAGAAATATAGATAGATAGACAAAAGAACGGAACAAAATATTTTACAGCTCTTTGTGCAAGCAATAGATACATGTGTTGATAACAGTAATACACGATTTCTTTATAGAATCTAAACCTACAGAATCTATGCATTTGGTACTTTGTGCTTGTAGTATTTCATGTGTAATTCATTCATTCATGTGTTTTATCCACGGGGTATCAAATCAACAACCTTCCAATCCCTATCAAGCGCCCTCATGCTTCACCGTCGTATCTCCCTCCATAGTTTCATCAGGTCGCTCGGTCTGATCAGCCTGTCCTGTCTCGCCCTCAGCCTTTTCATCTTTGCCCATGACGTTCTCAAACTGCGACCAAAGCGCCTCGACCGAAGAAAATTCGTTGCCGACCTGCATGAACTCATTAGCTCAACTGCTCCAGGAATGCGAAAAGAGGGATTGGTTGTACCGCGGTGACTGCCTCGAGGGATCTGTTTAGTTTGTTGATGTTGGCCAGGACATGCTCAAAACTCTGCGGATTGACTGTTAATAGCTGTTCTGTAGTGCCTGATCAGGGGGTAACTTGCCATTGCAATCTCGCCAATCAGTGCTTCACGTTGTTGTTCGAAGTAAGTCTTCTCATGACCGCCCATAGCGGATGCGGATCTTGAATGGGAAGCCATGATACGAGTGTTTCCGATTATCTTTGAAGTTTGTGTAAGGTTGTCGTTGAATTTAACGCCGGTTGGCGCGTCTTGGTTTTGGTGGGGTTGTTTACTTATGGCGTACATACTTTTTAGTTAGTGGGGTCACTTGTCATGATACAATAGGGACCAAGGCATGGGGTAATTGAGCAGAAGTCATAGGGCAAAAACAAAAGGGCTTCAGTTTCAATGGAATCTCTGCAAGTTCTTAATTTCTGAATATTGTATTTCTGCTTCATGCAAGATTAAACAAAACGACAACTGTTGTTAAATAAACATGTTTTACATGATAAACCCAACCATGCACCATAAAGAAAGCTATCAACGTCTTTGCTTGCGCCTAACTCCACACGAATACCCAGCATCTACATGCCATTCGACAACTGGCTGATGACCTATCTTCTGTAGTGATCCTGAGGATGTCTCTCATACTCTGGTCTCGGTGCACCTCTCATCATGTCCCTTGGGTCCCTTGGCGGAGGATCGCGTGGGTCATGGCCATATACAGAAGCTCCTGGTGGGGGCGGCCCACGTCCATCATAGCCCATGGGAGTGAAGCTGCGAGCAGGCATCTCTCTAGGATCTCGAGGTTGCCCGGGACCAGGGGTGGAGGCATATCGGGGATATGCTTGTGTAGGTGGGGGCACGGGTTCTGGGCCACGCGAACCTGGAGGCGGATATCGACCCTGCATTTGATGTTGCTGCGGTGGCATGCTAGCTCCACCTGCGTAGTAAGGACTTCGCCCATCATCTCTCATAGGCATATGGTGAGCTTGCTGAGGTGGTGGCTGGGAGGGTGGTTGCGATGGGGCCCAGGAAGGTGCCGGCGTTTGAGGCTTGGACGCAGGGTGTTGCGTAGGCCATGACTGCTGCTGTTGCTGAGGTGGTGGTTGCGATGTGTTTGGGGGTGGTTGCGAGGGCCAACCAGCGGGCTGTTGCATGCTGGGAGGAGCTTGATGAGGTGCTGGTGGCGGCCATGAAGCTTCACGACCACTCTGGGGAACTTCTCGCGAGCGAGAAGAGGATGGATGGTGACCATACTGTCCACCTGGCGATCCAGCATGCGCCGGTTGGCCTGTGGAGGCATATGATGTTGGATAACCCTGATTCTGATACTGAGGAGGGCCTGAGGGAGGATAGCGATGGCCACTTTGCGGTGAATTCGTCCGGCTGTGGTTAGCAGACTGATATGGGTTCTGTCTGTAATAGTCCCTTTCTGCGGCGGCTTCGTGCGATACTCCGATTGATGCTCTCGAGCTGCCCATATGTGAAGGCTGAGGAGAATCTGCATAGGTTGGCTTGAGAGGTGGCATTGCCGGCGTACCTCGAGCAAAGGGTGAGTATGATTCTGGCTCTCCACGTCGAATTTGCGATGGTGGTGCTGGCCCGGGAAGTGGACGGCCGCTCATGCTAGTTTGAGGTGGAGGAGTGGGCGACGGCCGCGTAGGGGTGCTTGTTACATCGCTTACTCGCTTGGGTGGGGGAGGAGGATCATCGTCATTGAGCAGCGACATGATGTTAAGACCTCCCTTACGAGGCTCTGGTGGGCGAGGCGGTGCTGCTGCTGGAGTTTGGACCGGGGTGCCAGACTGAGGTGTTACTGAGCCGAATGGTTCGTGCATGGAGCCCGACGATGGTCGTTGCTGAAGAGAAGATACGGGACGGCTGGTAGGTGTGCCCATTTGAGGCGATCGCACCTGCGGTTGTTCACCCATCAAATTGCGCACTGGCTGTACGGGAGCCTGCTGCTGCTGTACAGGTTGGCCATAGGAAGAAGGACGTCCGGATTCTTGTGGCGGTCTTGACAGTGGTTGGCCGCCAAGACTTCCTTGTTGACGGTGATGCCCAAACGGCTCGTAGTGATGAGGCTGTGGTGTCATCTCGCGCTCCTGCTTGACGCGTAGAGTTTGTCGTTCCGACTGGCGAGCTAGTTCGCGCTGTTCTTGTTCTCGCATCTGCATCTCCATCTTCTGACGTTCCACCTGGGCATTATGTTCCATCATGACAGCCTCGTTTCTCATGGCAGCCTCATTTCTCATGGCAGCATCATTCCTCATGGCAGCATCATTCCTCATGGCAGCCTCGTTCCTCATGGCAGCCTCGTTTCGAGAAGGCTGCAGTGGTTGTGCGGCAGCCAGAGGCCGCTGCTCTCGTGGCTCGGTGACAGGAGGTCTGGAGGAGGCCTTCTGCGGAAGTGGAACGCGTGCTGCGGGTTCGCGTTCTCCTAGTCTAAACTGCTGAACAGGGGCTTGCAAGGGCCTTGGACCAGGAGACATTGCTTGAGCAACAGGCTGAGCTGCAGGGTGTTGGCTCATGGCCATAGGCTGTTGCGATTGGACAAGTGGTTGCTGTTGAACAGGAGCCTGAGCAATAGGAACTCCTCCAAAGCCCGAGAATGGTTGATTGCGGGGAGGTTGAGCAGCGGGTTCCATCTTAGGCTGTGGCGCTTCGTTGTGCATTTCAATCCCAGGAGCAACAGCTAGAGGTCGAGAAGCAGCTGCTGAGCTGTCGTATCGCCTTCCTCGCCCTCCTGTGGATGGTTGAGGAGGCTCAGGAAGCTTCTCACCGGACAGCTTCTTTCTCTCAGCTTCTCGAACGAGTCCCTCCCATTCGGCTTTGCCCTGGTCCTTTTGACGAACAAAGTAATTCTTAACCTGTTTCGTTGTTAGCGGTAATACTTGGCGATTGCACAACACTGGGCTTACCATGACAGCGGTTTTAGAACCCATATGGGCTGCAATAGCTGTCCAGTCCGAGCCGAACGAGCACAGGAGTTGTGGGAAGTCATTAGATTCAGACACACTCCAATAACTGGATGCTTGGGTCGGTGCTTTACGCTCTGATGATGATGAGGAATGAGTCAAGTTGAAAGTGGCCATTGCAGGCTGAGGTGGGGGGTCGGGTCGAAGCGAAGGTGCTGCCATGACCTCGGAGATGGATGAGGGCGCAGCTGGTTGAGGACGTTCGAGAGTTTGAATAGGTTGTTGCTGTACGGTAAAAGGAGGCTGGATCCCGGCTGGGTGCTGCTCGAACTGAGTTGGTAGACGATGACCCTCGGCAAGCGGCAGCGGAGTGGAGGAGCCATCTGTATTGGGTACTCTTGAGTTGGACCTCGAGCGTCCCTTCGCTGGCCCTGGCGCTGCAGCCAACGTCTGGTTCGCCTTTGGTGCTTTAGGCTCCTTCTCCTTCGGGCCTCTCCGTCTCTTTCTTCCGTCCACCTTCTCGGGATGATCAACCTTTGCAGACCCTCCGCGTCTGCCAGGCGTAGCATTGGGTGTTGATGCTTCCGTGTCGATTGGAGGCTGTTCGAAATTCCAAGTAGGCGCAGCCGCTCGTCGTGGTCGTCTCCTTTCGCCATTCTCTCCTGTGTCGTGGTTTTCCTCCGTTTCGCCATCGCCGTTGCCCAGCTCTGACACCAATGCGCTGGACCGCTGCTTTGCCTTGCCCTTTCTGCGCCTCTTAGGCTGCTTCTTGAGTTTCTCTTTCAGGTTGAGGTTCTTCTTGTTCATGTAGTAATACTGGATGCAAGCACCGAAATCGCGATGGGGAATTGCCTCTGCAACTCTGCCCCATTGCTTGGGTGCTTCCAAGTATCTTTTCTCGAACAGATTCGCTTCTTCCTCGGTGAAGTTATTGACCGGAGGCAAAACACGCCATGCTGATACCAGTCGATCGACAGGTGTGTATCCACTCTTGTCAATATAGTTGGTATTGTCCTTCTCTTCCTGAGTCCAGATCATGTCTGGGATAACAGCTTCCTTGTCTGTGCGGTACTTTTCTTGCTGCATTCTGAGCTCACGCTCTCTACGCTCTTCGTCCTCTCGCATGGATGCTTGCAAAACTCGTTCCAGATCTCGTTCAGTTGCGAAACGACGCCCGCGACCGCTTCCTTCGTGTTTTGGCTCAGGGGTCACTGTGCCAGTGATTTCAATGCCCGTTGAGACCGAGAACTTTCCACGGCTCTTTACAGCGGCAGGGTCGTTTGATAAGGTAAAGTCCAAGTAGCGATGGTAGTTGCCCGAGTAGATCTTCTTGTCATGGTCCTGTTCCGCAGACTTTTCTAGATGCATTTGGTCCAAGTGCTGGAGAACAAAGTCGTCCAGAATCGAGTCTGGTTCAATGGTGTGCAGAAAATCCTTGTCCTTGTCCCAACGTTTGCAACCAAAATCGGGAAGACTATCGATGGGCGGCGTAGTCATGTATTGCCGAACAGTATCTAGGTTCATGAACGAGTCATCTTCAGACTCGGTTTCGTCGTCATCGACCTGCGATGGTGTGCTGGGCGGCTTCGAGGCTGTCTCGGTTGTTTGTAAAACAACATTGGGCGCAATGACGGCAACGGGTGTGTCTTCGCTCGGAATGTGCCTGCCTACAATGGTTTCAGTATTCTCCGCGGAAGGTTCAATTCGAGATTCTGCAGAACTCTCGATTTGAGTCCCCACAGCTGATTCATTGCGCTTTCCTAGGTCGGCACCTGAAGAAGTCCCGCTTGGCTTTTCGGTCCGGACCTGTAAAGATGTTTCGTCATGAGCATCCACAGGCATCTCACTCGGCTTGTCTTCTGTAGATTTCTCTGGTCCGGATCCGTTTGTTGTCTGCAAAGCTGTGTCGCTTGTGTTGGCAGGCTCAAGAGGAAGTTCTTTGGCGGTAGTTTCGAGTGTTGTAGGAACGGGGTCTTTGACTGTTCTATCTGTCATGGGTACGGGAGTCTCCGGCTCAGCGGTAATGGGAGGTTCATCGATGTCCATTTCTTCAGTTTTTGGTTCAGGCCCTGAAGAGACAGGTTCTTGGACGATACTCTGTTCAAGAGGTTGTTGTTGGGCATGATCCACGACAGTTTGTTCAGCAGGACTTTCGGCAATCGTCTCAGTAGACTTCTCGATGGGCTTCTCGATGGGCTTTCCGTCTGACTTTTCGACGGGGTTATCATTGGACTTCGCAACCGGACCATTAGATGGATAGTCTGGCTTTGGATCTGGGTTTTCGCCAGAACGCTCTTCGGAATCATCGACTTGCTTCTCAACTGGCTTCTCAAGTGGCTCCTCGGCTGGCTTCTCGGCTGGCTCCTCGACGAGCTTCTCCTCGGGTTTCTCTTCAGGTTTCTCCTTGGGCTTCTCGGTAGGTTTCTCCTTGGGCTTCTCGGTAGGTTTCTCCTTGGGCTTCTCGGTAGGTTTCTCCGTAGGTTTCTCGACTGCCTTTTCGTCTGGCTGTTCGCTAGCCTGTTCGGTTGTTTCCTCAGTGGCATCGGACAATGTTTTGCGGGTCGGTTCTTCCGTAGGCTCCTCCGATCTTCTGACATGAATCGACTGGTCGGGCTCAAGCTCTGTGGAGGCTTCCTGCATTGGTTGCCCATCCTCGACCTGGTTGGCGTTCTCAGGGGCATCTGTCATTTCCACGTCCGGCTTCTCGTTTTCGGCGGGCGTGGGCTTATCAATCTTCTCGATTATAGGCCTGTTCGCTGCCTCGGGAAGCTCTTCGACCATCTTGAGCAGTCCTTCCCCTTCCCCAACAATCTTGACCATGGACCCATGGGATAAAGCTGCAAATCGAGCCATTACTTGAGTTGGCAGTTTCGGCTTCTCAAGCTTACTCAATTCAGCTTCCGTTTTCCCGATCTCCATATCAAAATAGTCGGCCATGTCGTCGTCATCGTCGGATTCTGAGTTCTGTTCCACAACCGCTGGTTTAGGAGGCACTTCGAATCTTACCACCTTTAGATTTGGTCGAACACGCTTCCGCTTAGGAGCTTCTTTGGGGGGTTCTCTCGGTGGTTCCCTCATTTCTCTAATGCGTTCATCGGATACTTGGCTGAATCTGGGCATGCTCTCCATAGTAGGTGATGGGCCAGAGCGATAAGAGTCTCGCCTAGAAGCATTAATAGGTCGTGTATCTCTGTCGATTGATGCTCTGGCGGATTGAGATTCCCTCTCTGATTTCACAGTAATCTCTCCTGGCTCTGCACTGTAATTCGATCGAGCCCGATTATCATAGTGAGTCTCAGACTTTGCATCGCTACTACGCGGTCGTCTATCATCCTCATTATAATGATCGTACTGGGAGCTACCACGTCGCAAAGCCGGTCGCTGTTGTACAAAGCTCGACGATCTCATCATCTTTGGCGAATCAGGTGCCTTTTTAAGATTGGGGTTGATCCATTGTTTGCTGGAAGGCCGGGGCGGAGGAGGTTGTTGAGCTCGAGGGCCGACTGGAATGGAAGGACCGTCATGCATCATTGTCTTACCCATGCCCATTGGGGGCATATTTGGATCGTGTCCAGCAGACGGAGGCCGATCACCGAAAGCTCTGGGCGCGGTTGGTGGGATTTTAGCAGCAGCACTGGCAGGAACATATCCCTCTCCCACACTCAGTCCCCGGCTAGCTGAAGATGCAAAAGTTGGAGCGTGCGGCGCAACAGGAGGCGGTGATACCTCCTTACTAGAAAGTCCTGAATCATGGCCAGCGTTGGCGCGAGCTTCCAGCTTGTTTCGGAACAGTTCGCGATCCCGGGGGTCACCGCGTTCGTCTCGGATATCACGTCGGGTATCTGGGTCAGCATAACGATCCATTCGATCCATCCGGTCTCTGTCATCACGATCCCTACCCCAGCGACCCTCTTGAGACCGACTGCGTGGATAGCGATCTCCCCTATCGTCCATATAAGGACCTCTTCCACGACCTCGTTCTGAGGACCAGTCTCCCCTTCCTCGCCCACGTCCTCGATGAAACCCCCCGCCTCGAGGGTAGGGTCCCATGTTGAACTGGGGGTCAGATGATGAAGATCCCGCAGAAGGAGGGCCCCCGTCTCGAGAGCCGCGCCGAGACCTATCTGCGTCTACGCCCAGAGGCCCATCGCGGTCCCTGTCTCGAAAGTCTCGTGTAGGGGATCTTGCGCGGCCGATAGGAGAACGACGTGAACGGAAGTCTCGATTTTCGCGCCAGTCCCTGTCGCGATCACGTTCGCGGCTTCGATCCTCCCGATAACGATCACGAAAGTCCATTTCCCTGTCACGACCCCGGTCTCGACTATCGTCTCTTGAAGACCATCCGCGACCACGCCCTCGACCTCGGCCTCCTCTGAATTCGCCGCCGAATCCTCCACCACGTGGCCCACTAGGCGCATCAATCAAGGCTTTAGGGCCGCGAGGGGGCTCGCGCCGTAATGGGTCGCCAAAGTCGCGACCTGGGGGAAACCCGCCATTACCTGCTCGAGCTTCGGATGGTCGGCGTCTATCGCCATCTGGATATTGTGCGTTTCTGTCAAACCGGTCAGGTGAACGATCACGCGGCGATCTGGATCGTTCATAACGCGAGTATCTGGAGGCCCTGGACGATGTAGATAGTCAGCATGAAGGAGGTTGAAAAGGAGGCGAACGGCTTCGGCGCCGCTTTGAACCGTATTTTCTTGCACGAGTTTTCCGCATAATCTTGGATCTGCGGGTTGTAGAATGTAATAGTTGGATCTTACATTTTTCAAAGGCCGGGGAAACCCGCAGGAACCGGTATTTATGATTCGTAGCCCATGCACCCAAGATGCAAAACACAAATGTTAACAAGTTAAAAGATGTCGTCGGTTAACCTTGATGTCGAAAGTTATCCTTCCTAAAGTAAGTGATTGCTAAGGCAACAGCTGAAGCGTAAAACTCGAGGTGTCGTCGTTGATCGCGTCTCAATCACGAAAGCAGTTGGGTTGAGCCGTCGACTGGGGTATCAAATGAAAAGTCGAAACAGGCGTATAACGTATTAGCAATATCGTATCGAAATATTAAAGGCGCGACAAGTAATGGGCGATGAGAATGCGGTTGCACCGTGAGGGCGACAGTGCCTTTTGCGATGGATGAATGCAGATTGAAGGTTTGCAGGATCGAGGACAGAACAAGCCTCAGGCGTGCAGCCTCAGTTCGTGTGGCCTTAGCGTAAGCGACCCCCGTCCATCGCTCCTGCAAATTGGGATGGACACACTGTCGCGTGGCGCTTAGTGGTGGATGAGAAGGCATGAAGGGTGTCCTTTCCCTTTTGAGTTCCAGTTTCCAGTGGGGGCTTGAGCCAGAATTGCCGCCAGACGCTAGACCATGAATGGACAGATTCGGTTGTGGAGCGTTACATGCACGCCTCCATCTGTTCCGCTCCGTCAGACCCCGCCGGTTTCTGTCCAATGCGGAGCCGAGGACCGGCACGGAAGAAATCTCGAAAAATATAATCCAACGGCCGGACGAAGATTCAAAGAAGACAAAAATTAAGAGTACTTGATTTTGAGAACCTTAATCAGTTCTTGCTATCCGAACCTTCATTATTAGGTTGGGAACGAATCAAGTGCTCGATCGTCTTTACTAAGCCTTTCGCCATCAAATTTTGTGCTATCCATATTTTATAACTTACGACTTGAAACTTACGACTCACAACCCACAAACTCTTAACTTCACCAAAATGGCCTCCAACACAGATGCCCCACCCTCGGCGGCCACAGAGGCCGTCCTTGTCAAGTCCGAGGAGATGCCCAAGGACGCCCAGAAGGTTGAGGAGCTGGACTTCAACAAGCTGAAGGGTCCCATCACCGCGGAAGATCTCTTCGAGGGCATGCGCCACATGGGGTTCCAAGCGTCTTCCATGTGTGAAGCTGTGAGGATCATCAACGACATGGTGCGCCGTGATCCACTGGGAGAACTCTACCAGAGTTTTCTAACATGATCAAGGGCAAGGCTGGCTAACAATTTACAGCGTGCGTGGAAGGATCCTGAGACAGGCGACAAGACCACCATCTTCTTGGGTTATACTTCCAACCTGATCTCGTCGGGCCTTCGAGGCGTTCTGCGCTGGCTCGTTGAGCACAACCATGTCTCGTGTATCGTCACCACTGCTGGTGGTATCGAGGAGGATTTCATCAAGTGTCTTGGCGATACCTATGTTGGCTCTTTCAGCACCCCTGGAGCCGATCTCCGTCGCAAGGGTCTTAACCGTATCGGCAACCTCGTTGTACCAAATGCCAACTACTGTGCTTTTGAGGATTGGGTCGTCCCTATTCTTGACAAGATGCTCGAGGAACAAGAAGCCAGCAAGGGCACAGAAGAGGAAATCAACTGGACACCATCCAAGGTGATTCACCGTCTGGGTAAGGAGATCAATGACGAGCGGTCCGTCTACTACTGGGCGTATAAGAACAACATCCCTGTGTTTTGCCCTGCGATTACGGATGGCAGCCTGGGCGACATGCTCTACTTTCACACTTTCAAAACCTCACCTCTGCAGTTGAAGATCGATCTGGTCGAGGATATCCGTCGTATTAACACGATTGCTGTTCGAGCCAAGCGAGCTGGTATGATCATTCTAGGGGGTGGCATCGTCAAACATCATATCGCAAACGCATGCTTGATGCGCAACGGCGCTGAGTCGGCTGTCTACATTAACACAGCACAGGAATTCGACGGTAGCGATGCGGGCGCTAGGCCAGACGAAGCTGTCTCATGGGGTAAAATTAAGATCGGAGCGGACAATGTCAAGGTTTATATGGAGGCGACAGCTTGTTTCCCTTTTATTGTAGCAAACACGTTTGCAAAGGATAATGGGAAGGCTGATCGAAAGTAAAAACATCATAGAATGTAAAATTAATTTATCGAAAGCCCCTTGCCTGCGATATGTTGGTGCCTGTTACTGTAAGACAGTAATACTTCAGGGAAAAGTTGAAAGCAGGCAAAGTGCGATCAACAACGCCAACCTAAGTCCATACTTAGTGACCTTAAGTTCCAAATGCTTCCATAATGCTGTGACTCGCGGCTTGCAGAATTGTAACTAGGCAACACCTTGCTATGTTTGCATTCTTGGTTCGTCGTCCCGAGTTTGCTTCAGGTATCGATATTCTCTCAAGAGCTCTTTGCAAAGTCCTCAAAATCATTCACTGTTCTCTTACGGACTCGCACTTGCGCCATCACTCTCAAGCTCCTTTGTCAACAACGCAGCCAGGGCTGCTTGTCGTTCCGCTCGTTCTCGGTCAATTTGGCCACGGGGTCGGTATCGACGTTTGTTTGCCAGGCGTCGCTCCTCTTTTGCTCTGGCGATCGCTTCCTCTTCCTCTTGTCGACGAAAGATCTCGACAGGGTCAATTGTATCCTTTTTCATAGCCTCAATTGCTGCTAAACCCTCTTCAAGTTGTGGCCAAGGGCGACCAATCCCTCCCTTTTTGGTCATGAGTCTCCTGATGATATCAGGCGCATGAACACTTCCATCGGGACGTTGGACTTCCATACAAGCATTGCGCCAGAAGATGTCGCATGCACGGTCAGGCCGGGTGATGGGGTTGGGTGGAAAGTGGATAGGAATCATAGGGCTTTCATCGCCGGTCTGGGAATCGTCGCTGAGGCGTCTCTTGGCTAGGTTGCTGCGTGGGGATGGACTGTTTTCTCCCCGTTGGTCTGTAGGTGAAATAGTCGCCTCACGATCTGCTTCTCGAGTTTCTGGAGCCGGGATCATTGAGAACACTGTTCTTGGAGGCCTAACTGGGGAGGCTTTGGTGGTATGGGGAGGTGGACTTCTTTCCGGGGATACAGGAGAGGCCTCAGCGGTGCTCTTTGTAGGCAACTGAGGTCTATCCATCATGCCCAGGCCTGCGGAGAAGAATAGTCAGACAACGTAGGGTGTGGTGGAAAGGGATGGGAAGTACTGCTTCTACCAGGCCTTAGGCCAAAGTCTCGCGCGACAGCAGCTCGACGGATGTCCATGATCAAGTCTGTCGCAGAGAGCGTCAGTAAATTATAGCCGACAAGTCACGCGAATACAAACCGACGAACTATGTTCGAGTTTTGCGTGAAGAAAGAACACAAAGCGGCATCTATGGGAGACAGCGGTCACTCTCAAGGCGAACAGATGGTGGGGAGATACAAGAACAGAGGGAGGGAATAAAGACAGAAGAGCAATAGTACAATGCGGTCACTGCAAAAGCATGAGGTAGCAGGCTTTCGCAAAATTTGACAGATGGTGTACCAGCTGTTGTCACTGGCCGCTCACTGCCTACCTGTTGGCAGTGTTCCATCACTTACCTGCAGTTAAGTCCCCCACCCCCTCCGACTCTATTGCCATTGAAGCATCATCATTGCCGTGATCTTCTTCTTTGGACTCCGTCGCGGGTGCTGACAAAAGGTCCGAGTGTTGGGTTGTTGTTCGCGAAGGAAGCTTCTTACGGGTCCAGTTGTTACCCTTCCTCCTCCTCTTCTTCCTAGGCTGTCCCTCTACTTGAAACGCTGGGCTTTGGCTAGATGGGGGAGTTATCAGCGTCTTGTTCTGCGAAGCCCCGGTATTTAGTTGGGTTGAATCGTTGCTCTCCCTCGTCGGCGTTCCTATGTTTCTTTCGGGCATTGTTGATGTGAATATTTGGCGAATTGCGACGAACGATGCAGTTTTTGAGATGTGAATGGCTCTTGAGACTCGGTGTTTCCTCGTAGCAGGGTAATGGGCATACACATATCGAAGATAGTGGATATTCTAGATCAAAGATAGATCTTACTCATCTCCAACCTGAATTCACAATGTGTGGGAGTGAGAAAATGAGGAATCAAGGGGTTCGTAGTTGAGAGTGGGAGGGATAGGTAGGCAGCACACCTCGCGAGGCAGGAGCTAGATATCCAGTTCGAAGAGCCTATCCATTCCTTAATGACAGCGATCGAGTTGTGACAGAAAATAATAGCAACGAATGGGACAAAGTCGTACCTTATCCGCAAATATATCGATCAAGTCAAGGCAAGGTCTATCGAGACTCGTAAATGAAGTCAGTTCTCAGATGTTCGCCATAAAAAGGTGTTTCTGGTGGCAGCATGTCCGCAGGCCTTGTCTCGGTACTATAACTTTCAAGTAGTTCGATGGGCGCAACAACTAGTCGTACCACAGTGTAATACTTGAAAAGGGTTGCTTAGGTTATGTGGGGGCAAAGTTATAACAATTCGTTGTACTGTAGAGGTGCAAGACTCGAGAGTAAATCATCAAAGATATGGCATCTTCAAGTGCCTCACCACATGAATACATTTAAAAGTAGTCTCGGTCTCGAATTGTCTTTCAATTGCAGGATACCCCCTTGGCTGATGCAATACAGCCCCAGAAGACGGCAAGGTAAAGATACACCATGTACCTAGATATGCAGTAAACCATCGAACAAAGCCCTCCATATTCAACGAAACTCTCATTCATCCCCAATACTTTGCTTAAACTCAGTCAAAGCAGCAGTCCACTCATCGGCACCACTTTCCTCAGCCCACGATGCAATCTTCTCAACCCCCTCAAGATCATCCTTCATGTGACTCTCCGTCGTTGTTCCATCCAGAACTGTAACTCCATCCAGACCCAGAACGAGGGCATAGTACGCAGCCACAGGCTCGACGCCGGCCTTTTCTGCAACTAGCTTCACCGGCTTACTCACAGCAAGTCTCGGATTCGCGCTAAGTGTCCAGAAAGATTGGAATGCGATATCTTGCTGTCGGCAGTAAGCTCTGAGTTCCACCTCGAAGCGCGTGTCTGGGTAGAAGCGATTTTGAACAACACTAGGCTTGACGGTCACTGCGCCATTGAGCGCTTGGAGGATTGGCAGTGTGGTGTTGGAAATGCCCAGGTTTCGAATCTTGTGGGGTACGTAGGTCTCGAGAGTCTTCCATGCTGTGATGGTATCCTCCATGGTTCGCAAAGGGCTATGAAGGAGCACGCTGTCAAAGTAGGGTTCCTCGCCCTCGACGGTGAAGTACTTCAGTGAGGACTGCACAGATTGGTGAACCTGGTCCACGACAGGCACGTTGAAATCATAAGGTGCATTTTCAGCTTGGTTGCCTGGTGGAGAGAACTTGGTTTGAAGCTGTGCTGAATCAATTGGTTGCTCACCTGAGTTTTACGAATGGTCCGAGAGAACTTACAAATAGCCCTTCGCGCTTAATTATACCATCCTTGATAGCTCTTTGGACTCCTTGCCCTACACCTTTCTCGTTGTAATGCTTAGGCTGGCCCGCCGTGTCGATACCGCGGAAACCATATTTGAGAGCGGTGTAAACAAGGTCTGCTGATCTGTCTTTCTTCCATGCCGTGCCGTAGACAAGCTTTGGCATAGAAGTGGACGAGCCCTTGAGGGTGAGATCCTTGGCAAGTTTCGCGGCCATAGTAAGTGATTCTACTGAGCTGAAACTGAGCTGCAAGTGGTCAATAGCTCTTCTTTAGGTATAGATGTGAATGTGAAGAGATGATGTGAGGTGAAAGCTCTTGTATGGATGATTATGATAGGTGGAGGTGGAGGTCAAACAATGGTGATGTTGGTTACGACATGTTGAGCCTCAAACAGGCTGCATATGGCGTCAAGTACGGATACAACCAGCATATTGCAAGGCAGCCAATCAGTGTTTTGGAACTGCATAATTCTCATAAAGAATGATGTCTTTCACAAGATACTGTATCTAGTTTAATGTGGTAACTCAAAGGCTTCTGTACCTCTTTCCAAGCTTGTTCGATAGGAAACCTCTGTTCATAGGTATCAAAGTCAATCGTTTTTGATTGCCTGATACTAAACTTCTGGAATATCGAGCTGGAAATAGTACGGGTGTAAACCGACCTGCCACAAAAGTGAATGACGTTGAGAATCAGCGACTTTATCCCCCACTCCAGCGCGGGGTTCTTTGTGGGGGGTTTCGCTCTTATCTCGTAAACACAACAAGATGGTCGCTCATTATATCAAGCTGGGGAATTCAAAGACATGACCGATAACTTCCCTTTTGCATATATGGGACAGGAGATAAAGGACAAATCTCTCCGGAGCTACCAAAATTAGCCTAGGAAACGGGAGATCGGGCCTTGTTACCGCATCTGCCAAGTGAAGCAATTATGTAGCTCTCATCCACAGTGAATGTCAATATCATTGGGTAGACTATGGAGGTGTTGTTGCTGCCCCGCCATAGCTCTGAGGGGTTGGAGCTCACAAGGATCAAGTCACGTCACTACAATTGGTAAACATTGAGAAGGATCAATCTACACTCTTCATATTTCTGAGGCAATTGCTGTACGTGAATTACGGACTTCATAAATCATAACTAGAGATTATAATCATGGCTCCTTACACTGCCAAATGGGGAATTTTGGCTACCGGAGGTATCGCTGAATGTGAGTTGCAATTTCATATCAAGTTCAGATTATAGTCTAATCATCACCACCAGGCTTCACCAAGGATCTTCTCACAGATCCTGCCGCTCGCGACGTTAGCGACGTCACCCACGAGATTGTCGCAGTCGCCTCCTCCAGCTCTGTCGACCGGGCCCGCGATTTCATCAAGAAGATCGATGGCCCTTCTTCAGCCGCTGCTTATGGCTCCTACGCTGAGCTTGTCGCGGATCCCAACGTCAACATCATCTATGTCGCTACTCCTCACAGCCACCACTTCCAGAATGCCATGTTGGCTCTTGAGGCAGGAAAGAACGTTCTCTGCGAAAAAGCCTTGACCGTGACTGCAGCACAAACCAAGAAGCTGTATGAGGTTGCCAAGGCCAAGAACCTCTTTTTCATGGAGGCTGTCTGGACACGATACTTCCCTCTGAGCATCAAGGTGCGGGAATTGATTCAGTCCGGTGCCATTGGTGATGTTTATAGAACCTTTGGTAAGAATTTTCCGCTCCGCCTTGTTCTGGTATTCAGCGGTTGCTGACTCACTTCTTTAGCCGACCTTTCATTCAATAAGAACACTGATAGCGGCGACCTTGAGTTCCCTGACTCGAACCGTATGGTCAACCCCGATCTTGCAGGTGGTGCTCTGCTTGATCTCGGCATTTATTCCTTGACTTGGGTCTTCCAGTCTCTGTACCACGTTCAGCCTGAAGCTGATAAGGAGGCGCCTAACGTAGTCGCTTCCATCAACAAATACCGAACTGGCGCAGACGAGTCAACGAGCATCATCTGCCAGTTCCCAAAGCACAAGAGCGTTGGTATCGCCACCACCTCCTTGCGCATAGCAACAGACGTCGATGGCCATTACACCGGCGGCCCTGCGATTCGAATTCAAGGTTCCAAAGGCGAAATTCAAGTCACAGGTCCTGCATTCCGACCGACTGAATACAAGGTGATCGCTTCAGACGCCAATGGTAAGGTTGAGGTCGTGACCTGCCCGATCCCAACTGACCCCAAGCGTAACAACTGGGGTCATGGTATGTTCTGGGAGGCTGATGAGTGTGCGCGATGCTTGCGCGATGGAAAGAAGGAGAGCGCCTCGATGCCTTGGTCTGAGAGTATTGCTATCATGGAAGTCATGGATAGTGCACTGAAGCAGGGTGATGTGACATACCCTGAACTCATCACCACTGATGTCTTCGATGCCAACAGTCCTCTCAACACTGGCAAGAAATAAGCGACATGACGTAAACTGCCAAACTTGCAATGAGATAAAAGTCGGATGACATGATATACACAAGGATGTTCCGAAGCATTGACTAGTGCCGCCGCCCTGCATCATAAATAAGACATGAGTATGAATAAGATGCGCATAAGATGCATACTACGTGCACCATTAGAGATGAACCGTTCCGGCGCTACGCGCGGGAGAGTGAGATTAACGGTTCGTGTCAGATGTAGCATCCATGGCAGGGGATGTGCTTGGGTTGCTGGCAATCATCAAACATGCGATTATTTTTTTTTTTTTTTTTTTTT